AGCGAACGACGCATCAACAAAACGGCCCCAGCTCCGTCGGAAATCTGAGACGCATTACCTGCGTGGGTGGTGCCGTCTTTCTTGAATGCTGGCTTGAGCTTCCCAAGGGAAGCGGCAGTAACACCGGCACGTGGACCCTCATCAGTGTCGATTGTAACAGTTCCAGACGCGGTTTTAACCTGGACAGGGATGATTTCGTCCCTGAACAAGCCCTTAGCAACAGCCTGTTCGGCTTTGTTGTATGAAGTGGCGGAGAATGCGTCCTGGGCCGCGCGGTCGATATTATACTTTTCAGCAACATTTTCGTTGGTAATCCCCATTGGAATACTGCACTTAGATGCCTCTGGGTCATCGAGAACCAGAAGGGCAAAGTCAGGAATAGGGTTCTTCTGGTTGTATGACAGTGACATCGACTCTACCCCCGCAGCTAACCCACAAGTGATCTGACCGGCTATGATCTTGTTGGCGATGTCATTGACAGCAATCAAACCGGAGGAGCACTGTCTGTTGATGCCGATGAATGCGGCAGTGTATGGGACCCCCGCTGCCAACATGGCAGCCCGGTGCTCCTTGGCACCAGAGCCAACTTTCAAAACATTACCAACGGCCACATCCTCAATCAAGCTTGGGTCAAACTTAGGCGTCTTGGAAAGCAAACCCTTGACTAGTCCAATCAACAAGTCCTCGGTACGTGTATCCTTAAAGCCACCCTTGAAGCCCTTGGCCAAGGCGGTTCTGTAGGCAGCAACAATAACGACATCATCGGTATTCTTTTGTTTGATAGCATTCACACCGCTCGGGTTTAAGTGCGAAGATACTTGTTGTAATCTGTTCATTCCGTTTTTGAGTCTATAAATCAATGTGTGAGAGAATAACCGGAGGGAATGGGCGATGGTGGCTTTATACGGAGCTTCGTTGGGCGGAATTTCACTGTGCGGGGATTGGAATTCCTGCATGCAGTGAGATCCGGGGTACGAGAAGGATGTCTGCTTCCGACAGCGTCCCTTCATATGATCAACTGGCTGGATCTGCTTTTTTTTTTAAACAATACCTGTATGGCTAATCAATATCTGAGCTTGGATAGTTAATTCATAGAGGCTGTGATTAGCCAGTTCTATACTAGTTCCACAATCTCCATGCCCTGAAGAGACGTAATTATCCCGATTCCCAAGTTATGCTAATACAGACTCTAGCCTCTGACAGGATAGCAAGGGGTTTGTCCCTCCCATACCGTATATCTTGTAAGCTCTATTTTGGTTAACTGACTAATCGGAATGGAAACTGGACCTTGCGGCTCTTTCGGTACAACTTATTTCGGAGGTATGTAGGTGTAGACAGATTTCAATTGGTATAGGTTGGGGGCTTTGGTATATGCTGGAAGCTTTGGTATATGCTGAGGGCTTTGGTATAGGCTGGGATTCTATGTGGTATTAGCCTAATAGATAATAGCCATCTATATGACACCCCAGATGAGTTAAATGGTAATGATTTAGCCCCTATAACAGAATAGAAGGCTAGTATAAAGATGCGCCTCCGTATGACCGAAACTATTAAAGTAATCCAAACTTAGTTTTCGAATCCCACTGATAGTAAGACCGCATTCCTGAAATCCGTGGACCGAGAATACGGTAACCATTTCCGTGGTATACCGAAAGCTAAATGCAACCTGTATTGTACGTACATTTAGTTCTGGGCTAAAGCCTTATGTTAATGGTATACCGTACCATTAATTTCCGCACAGGAACTAGAAAGGCTATATAATTAAATTTCCGTCTCCGGGATACACCAGCTTTTCCTTTCAAAGATTTAATTGAAAATCAAGTTAATAAGTCACTGCCGCAAATCTAATCAAATCCCTACCAGAGAACTCTCGTGTATTACCCAAGATCCTATACATTACTCCTTGACAAAAACAGCAGCAGCACCCATACCGGTCCCGATACACATAGAAGTCACTCCAATCTCGCCAGTCTTTAATTCTCTCATAATCGTAGCAACTTGTCTGGCACCGGTGGCACCCAAGGGGTGACCCAAGGCGATGGCACCGCCACGAGGGTTCACCTTAGCCTTGTCCAAGCCCAAGTGCTCGATACAGAACAACGCCTGAGCCGCAAACGCTTCGTTGATTTCAAATACTGCAACATCAGAGGTGGAAATCCCGGCCTGGGCGAGAACGTGTGGGATAGCGTAAGCTGGACCAACTCCCATGATTTCAGGTGGGACACCAACCGCGGAGGTTGCGACATACTTGCCAACGACTCTCAAGCCAAGCTTGGTGGCAAGCGAACGACGCATCAACAAAACGGCCCCAGCTCCGTCGGAAATCTGAGACGCATTACCTGCGTGGGTGGTGCCGTCTTTCTTGAATGCTGGCTTAAGCTTCCCAAGGGAAGCAGCGGTGACACCGGCACGTGGACCCTCATCGGTGTCAATGACAGCGGTACCCTGCGCGGTCTTGACTTGGACAGGGATAATTTCGTCCTTAAACAAGCCCTTGGTGACAGCCTGTTCGGCCTTGTGATACGAAGCAGCGGAGAATGCGTCCTGGGCAGCACGGTCAATGTTGTATTTCTCGGCAACATTTTCATTAGTGAGGCCCATTGGGATGTTGCACTTGGAAGCAGCTGGACTGTTTGCAATTAGCTCTGAAAATTGTGGAATAAGGTTCTTGTGGTCGTATTTCTGCGACATCGACTCAACCCCACCAGCCAACCCACAGGCGATTTGGCCCGTCAAAATTTTGTTGGCGATATCGTTGACGGCAATCAAACCAGAGGAACACTGTCTGTTAACCGCAACAAACGCCGCCTCGTAGGAAATCCCCGCAGCTAGCATCGCAGCTCTATGCTCGAAGGCACCGGCTCCGCCGTTCAAAACATTGCCAATAGCCACATCCTCAATGTATTTAGGGTCAAACTTAGGCGTCTTGGAAAGCAAACCCTTAACAAGTCCAATCAATAAGTCTTCGGTGGCAGTGTCCTTAAACCCCCCCTTGAACCCCTTGGTCATCGCGGTTCTGTAAGCGGCAACGATAACGACGTCGTCGGCGTTCTTGTGCTTGATGGCGCTGGCACCCTTGACGGTGTCCAAGTGTGATGCTACTTGTCTTAATCTCTCCATTGTGTAATCTGAATTCAGGTATGGCCTGGAAGAGAGTGAGCCTGAAAAATTCGGGCAGACGTGCTTCTTATATAGGCACGTCCAGGCATCTCCGAAATCCGCATTGCCCTCGGCTTCGCGGGGATTGAATCTGGGGTAATACCTGGGCGGGGTGCGTACATGCAGGCTGAATGACACATGCTTGTGTGATAACTCGTTACTGAAAGTTTCTCCTATGAGCATCCAATGAAGGACGAAGGTAATTATTTTCCTGGCTCAGTAGTGAAAGGCTTATGAGTTGGGCGAGATAAGGTGGGAATGACCATCCGTAGCGGTCTTTGTGATTCGGCTTCATCATCTGCCAATCTGGCACTGATGCACTTTCCGAATATAGACAGGAGAGCGGCAATGAATATGCTGTTGACAAGGGATTTGGGATTATATTATCCTCGCTGGTTTTAGTCAAGTTTTAGCTAGGTTTTGGCCAGGTTTTGACCAGGTTTTGACCAGGTTTAAAGTTATCGGTGCAGGTGGGGAAAGTTCATATACCAAAGTGGGGCTACAAAACTAAGCCATGTTTTTGGTTACAGGGAAAAAGATCTTTTAGACTTGCTAGAATCGTAAGCCGCGCGGAGCGCGCTCTAGATCCAAGATTCGCGATTGGGCGTACTACTGATTCACGAATCAAAACAGTAAGTTATGTGCTGGGTGGCTCAGTCCCATATCCGGAGCTGTTGACGCAGAATGTATGGGATGTGATTACGGTCACATATATCTACGAACCCCCTGTACGTTTAGAAAGAAATCTTGAAGCCTATGCCTTTTTTTCCGTATTCAATGAACCAGACATTTAGATCGTCTCCCAATACTGATTCCACCTTTCCATACACGCCAGACTCCGGGATAGTGCAGTTAGCAAATAACCAATCTGTGATTAATAAATCCGACTTCTCGCTTTCCTGAATCCGAGTCATTCAACTGTTTATATGGAGCAGCCAAGCCGTTTTGAGCACTTCTGAGACCCAGACTCCACTTCATACGGTTTTGCATCACGTGTTCCGGCCCGATCTCTCCTACATCGCTGGTCGGATGCCGGATAATTTCTATGAGTCAGGTGCAGATTTCCGGGGACAAGTGTTGAAATTTCTCCATCTCCGTCCAGAACCTTCGGTTCCTACCAGCTACGCAGCGCCAACCCGGGGATTGAACTTTTAGCCATTTCATTAAACCTACCATATCCATAATGACCGTGAAAGTTGCATATCTTGGCCCAAAGGGGACATATTCCCATATGGTATGTGCGCTTTGCCTCTAACTCGTTTCTTGCTAACACGCCTAGGCCGCGCTACAGGAGTTCCCAGACTACGATCTCACTCCCCAACCAAGCATCGGCGACTGCTTCTCCGCGATAGACAAAGGAGAGGTGGTGTATTCGGTGGTGCCGTTTGAAAACTCCACCAACGGTCAGGTTATCTTCACGTACGATTTGTTGCGGTCCTGGTACTTGCCAGCCGCTGGACTCTCACCTAAAGCTCGTTTTGAGATTATCGGCGAGCAGTATGTGAACATTCACCACTGTTTCTTGTCCAACTCCACGGACTTGACCCAAATCAGACGCATCTACTCGCACCCGCAGGTCTGGGGCCAGTGCACCAAATTCTTCCAGGACAACGCAACGTTGTTCAAGACTAATGGCGTTGAGCGGATCGATGCTTCTTCTACGTCTGAGGCTGCGGAATTGGTTATTAAAGACTCTGCCGCTGGTACGGAGGGCTCCGCCGCGATCTGCTCCTCGGCTGCGTCCAGCCTCTACGGGTTGCCGGTCTTACAGAAGAATATCGAGGATAACCGGGAAAACACAACCAGATTTTTGGTTTTGGGGAAGCCAAAATCCAAACAGGGCTTGCTTGTGACCTCCCTCTGCTTCACCGTCAACCACAGCGATGCGGGTGCGTTGTGTACTGCCTTGTCCGTGCTCTCCGATTACGGCTTAAACATGACGAGTATCACATCGAGACCATCTCTCTTGAAGCCGTGGCAGTATATTTTCTTTGTCGAGTTTTATAGCAAGCCACAGGGCGGGGCGGATGTGTTGGCCCTGGCTCTAGACGAGTTACGAGCGAGATGTTTAGATTGTGTGGTCATGGGCACATTCCCAAGAAACAACAAGCACTGGGAGTTTTTGGAAAAGCCCTGAGCCAGGAGACTTGCAAGGGCTATGCAACGATGCGTGTGTATATAATTTTTTGTTAATGGCCTGGAAAGTGTACGCTAATAGGAATATAGATCTGGAGCTAGTGAAGGTAGATCCACAGCATGGTGGATGATGTAAAAAGCAAGGTTATAATAATGTCGGTATTTGTATCGAGGATTAAAAAGCTTGGGTGAGGTTCCAATAGATAACACTATGGCTATAGCAGCCACTAATTTAAGTTGTCATTTACGATATCAATCCTAAAGGTGAGTTAGGAAGACCAGTAATCGTGTAGAATTGAAAACTGTGAGACTCAGGGTTGGATATCAACGTTCAATCGTTTCTCTAAACACTTTTCTGGAATAGCCCATGTGCGTCCGTCGTGTAGTTAAACACATAGGACCCCTATATCAATTTTACACTTCCGGTATTATACAACATTCTATTATACACATACAGGAGTAAAGCCGATTGCTTCCAGCTTACTGGTCTTTGATTTCCTGGAGCAAGCGGGCAATGACGTCGTGGCGCGCAGGCTCTGCGGGCTCTGCGACCTCTGCGTCGTCCTCTTTCACCTGCACCTGGTTTGCGGGCTTCTGGGCGAGGTTCCGCACGAGGTCGCGCAACTTTGTCTCTATATCCAAGCAAGCCTTGTCGATCAGGGAAATCTCAGACTGTTTAGAGTCGATCTGCTTTTCGAGCAACAAAATCAAGCTTTCTCGTGACTGGTGCGGCCGGTACTCGTTCAATAAATGGTGGATGTTGATGATGATGGTGCGGATATTTTCGATCTTGAGGTGAAAGTTCTCCGACGACACAGCGAGAATGCCCACGAGCTCCAAGAAGTTGAGGAGGAGCGACTTGAGTAGCTTTTTCAACTCCGTCACGCGGATCGTCGACTTCAATTGGTCGGTGTTTTGCGCAGGGAGTGACGTGTCGCACTCCGTGTCGTATAGTTGCACCATTCCCATTTCAGATAGTGACGGAATTTTATCCTCAAAGTGCCAGATATTCCCGAAGGATCGGTAGGTCTCGCCGCCGGGCGGGCTTGGTGGCACAAGAAATTTGAGGTCGCCCTGGGGCTCGGCACCTGTCTCAAGCTTCTCTAGGTTTTCATCAGTAAAGAACTTGTAATAGGGCGGTGGTGGGGGGTAGAGCGATGTAATAAGGTCATCCTCTCCGTTTGCTGCCATCTTGGTGATTTTTTGAGCGGCAGGAGAAGTATGCTATGAGATAACCACAGTGCAGCCTGGTCTTTGAAGTGTTTGTACACCCCTGTGGTGCCCCATACTTGAATTTTTGTACGCGCACTCTGTGCCGGATACTTTTCTTAGTAATACGATTTCAAATTGCCTTCAAGCTGATCACACGCTGAGAGATCCTCATTTCAGCTCATTTCATACGTAGCCAGAATGTCCGAAGAAATGGAAATTGATACCTGTATGTTTTTTTGTGAAGATACCCCGGATTCCAGCCACTAACGACATATAGCCCCATCAAGTGAAACCCCACAGTCACAGGAAGTGGAGACCAAGAAAGACGCCAAGAAGAGATTTGAGGTCAAAAAGGTATGTTGTATCAAATGCATGGAATTATACAAATACTGCCATTCCTACCCGTGTCGCCATAGTATTTGCCGGTATCGCAGTGTCTGACGCGATGCAGTACTATTCGATGGGTCTCAATGCTGTTTGCCGACCACTATGCTATTCGATCATATCACCCGTTTCATTCATTTTGACCAATTACTAATGCTTTCAGTGGACGGCCGTGGCCTTTTGGTCTTGGGGTATGTAGCTCTCATCCCCCACTACGCAACAATTACTAACCCTTTTAGATATTGTGGTCGATACCTGCGCCATTTGCAGAAACCACCTAATGGATCAATGTATCGAATGCCAACCGAATAGCATGAATGGCCAACAGACCGAGGAATGTATAGCCGCCTGGGGTACCTGTAACGTATGTATCACCGTTTCCCCTATCCGTCTCGTACTAACCTTTTAGCACGCCTTCCACTTGCATTGTATCACCAGATGGTTGAAGAACAGAAACTCCTGCCCGTTGGATTCCAGAGAGTGGGTATTTCAAAAGTATGGTCGTTAGTGGCTCTTTTTTCTCCGACTGCTGGCCAATGTCCCTTGTTTAGAGCTGTAATCGGCTTTTGCATTATACCTTTATATTATTCACTTTATGCGCTTTGCTAGCTTGTAGGACGTGCCACGGGTTTTAGGGATAGATCCTACCTTCAGCGTAAGGGCTATTAAATGGTATTCTTGTTATAGTGGCACAGAAATGCATTTATCATGGTAGATTCACACCACATGTATTTGCCAAATCTACTGTTCCGTAGATAACCCAATAAAGTAAAATTGTAGGCTTCTGAAATACTGTATTTTTGATCGCTTATCATCCACAGAGTAAATACGTCTACTTCTAGAAGGTATTTATGTCTCTCAACAATCGTGTATCCGGGGATCTAGACCTTATAGGCTTAGCATAATACAGCTTCGAGTTCGTAGACCAAGACCCTGTTGCAAATTGCAGGGACCAAGGATTTACATTTGAGCCGCTTTTAAAAGCCCGCCTTATAAATGTTAGTAATTATTTTAACAAAAACGCTTAAATCCTCTCCAATTGTCGTTTCCGAAAGTCGTGCTGTGAACAGCCGCTGCAAGAATGAAAAACTCGATCCAAGAAAATCGGTTCAGTTTTAAGCGCCGTGGATTCACCATCTTCCTCAGCCACCATGTCTTTGAGAGAGGCCCAAGCTGACGTCAAGGAGGAGCTTCAGAACCTATACAGCACCCTTGGCTCGACCGTCCACAACCTCTGCAACCTCTTTGTGACTTATGGAGAGGTTTTTGAAGCCAACCAGGACGAACTTGGCGACCGATACGCCACATACAACGACGATGCGGCAAACATCATCCAGCGGTTACTCAAGACGTTCGGGATGCTCGATAAATTCGATTTGCGGTACCGCGAGCTCGAAAGCCTTGACGAAATGCGCTCCATCTACTTCCAACTCGTGAAGTTTGCGCTCCCCGACGTGATCATGCGCGCAGATGCGCTTTTGATGAGATTTGAGACGGAGCTATGCGCCGCAAATCTCCACAAGATAGTCTCGTGTCGTGCACAGCAGAACTGTGCGCAGATGGTGCGCGCGTTGAATGACAGCATCGGTATCTTGAGCGAAAGCGCGACGCTCGCTGACTGCGACTTGCTCCAGCTCCGCGGTAATTTGCGTATGGTGCATCGCGTGCTGAGCGCGTTGTGCTCACGTGTCTCGGTGTTGGCGCTCTCCAATAGGCCGTCGCACATCGAATTCCGCGCAATGTTGGGCACCGCTGCGTCCATGGACTTTCCGTCGTACAACGCGTACTTCGAGGCGCGGCAGCGCGCGACGATGCGTGCGTGTATCACCATGCCCGGCAAAAAGGAGGTCCGCGCGGACTTGAACAACCAGTATAACCACATCTTCATGGACGTGTTCAGCCATGGCAAGTTTGCTATTGACGTCGGACGTTTCTTATTGGACACGCGCATCAAGACTAACACCCCCGCTCGCAATGCCAACATCCCCGCGCGCAAGGCCGTCTACGGCGCGATCCAAGAGTCTTTCCAGATATACGAGAAGATTGCGTTGTCGCGCTTACACCAGCCGAGCATCGACTCCAAGGATCCTATCATTACCCTCGTGGGTGTGCTTTTGAAGCCCCTTGCGGCCATCAACGAGTACATTATGGCTGTCATGGATGTCGGTGCCTCCCTCCCAGGGTTGAAGGTGTCGCGCACCGACTTTTCCAAATTGATCACCGAGCTCACAGACATCCGCGACGTGCTTTCCGTGACCAAACTCCAGGTCTTGCTTGAAAACGCGTCGTACATCTTGTACGCCAAGTTGTGCAAGGATGAGTTTGTGCGTATCACTAAGGTGATGCTCCTCAACGCCAAGGGTATGGGTCTCGAGGTCGAGGACGAGCTCATGGATATTATCAACCTGAAGGAGTCCTATGGCTGCTGTTCTGAGCACCACCTGGGGCTTCGCCACCAGCTCAGCCACCATCATGAGGATGACTCAGACGATGAGTACCTCTTCGATGATATAGATTAGGGAGCGCCAATTTTATGACCTTGATGATTTAATTTACGATGGATGCTAATTATAACATGTAAAATTGACATTGATCTTGGTATCGATTTTTTAATATATAGTTGTAAACTGTACGTATAAATTGCTATATAAATAGATATAAATGGTTTTAGGCGTTATATGACCATGTCGAGTGTGTTAAAGGTAATATCTGATATTGCAGGCGTTGTCGACGATATCCAATAGATATACATTGGGTCTAGACATTAAATATTATAATTGATTAATCTTTGTTAACGATATATATATTAAAGGCCTAACTCACCGTACGTATCATATTATGAAATTGAAGAACTGCTCATAATAATCCATTAACATAAACATTTCCAGCACAAACTTCCGTTCTGCCATACATCTAGAACCATATCTTAGCTCCAATTCCAAATATCAACCACAAAGTTGTGTATAACCCTCCTACTTCCATTTACCTATACATTTTGACAGATCAAGCTATCGGATCCGAGAGTATATAGCATTAACGTTATAGATACATTCCCCGCCTCTCTAATACCTTCCCTTTCCAAGGAATACCGCCAGATTCATGCTCGGCAAGGCTGACTGTGGGGGTGTCCACAGACATCTCCAGCCGAAAAATAGCCAAAATCATATGATCTATCTGTGGGGTGAGTCCGATGCCTATCTGATATCCTGCATTTAGCAATAGGGAGTCTATTGGGGCCAGACACTCGCACGGCTCCAAAGTGGCCTACTACAACGGGGTTGCGTTCACGCCGAAAGCTCGGCCAAGGGGTTCGCTCAGGTCTAGCCATCTGCAACATCGTCCTGCTATCCTACAGGTTGAAGTAGCCCGGTCACAAGAATTTTCGCATCAAAACGCCGTAAGCTGCAACCCATTGACATGGCAATTTTGAATGACTTGGCCATTTAAGCTTTGGTTTTTGAAATTGCTTATCTCTGTGTTCACACCTCCTAAGGCACTTGGCCTCGTATCCTTTACCTGTCAACTTGTGGTAGGATGTGGCCAGATTTTTCTTTTGCTGCTCACGGAAAAATTTTCACCCTCAGAAAAAGAAACTCTCGCGCTGACTTAGTCATGCGCCTGTCATGTCAGGACGGGTGACAGCTAACCCTATCATACAGGGGATTTAATCTTTCGGCTACCTGCGTGCGCCAATTTAAGGAGATGGGCTTACAGCCAGCGTACGGCGGGAAAAAGGAATAATATCGGACAGATTTGTGCAGTGCATTGCATATCAATTAATGCTCGCCATTTCAGTCACGGAGTGGATTGGCGATTCGGCCGTTAGCAGTTTTGAGAATGAGGATATGACCATGAATGTGAAATTAGCATAGATTATGAGATATTGCGTGACCACAGAACAGTAACCAGAAACGTTAAAAGATAAACCAGCTAGGCTGTCATCGCCGAGACGGAGGAAAGACCGGAGATAGAGTTTAATGCTCAACAAGGCATCACAGGGCAGAACTTTATCCGGATATATTCACTGGGTAATATGCCAAAGTCATCACGATAATTATGCTGTGAAATAGGCACAATTCCTCAGATATCAATTTAGAACTGGGAATAGTGAGATAAAACTTTAATGGGAAGGTGCTCCTACGAATACCGCTCTAGGACCAATTGACTCGGGTAAGTTGACTGGGGGTTTATATCTGCTAAGCAGGCTAAATGGACAAAATACCCAAGGGGAAACTTAGCCTGTTTAATCAAATTACAGCGGGGTGGACCACTATAATCTACCCGTCGGGGGGCTTTCCACTTTTGACCTATAATTTGGCAATACTTCAATCCTTCTCAATCTTAGTTAAACAGGCTAAATTTCCCTTAGACATTTAATACGCTTTGTAAATTAAACATTACGAAGCTATTATTCCTAGGAATAAGACGAAAAAACAGGTGATAATAATTTGTACTAAAAAGGGGCCTTGACCCTTGCAACCATGTATGCTATACTGCATTCGATCACTGGAAAGATAACCACTTGTCTAGCTTTTACCACCTTATCGTACGGCCCTGAGCCCTACAAAAACTTAATTTAGAAAGCAGCTTGAGGTTTTAAGCGTAAAGTCGCCGAAGCATGGTGTGATGCCAGCGACCTCCATTGTTTCACCGAGTGTCATGATGTTCGTATACACAAGATGCGACTGCATTCGAGATAGCCGTACGACCACGGTGTCTGAAAGCCGATAACGTGCTGCTTACCAGTGACTTGAAACATGTGAATCCTATGTGTGGCGCTTTAACGGAGAATTTACGAACCAGGATAGTCTCATTTAGCTCTTCTCTATGGGACGTATGTCTGCCCAGACTTTACGCAAGACCAAATGCAGTGGCCCCCCACACTTTCAGCTCACTAGATAAACCATCGGTTCTTATCTTTTAGCCCCAAAGCGTAAACTAGCATCCCAAGAGACCGACATACCCCAAACGGACAATTAACCCGTATACTTGGAGAGGCGGTTTGTAGTTTAGAGATAAGGCGTAGGATATGGCGCTCAAGTAGTATTCCTCCGCTGGGTCACTGTAACTCTTATCCGTGAGTTTAATTGAAGGGGAATATGCATCGTCCGGCGAAGATTTCAAAAAAAATTTCTCTCACAACAGCTTTCTCCATCCTTTTAACACAATCACCTGCCCCGAGCACCGTCTCGAGGCCCCGACTGGTAAAGGCTCCGATACGGAACAGCAGAGAACGTGGAATCCACGCGGGATTGCTGGCTCCGTAAATAAAAACTTGTGGTTGCAGGTGCCAGTGTAGCTAGACTGAATCTGTGAGACACGATTATCAGATCCCGGTGCAAATATTCCTCAAGAGAGCTAATTAGCACCGCTCAATCACCGTTACTAAAGACGGCTATCGATGGATATCAATCTTTGCCAACTTATCCCACTAAACTACCCAACTTACCCCTCTATCACCAATTTTCTATCCATACCAATGCCTCTAATCATGTCACCAGTGGGTACGGCAGTTTAAACTTCCGAACGGGTATCAATCATGCATGCCAAAAGCTTAAGCGGTGGAATGATACCCCTGTCTGCATCGGACGCTAGGTGCTGCCTTTTGGGCTACCCGCGGCATGAGTTTTTCCCTTGCCGTTTCTTTTTCTTCGTCTCTACGACCACTCTCAACTCCAACTCCGTACACCACTAAACAAGAGAAACTGATTGCTACAGAGTGGTGCTCTTTATAAAACTAATACGTAACCGGTTGTTTTGGGAAATAGTGGCGAGCTTAGTTAAGGGGGCCGCCCCGCGGAATCCCTGAAAAATCTGCAGGCAGACAGACACAATTTACGAACGAGCTCAAATGCACGTTATGCACCACACAAAAAAAAGAGCGTGCATGAGGTGAACGCGGGCATTTTCCCACTGCTGCCATCACATACCCATACGAACAATGCGAGATTAGACCACTTTCGAACACCTGGTTGGGCGGAAAATGTCTGGGCATGTACGTAGATGGCCTAAGGGGCAGCACAAGATATTGCAAAGCGTAAACCCACGTAATCGGCGCATGCACCTATTGCGTGCCTCCCGATACACCACCGTCAGCAATGTCCCATCTCCACTTTTTTGCATTAGAGGGCGGGCCATTTCCGTTATGAGAGTATCGGCCGATGGAAAATATAAATATGGGTGCGGCCCCAAGTTTTTGAAAACGTTTCCCATACTCCATCTTTATACATAACCATGGATTTGAAGGAAAAGATTGACGAAAAGTCAAACGAACACAACGGGATTGAAGTGCAGAGCGCCGAAGACTCCAATGACCTCGGAATGGTCTACGCCAACGGAGATGGCTTCGAGGAGGAAGAAGGGAGAATGCCGACCGACGAAGAAATGAAGACCTTGCGTCACATTTCCGAAAAGATTCCATTATCGTGTTGGTTGGTTGCTATTGTTGAGTTGTGTGAGCGTTTCTCTTACTACGGTTTGTCCGGTCCTTTCCAGAACTACATGCAAAACAGTCCAACAGATACCCCGCCGGGTATCTTGAACTTGGGTAACTCCGGTGCCACGGCTTTGTCGTACTTCTTCCAGTTTTGGTGTTACATCACCCCAATTTTTGGGGCCTGGATTGCCGACTCTTTCTGGGGTAAGTACAAGACTATCTTTGTTTTCTGCATCATTTACTTCTTTGGTATCTTCATCTTGTTCATCACCTCTGTTCCATCTATCACCTCTCCGTCTGTGGCTCTTGGCGGCTACGCCACTGCTATTGTTATCATTGGTATTGGTACTGGTGGTGTCAAGTCTAACGTTTCCCCATTGATTGCTGACCAGATTCCAAAGACTAGTCCAAGAATCCACATCATCCCAAAGACTGGCGAACGCGTTATTTTGGATCCAGCTGTGACCATCCAGAACGTTTTCTTGTTCTTCTATTTGATGATTAACGTCGGTTCCCTTTCGGTTATTGCTACTACTGAATTGGAGATGCACAAGGGTTTCTGGGCCGCATACCTCTTGCCATTGTGCTTCTTCGTTGTTGGTATTACTGTCTTGGTTATCGGTAGAAACAAGTACGTCAAGACCCCACCTTCCAGCACCGTCATCGCTGACAGTTTCCACATCATGTGGATCGGTGTCAGAAACAAGTTCAGCTTCGACGCTGCCAAGCCAAGCAACAGCCCGGACAAGAACTACCACTGGAACGATCACTTTGTTGAGGAAGTCAAGAGAGCCATGATTGCTTGTAAGGTATTCTGTTTCTATCCGATCTACTGGGTGGTTTATGGCCAGATGTTGAACAACTTTGTCTCCCAGGCTGGCCAAATGGAGTTGCACGGTTTGCCAAACGATATCTTGCAGGCTATTGACTCCATTGCCATTATTGTTTTCATTCCAATCTTTGAACATTTTGCTTACCCATTCATCAGAAGATTCACTCCTTTCAGAGCAATCACCAGAATCACCCTCGGTTTCTTCTTTGGTGCTGCTGCCATGGCCTATGCCGGTGTCTTACAACACTACATCTACAAGGCCGGGCCATGCTACACTTTCCCATCTCAGTGTGCTGCCTCTGACAACGGTAAGATTCCAAACCACATCAACATTGCTCTCCAGGTGCCAGCTTACGTTTTGATCGCTATTTCTGAAATCTTGGCTTCCATTACCGGTTTGGAGTACGCCTACACCAAGGCTCCATCCTCCATGAAGTCCTTCATCATGTCCATGTACTTGCTCACTACTGCTTTCGGCTCCGCCTTGGGTATCGCCTTGTCCCCAACTTCCGAAAACCCCAAGTTGGTCTGGACCTACACTGGGTTGTCCGTCTCTTGTTTCATCGCTGGTGTCTGCTTCTGGTTGTGTTTCCATCACTACAACAAACAGGAAGTAAAGCTCAACGCTTTAGAATACAACAAGGAATCTGCCGAAGGCGTCAAAAACTCCGATGCCCAGGATGCCGAGAACGACATCATGCCAATGATCTCTCCAAAGTCCTTCTAAGAACGATAAGTTTATTGTGTATACTACTTTTCATGCTGCGATATAGGGTCCCAAATCTCGCAGCATCCAACCGGTTATTATCGTTATTTGCTAATTTATGGTTTTCATGTGCTACTACTGTAAGACCTCGCTAAAAATAATTGAGAGGTATCTTTGCACCATTGTAAAGTTCATTTTGATGGGGATCTAGTTAAGAAAAGGCTTCAACTCGGGTGCCCAGTGCATAGATGAAATGACTCTCACATGCTTTTGCTCCTTTTGTGCTGGGCCTCATGTCAATATTCTGGCAGAATGCCGAAAATATCCTGTATGTATTACTAACAACGGGTCTCGGTTCGTATTCCGTCAGAGGATAGCCGGTCTCCCCATTGAACGAACCGTACATTGTTTTAGCTAGAATGATATTAATCGATATACGGCGGTCTTCATGGTTTATATGTTATACATTTTACCGTTAATGCACGAAGGTCGCTCCCTTTATATGGTGTAACACGTGACCTTTTCACGTGACACACTCCGGCGTCTGTGCGGGGAAAACGCATTTAAGTCTCAGTAGTTTCTGCCTCTGCCTCTCTTTACCTCTCTGCTTCGCACTGCATCAATGAATAGACTAGGTCCCCAGGGGCGAATGATGCAACAGCAGCTCCAGACATCCCCCCAGACCTACTCGACCCTCCAGCCACAACCGCTCGACTACTTGTTCCATGACTTGGTGCACCCCCAGCCGGCCACCACGGGCAAGCAGCTCTTGTCATACCTCGCGTACTACATCCCCACGATCAAAAACGAGAGAAATTTGCTGCTTCTTATGTTTCACACATTCAGGTCGCCGGTGCTTTTTGGGTTGGCCAGGGGTAACGACATCGATCTCGAGAGCGCGTACGGCGTGTGCGAGGTGTTCAAGTTCGCGGTCGAGAAAAAGTTGCAGGTTAGCCAGCCGACACTTCCGGTCGCTCTTTTCTACCAGACGGTGCTCGAGGCGTTGCTCGAGGTCAAACAGCAGGGGAAATCCATGTGGAAGCTTGCACCGGTCATTGCTGGGATCTTGGCTGCCAACCCGGTGCGCGATCAGCACCAGATCCCGGAGCAAACGCGGGGATTTGCAAGGGTAGACGCCCAGATGTGCGCTTTGCTCATTGAAGTGGTGAATACCACGATTGCGGGCGCGCGAAATGCAGGCCACACACCGCCAAACGTCCGTGCGTTAATGCTTCTTGCATCCGCTAGTGCTTTCCCTTTGTTGCCTGAATCTGCACGCGCCAAGTTGCCCCACCAACAAATCCTCAACGATACAATCCGACTTGTTTTCAACGAGGGGTTGCTGAACGGCGAGGTCTTCCGCAACCACGCACCTGAGTTATTCCTGCTGCTCATGACTGAAGACATTGTGGTGAAAAACTTGAACCGTTTGTCGTTTCTCATCGAAAACTGCTACCTCCATATGTCCGGGACCTCGGGCTACTTCCCCGGCGGAAGCCATGCTAATAACCCCGCACGCATCGAGGAATCGTTAGCCAGATTGGCAGGGTTCTCCAAGAACTTGAATTATGTGGTCGCACTGGGTCCTGGCACCTTTACGGCGGAAGAACTCGTGCTCTTGAAGCAGATTCTCTTTTCCTACGTGATTATGTTCCAGGGCTTGTGCACCCTTGCTCTCACATTCAATTCTCAGGCAACCCTTTTGCGTTTTCGCTTCGCTGCAAGCTTTCGCACGGTCTTGAACTGCTTGTTTGACTTGAATTTTATCTTGGAAAAGATTGGCACTGGAGGCTTTGCGGCCTACAACTTTGTCTACTTCACGGCGCTCGATGGCCTCTTCCAGTTAGACTTGAGGCTGGCCAGTCAGCTTCCAGAGGCGTTTGCCAGTCAGTTGCACGTGATGAACCACCCAGAGTACACAATTGTTGACGAATCGAAGCTTTTGTTCATGTTGGGCTACAGCGAGCATCTTGTGAAGCTTACGGCATCGTCTAGAGCCGTCAATCGTGTCGCTCGCGTGCTGATCTTGCCCATGGCGGAAGGGATCATTGTCCAGAAAGCCACTTCTGTGAAGGCCAAGGCGGTGGTTGAGTCTGCTCATTCGGTGATTTTGTCACATATAGCCGCCACCACCACTGACGTAATGTCCTTGTCACGCATTCTCCCGTACCTCATGGTGGTACTCGACCAGTTTCCGTCCGTGTTATCCCCAGCGCAGCTCAACATTGCTGTCGAAACCTTGGCTAAGTCATTACTAGGTAATTGCGCCGATGACTATGGCGATTCGCTTTTGCGGTTACTAGCGCAGAGATGCGCCGCCACCGAGCCGGGGCTTCCGCTTAACCCCTCCTACGCGCAATCGATCCTTTCCCACCAGCAGCTCTCCTCAGCCCCAGCGACCGAGTTGCATAGTAACCCTGTGGTCACAGAGCAGGTCACTAATGACGGGCAGTTGAACATTGTCGAGTCTTTGAGCCCGACTATCAGATCATCCTTGGTTACGGCCCTCATCTTGACCGTGCCGTACATACCGGAGCACAAGCTTGTTCACTGGCTAGACGAGATCTGGGTGTTGATTATGAGAAGTGATAAGCGTGAGCAGAAGCTTCTCTCTGAGAGCTTGGGCAACTGTATCGGCGAGAACTTGGATTTACACAGGGCTAACACGGCTATCCAGTGGTGGTTTCAGCGTGCGACCCCGAAGTTGTAGAACTAACATACTATATTGCTCCTTTCCAATATATGGTAAATGCATTGGTTTGTCTCAAAATACTATTTTTATTATCATTGGGTGGGTATATTTAGTTTAATCAATGGTACGTACTTACCATCAATCACACAGGCTATAACTGGGAATTCAGTAAAAATGAGAGAAATTAAAAAGAAAAAAATTCCAAATTACTTTCCAAGAGCCAGAAAGTAACATTTAACTGAGTGGGAAAGAGGCAAGATTGGTAGATTCAGCGTTTTCAGGTAATCCAAGTCTTATCGGATTTTAACTATGGTGCAGACCTTGCAGCGAGACTTTAATCTCCTGCACCGAGCTGTCAGGGAGCGCAGGTCTCAGGAGACGCTATCAAAGCAAGACGAAGGGAATCCACATCAGAGCAAAGAAGCCAGACGAAGGCAAGCCAGGCAAAACCAAGTCAGACAAAACCAAGTCAGCTAAAAATACAAACTTACAGATCCAAGCTCCGTACCAACTGGCCTGATCATATTCCAAGCCTATACATCAACAAACTGACGCTCTTCCAATGACCCGTATTTCACCCATAAAAGCGTTTATCAATACGCCCATCTCTCAGCTTTGCTGTGTGGTTACCCTCGCAGTCCCGTTTGCCACATCGCTCATGGATATCAAGTATCTCTTTCTTCTTTCGTACACTCCCGCCATCGCACAGTGGCATCAGTACTGGCGCTTTGCCACTTTTCAGACCGCATTCACCCAAGAATCGGACGTGCTACTTGGGGTGCTTCTCTGGTACAACTTCAAGGTCTTGGAACGCCTCTACGGGTCGCACAAGTACTTAACCGTGATCTTTCTTGCGTTTGTGTGGAATGCGGTTCTTGTCGCAGCGCTTTTCTTCCTTAACCAGATCTTGGTCCAGTTTACCGGCTGGAGTTGGTTCAACACCGTAGCCTCTGGCCCCCTCGCCATTTTGTTTAGCTTACTTGCCATATACTACAGTAAGGTACCTGTGTCATACCTGTTTGAGGTTCAGTTGACTCCACAGGATAACCCCTCACACGTGCCGAAGAAGTTACTATTGTCAGACAAGTCGTTTGTGTACGTGTTGACGCTTCAGATGTTTGTCAATAACGGGTGGCACTCGATGGTACCGTGCCTTGTGGGGTTGGTGACGGGCTGTGCCATTGTCAACGACTTTCTCCCTGGCCAGAACCGTTGGCGCATCCCGTTGTATGATGGTGTTAGTGAATGGTGGCGCGGAGACTACAGACGCGCTGTGAGCGTACCGGAGGCGCTGACCGAGCCAGAGGAGGAAGAGGAAGAGGATGCGGCGGAGCCAGTCAGACCGTTAACCACCCAGTTGCTCAACACCTTTAGAGCGTGAGAAAAAAAATTACAACTGGTTTGAGGAAATATCGATAAACGTCTGTTAAATTGCAGTATTTGGATTGTGGTTCGACTCAATACCCGAAAATTGATGATTGGGTTATCCTGGTTTGTTGAAACAGCGGCCAAAGTCTTTGTCGCAAGGCCTTTGGTTGAAATTCCTCGACCGTGCAGTTTACCGGAAGCGTTCAGACTTCAGATCCCTGTGTGACTGCCTCTTCTGGACGACTTCACCAGAGCCGGGAACATTCTTGATATCGATCTCTATTCAGTCTATATAATTTCCAGGAAATATTCTCGTAGTTGGCTATGAGTGAAGATAGGGTACTTTTGAATCAAGAATTACTCAAAACAATACTAGAAAGTGGGATATCTGTTTACCCTCAAACTCACATCTATAACTAATCATATTAAACCTACCAGATGTAGTGCCACCACGCCGACTTTACATTTCTGTCGATGTTTGGTAGTAAGAGCCAGCAGCCCAAACAAGCGGTGAACAAACCGATAAACATGGGCAACACAACATACGTACCCACGAACTGAGAAATCAATCCCACGAGGAAGGGAAAAATCGCCCCACCGGAGGAGCCAAACGCCGTAGCAATTGTCAACGACACGATCTGGATCTTCCGCGGTAGGTGTCTGGTGGCGACGGTAATCATGAGCGGATACACGGGCCCTATGGCCACCCCGCAAAGAGACACAAACAAGCTCGCGGCAATGACATTAGGCACTAACCAGGTCAAAAGGGCAAACCCGATCGACCCGACCAAGAAGATGATGACACTTCTGCGCCCCCCAAGGTACTTGGCAAACGGGTGCGTAAGGGTCAACCTTCCAACGGTTAAGCCCGCCCAGAAACCAGAGGCAACGTATTCGATGGTTTCGGGGTTCCCGCTTCGCAGTTCAAGCAAGAAAGTAGTAACCCAGCCTCCCATCGCAACTTCTCCACCCTGGTAGAAGAGCACAAACAAGGCGATTAACCAGGTTGGAATGTCCTTTATCGCGAGCGCCATAAGCGACTCCTTTTTCACCACTGGCTCAAGATTTTCAGCGGAAAGTCGGCTCATTCGAAGCTCATTCGTGGAACGGTCCACCCCAGCGGCCACCGATAATTGTCTGGAAGGCCCACCGCTTGTCAAGGCGATCTCTTCGGTCTTTTCCCCATCGTGGTGGTCCCAGGGTTTGAGATCTTCGTCAGCACCCAGAAAAGCGAGCCAGAAATTGGCAAGGTTAAAGATCGCCAAGCCGAGAAGAATGAGATAATAATAGCTCCACTTGATTCCGGCATTCACCATGGATTTCGAAATGAGCGGCGCTACAGTGGCACCGGCGCCGTAACCCCCATGGAGGTAGCTCAAGTAAGTGGCGGCGTTGTCCATACGACTGAGGAAGATGTTGACCTGGGCGAGACAGACCGCGAGCCCGGTACCCACGAAAAAGAAGCCCATCACAGTGAGCTCAAACGGTCCCCCAGGGCTGACCATCGCGTACATCACCACCTGACACAAGACTCCGAAGAGAAGCAGCTTGGTTTTTCCCAAGTACTTGTCAAGCTGCGAGGCAAAAGCAGCCACAATCACAAACCCAACCGCAGAAGCCATCCATATCATAGATACAATCGCATAGGAAATGTCGTAGTATGCTTCAATCGTCGGAAGAAGCGCCCCCGGCGCGCCGTCACTGAGACCCCCGCAGAACCCCCATATACACGCAGCAATAACCCTGTGGCGATTTTTTGGCGGGTTGCTCAACGTCATGTCTCTCGGGCCGTCTTCATCCAACTGAGTCTCGGAATCGAGATTGATGCCGGTTTCTGAAAAATCGAGCCTCTTGCTTCCCCTGATCTGTTTCGGCGCCGAAATATTGTTAGAGGATGGGATTCGAAGTAATGCCAGCCGCTGCTGGTCTGGGAGGGAAGAATCCTCGAACGAACCGTCAAACATGTTGACCGAGAACTCCACGCCTGGTGTGGTAAGCAAGACCTCAGGGAGCGGTGGAGGGATAATGGCGGAACCGTAGGCATCGGAAAGAGGGAGCAAGTCCGCTTTGGCGCCGGACAAGCGACGATTGGTGAAGGCTGACTCAGCAATGCCGTCCAGGTCAAAGTCCGGGGGGTTACGAGGGCCAGCCAATTTAGGGCTGTCCACATGCTCATCCGAGCCATTAGTATGGTGCATGATATGAACTTCGGTGGCTATCTAGTGGAAATTCAAGTAGCGAGAAGGTATTGGGGGCCTCAAACCTCAATAAGGGAAAAAGGATACAGAGGAATGTCTTATGTATGGAAAAGCGTCAAGTCAGAGTGACTCTTAGGGTGTCGTATTAGTAATCATATTTGTAATCATCTTTTCACCCGCCAATGATCATCCAAAAAAGAAACCATCCTTGTATGCTATACTAGATTGTAGACGACAAAAATATCCCTACAGGGTACTAACTCGTCATATAGTAAGCAATTGATCGCGAAATATTTCCCGATCGGGAATAGCTACGCCATGCACGAAGGGCTACAACACGTATACATACGTCTATAAGGCATATGCAAGTTTCAGGAAATCACATAGAATCTATCAGTGGGTCTAATAGAGCTCAGAGCTGAGAACTAGCGCAACTCACCAAACATGATGCCACCAGGCAGTTTTAACATTCCGATCAATATTTGGCAATACTAACCAAAAGCCCAAACACGCGCTGAACAACCCAATAAAAACAGGCATCACCACGTAGGTCCCTACATACTGAGAGAGTAGACCCACAAGGAATGGAAAGAGAGCACCCCCGGCCGACCCCATCGCCGTGTTAATCGTCAACGCCACCACCAGGACCTTTCGCGGAAAGTGTCTTGTAGCCACTGTAATCATTAGTGGGTAGACTGGGCCGATGGCCATTCCACAAAGTCCCACGCACAAACCTGCGACAACCACATTCAGAACCAACCAGGTGAGCAAGCCAAAGATAATGGCCAAGAGCATGAAAACTATGACGCCTCTACGTCCGCCCAAGTATCTATTGCCAAGACGCGTAAGACCAAGACGGCCAATCGTCAAACCAGCCCAGAACCCGGAAGCAACATACTCGATGTTGCGGGGATTACCATTTCGGGACCGAAGGAGAAAGGTCACGACCCAGCCCCCGAGAGCCACCTCACCCCCGGTGTAAAACATTGAAAAGAGGCATAGAAGCCCCAGAGGAATGTCCTTGAGAACAAGCATGGTGAGGCTTTCTTTCCTGGAAGTTGGAATAAGCGGAAGAGACGGAGCCATACTCGCTGATTGAGCAACGGATACTGATGGAGTCTCCATTTCGTATCCATAATTAATGCTTGTCATAGGGGCGGCCATTTCATTGTGAGAACCTTGATTTGTCTCGTTCCGATCTTGGAAATAACCTGATATCCCAGTAGTTGGGTTGGTACTAAGTTGGGAGTTGAATTCACAGTCTTTGGTGTCTGTATGATCCATAATTGAGCCTCCCACACGCACCCTTTTTGGCTCGTCCTTGGTTTTGGTGTATATATAGCCAATGTCATAACAATCAGGAGCAATAGTACTGTTATTAGGTATCCAGGCATCGATTGACACCAATGATATCTCCGCTTGTTCTTCGTCCCTTGCATTCTGGGTCGGCGTTTCACCCACAGTTGCCTCCCATGGCTTTAAATCTTCATCTGCTCCTTCAAAGGCTACCCAAAAGTTTGCTACGTTACAGAAGGCCAAGCCAAGAAGGATTGCATAGAAGTAGCTCCATTTCACTCCGGCATTCACCATAGACTTGGAGATAAGGGGTGCAACCGTGGCACCGGCTCCGTAGCAGCCATGGAAGTAGCCCAAATATGTGGCTGAGTGGTCTAGCCTACTGAGGAAGATGTTTAGCTGTGCTGAACAAATTGCCAAGCCAGTACCACAGAAGAAGAAGGCCACGACAGTTACCTCGAATGGACCTCCTGGACTGACCATGGCATACATCGCGACCTGAAAAGCAATACCCACACAAAGAGAGGTCCGTTTACCGAGATACCGGCTCAACGTGGAGGATAAAAACGCCACGAGAATGAATCCAAGGGCACTAGCCATCCAAATGAGAGAAACCATTGTATACGAGACGTTGTAGTATGCCTCGATGGTTGGTAAGAGACCACCTGGGGCACCATCACTGAAACCACAACAGAAACACCAGGTACACGCGGCAATGACACGATGAAGGTTTTTAGGAGGGTTGTTTAACGTCATGGGTGGTACCTCTGGGGTACTCAGCACGTCTGACTCTTGCCTGTTTCTGGCTCTGAGAACGGATACGTTGTATTGGGGTAACGCAGGAGGAGGATCATTATAAGAGTTGAACATCTGTAATGTGATTTCTGCGTCTGGGGTTGTGGGAATTGATTCTGGAACGGGTGGAGGGATAATAGTGGAGTCATGGGAAAGGGGGAGAAGACCTGGTCTGGAAAATGGTAAACCCTGGTTAGAGGTCAGATTTGAAAACCATTCAAAGTCTTTCTTGTCCGAATGGACGACCTTCTGCTGATACGATCTGGACATTAGGGGGAATGAGTTTATAGTACACTGCCTCCACTTTCAGAGGCCTTACTAGGTTTAATTTTTTTTTTCTATTGTAATACTGTTCAAATGATACAGTCGAAAGGGATAAACTGATTTAAAACAATGGAAATAAAAGCCAGAGGGTGTTTGTATTCATATTTATAGACTTATATCAGGGAGCCAAGAATGGTCATTTATTTGCGGGATTATAAAAGTGAGGGTAACAAAATTGGAGCCTTAACCACTAATGGCACCGTGTAGAGTACAGTCAATGCCTCAGGAGCCAGTCATGTAAATTCCAAAAACAGTAATGCTAGAGTGGTGACGCTGACAAATTGATTTTTCGATAAGTGGAGCAGAGAGATCATTGGCACGGTGACTTGCTAGTCTTGGCTTACCAAATGTAGATTTGCGTTTTTTTTTTTTTGGAGGCCCTCCAATCCCCAAGGTTTCCCCACCTTGGGGTAATATCCAGATCGAGAAAGAACTCCCAGAAAAGCGGCTGAAATAGCCGCGTTCTGCATTCATGCAGCTCCACGATCATGCGCCGGCGATGTACCGTTCATTTGTACGCGACCCGGCGCTAGCGGGCACCCTTGTGACGATGACCAGGACTTAAGGTTTAAATACTGCTAAATTTAGTGCTGTCCTCCCAAGGGTTTGGAATAGATGTGGCCTTAAAATAACTTTTCCCGGGTCTTTAAATCGCCTTCCGATGGGGGTCTAGATCTTTGGTCTGCGGGGAGAATTGTGTATACCATCATACGCCATCGACGATATCGGTTAGAGCTCATACAAGTGCATCACGCTCTCTATTCAGCCTCTCTCCCACCTATTAACGTAACATATTAACATTTAGATATACAGTTCTTAGATCTTCAAGTTCTTGGCCTTCTCCTCGGCCTCTCTTAACTCTCTTCTTCTGACCACGTCCCAGTTGTACAACCGCGCGGTATTGACCTCCATGGTGGTTATGTTTTCTCTCAAAAACTCCAAATCTTCGCCCACGACCGCCAACTGGGACTCGGCGGCAGCCAACTTCTCGGCCAACAACTCGTGCGCCTCCTCCAACGGGTACTCTAACATGACATCGGCGCCAAGCCACAAAAACACAGACTGTGCCTCCTTCGGGGCGATCTCAGCCTTGGTGTATAAGGTGTCATTCAACTCGTAGTTACACTCAATGACGTCGTCGGAATCTTGCAGCGCCTGCAAGTGCTTTACCATGCTAAGCGACTTGGTGATATCGGGAATCTTTGCGTTGAGCCCGGCTTTAGAGCTTTGCTTGGATGTTTCCATATACTTGTACTGCTGAATACGCTCCTGGAACTTGTTCATAAGGTCTTCGAAGTCTGCGTCTCTCGTGACAAAGTCCTCGATCTTGGAAAGGAATGGGGACGCCGGGATCCCACGGGGATTGGTTTCATCAGTTCTAAACGTTAGTATGGTCGGATTGGTGAAAGCAAGAGGTAAGTGAAGGGTGGAGTAGTAAATGTTCCCCGGAGTGTCTGGGGTAGTCAAGGGTGATGAGTCAAGGATGATGAGTTAGATGTAAGGCTCAAAACCCCCTGGGAAAGGATATGGATTTCAAATCTTATTGCAAGAACGGTTGAGCTAATGGTAGAATGACTGCTGGAGAAGTGTACCAAGAACCAGAGACAATCGTGTCGTGAAAACCGCTAGATGAAAAAAGAACCATTTCCATTTACTGAAACCCAGCAGAAAAGCCGTAGGCATAGATCAACAACTGTTGCCAACCATATTCCTGAATCTGTGACGGTTAGTCAGGTATGGACCCATTCTTTAGATCAATCGAACCTCAATGGCCAGCGCCTCCCGATGACTAACACCCCAATGGCCAAACCTCAATTGCTAACACCCCAATAGATCGCAATCATTCCCCCACTCCTTCTCACGCAACAGTCTTCATTACTGAACCTCGTAGTTACGTACTGGGCAAAAAATCTTGCGGACATTGTGTGTGAATATAGCTAGCTATAGTATCAATTGACACTGCTTTAGATCCGTATCACTTTGTGCTAACGCCCGCTGGGTTTTTTCAAAGTCGTGCGCAGCCGAACTTAGCCGCCGAACGTGAACCGAAATCCAAGACGCAAAACAATACCATTTGATATTGCATGGAAAGGCTATTCGGCTCCGTGATTTAGAATATATCCTGCAGTAATCCACGTTTGTTGTCTTTCAGACCCAACCCATTATTTATCCCCCATTTGCTGACTACTATCTCTTACTAGCCGTCTGTCCACCTTGCTTGTCTTTTCTACCGCTATCACCCCATATACCATCACACAGCCGTTACTATGACCTCCGCTAAGTTACCCACCTCGCACACGTTATGGTCGCCGTACGATACGGTCAAAGACGCTGCGGAGTCGCTTGGTATCACGCTCAACGACGAGGTAGCAAAAAACCTCGCAATGGACGTGGAGTACCGCATCCATGAGATTCTCGAAAACGCAACCAAGTTCATGCGGCACTCGAAGCGCAAGCTCCTCATGACTAGCGATATTGAAAAGTCACTCAAATTGCTCAACGTCGAGCCTTTGTACGGTTATGACAATTCGCAACAGCTCAACTTCAAGGAGGCGATTGTCAGTGAAACCGGCCAGACATTGTACTATGTGGACGACCAGGAGGTGGATTTTGAGAAGCTCATCAACCAGCCGCTTCCGAAGGTTCCTCGCGCAAGCACGTTCACGGCGCATTGGTTGGCGATCGAAGGGGTCCAGCCGACGATTCCGCAGAACCCGCTTCTTGCCGAGATTAAGGCGCTTCCGCCGGTTTCTAGAGGCGCCATGGCCAACAGCCTCGGGGGAATCGCGCTCTCAGGCAGCTCTAGCTCTGCTGTACCAGACACTGCCAAGCCAAACAACAAAGAGCTCGAAGTGAAGCCGTTGGTCAAGCACGTGTTATCCAAGGAATCCCAGTTGTATTTCGACAAGGTCGCCGAGACGTTGGTTTCGGCGGACCCCGCAAAGGACCACTTGCGTGGTGCGGCGCTCAACTCGTTGCGCTCCGACCCGGGTTTGCACCAGCTCGTGCCGTACTTCATCCAGTACGTCGCGGAGCAGATCACCAACAATCTCGCCAACATCGAGCTCTTGTCAACCATGCTTGAAGTCATTTACTCGCTCTTGTCGAACCCCACCATCTTCTTGGAGCCATATGTGCACGCGTTGATGCCGTGCATCTTGACGCTTCTCTTGGCCAAGCGGATCGGGCCGCAGAAGTCAGCAGTCGACACCGGTGACGAGCACTTTGCGATCCGTGACTTTGCGGCTTCCTTGTTGCAGCACATCTGCAACCAGTATGGTGATTCGTACTCGACGCTCAAGCCGAGAGTCACCAGAACGTTGTTGCGCGCATTCTTAGATCCAACCAAGCCGGTGGGGACCCACTACGGCTCCATCTTGGGCCTCACGAACCTCGGAGAGGAGGTAGTCCGCTTGATATTGGTGGGTAACTTGAAGATCTGGAGCACGAGCGTGTTGGAGCAGATCGAGGATGCCCATGACCGTGATATCTTGCTCGAGAAGGTTTTGGAAGCGTTGCGGATCTTGAAGCACAAGGCGGACGGTGATATGGAGGTGGATGACTTGTCCGCCGCCGAAGCGGCTAAGTTGAGTGCCAGGATCGGTACGACCGTGGCCCTGCTTGTATTAGAGGCACCCGACAAGAAAGCGATTCTCGATGGGGTGTTCTTTGGCGAGCAGTAAATGTATGGTTTAGGTTGAGGGAATTTTGTAAGCAGGAAAACTTGAAGAAAACTTGAAGAAAATCTTAAAGACCTGAAGGAAAACTTAGAGAAAATTTGAAGCAAAACCTTAAGAGATGCTTGAAGGAATAGGTGTAGTGAACAAAGAGAGATGGGTTACCTAGATAATCTCATCCTTTCACTTGCAGTCATCTATTCAGCTGATAAACTGAGTAATGATTTTACCAAACAACCGTGCCGTTGTTATAACCTCCACCAGCACCATTTAATGTTATAACCTCCACCAACACCATTTAATGTTATAACTCTCCCAACTCTGGATCCACTCCCCTATATGCTCGCTCATCAGTAACATTTTCTGCAAAGACCGATATGCAACTCCGACCACGCACGGCGCCTCAGCCGCCACCTCCATGCAGGAGTCAGCCCACAAATTCTAGAACACTCCCACACGTGACATGAAATTTTGCAGGTGCCTATAAAGTAGATATCTCATCTCTACAGGCACATATATTCATATCTCCACTACACAGACATATACACGTATCATGTTCAGGGCTATTTCTTCATCCACGTTAAAGACCAGGGTGGTGACACCCGTGGTCCAGGTGACGCTCCCGCCGTTGCCCGAGACCCGGCGCTTCAAGTACACGGCAACGTCGTTCGTGCCATCCGCGCCAAAGGAACAGCAGCTCTTCCGCAAGATTTCAGAGTTCAAAGATAAGAACGAGCTCTCGGACTACAGACGCCACTCGCTGCCACTTGAAAAGACCGCCATGGCGTTTGACGAGTGCTGCCTGGCCAAGTTCAACCCGCGCCACCCGGCGCAGCACCAGCAGCAGCCGTTATTTGCGACGCTCACGCGCGCGATGGGACTCTACCGCCAGATCCTCCCGACGTCGCAGATGCAGCACCGCAGAGTATCTGACCTCCTCCACTTGATCGCCACCGCGATGAAGTGCAACATTTCAACCAAGTTGGTGTTGAAGAAGAAGGCGGACAACGACGCCAGGTCTGTCACAGAGCAAAACGACAAGATTGTGATTACCGCACTCCAGGAGATCTGTAATGACGCGCTCGAGAACAAAGTCTCGCTCAACTCGCACGCCATCTCCGTCATTATCTCGCTCTATGAGCGCCTCCACCGGGCAGAGGACGGGCTTCGTTTCTGGAACAACGCCAGACAGAACGATGAGGATGTCATGAAGTACATGTCGGGGAATGTGGTCGGACGCATTCTTCCGTTTTTGGCAACCTATACCGACGAGCCGTTCGAGGCGATCCAGGACTTGTACCACCGCTCACGCGACCTCAGTGGCGATTCCCCAGCGTTATCTGTCGGTATGATCTCGGTCTGCCTTAAGCACGACCAGGTGGAGGAGGCGTTGAACTTGTTCGAGGGACTTGTGGCGTCCATGGACCCTGCCGACGTCACCGGTAACGCGTACCTCTACCGTGCCCACAATGAGTTTATCTGTTCGTGCACCGACCTTAGTGTTGCGGAAATCTTCCTCGACAAGGCGCTTTCTGGAGGAATGCCATACACTACTAAGATCAACGCCTCCACGGCACGTGACTACATCGAGCGCCTCTGGGAAAAGACTCGTAACTTTGCCAAGGTCAGGGAGACCTGGGAAAAGGTGTGGAGGTTCTACGTCAAGACCAACGAAGATGATATCAACGATGGGGCAATCTCTGGATCGTGGAACCACACGTTTATGACTGTGTTTTTCGAGCAGTATCCCGAGTTTTCCCAGGAGTCGTTCATGACGTTAAAGGACGTGATCAGAACCTACAGTGAGATTAAGATGATTGATGAGCCGTTTTTGAACGTGATCTTGACATTTGCGCCCCGCTGGAAGCAGCCCCAGGTAATCGAGTCCATCAACCAGGCCTACGATATCTACAACATAACCCGCTCCCAGATTTCCCACCGCACGTACCTCAAGGCTATGGGCGCCATCGACGTCCCTGACTCTAAAATCGTGGATGCCTGGACTCAGCTCGTGTTGTTAGACGACCAGCAGGGCTACAAATACATCTCCCGCGTGGATGTCAAGGCGCTCAAGGACGCCACGATTTACTCCGAAAGTTTCTCCGAAGCCCGCGCCGATGTTTTCTTCCAGATCTTCAAGGCCTATGGCTCCCTCTGCCGCAACGCCCACGACTATGCCATCATGGTCAAGGATGATATTCACTTTAACCCCGCGTTACGCGAGCGCTACGCCGGTTTGACGCTGTTGAGTGTCGCCGAGCTTGTGGTTCCGCAGTTTAAGAACCTCCGCTCGTTCAACCAGAAAAAGTAAAACCCCTAAGAGAAGGGGTTATTTGTACATACCGAGATTTAACGACTAATTGCTAATACACGAATTATTGAAGGCGTCTGAAGGGAAACCGGTGGATTGAGGCTTAGGCAGTGCCGGAGGGTTTTTTTTTTTCACGGCAAGGGGTTTACTGTTAACGATAATAAACTTCGTGTGGCGAGCTGAACTGACACCTTTCCGGCTCTCAAAAGCTAAGACTCAGCTTTCTCTGCAACGTGGTGAGCCATTCACCTAATTGGAGCCATCCATTTAAAATGACGTCTATCGATTAGAACCGAGCCGTGCTGCCGGCTCTGAAACATCTGAAAGTCCGAGGCGTATACTAAAGTGATTCTAGACGTTCTAATTAGCAATCCTATTTATGCAGCCTCTCTATTGGTGCTCTATAATACCATAAACAAATTGCTTTCACAGTCTTTGTGTAGTTTCGCCTGCTACCCAACAGCAAGCTACAGCTGGCATTTCCATCTCGAGCAGAGACTCGCCAGCTAAATTCCAAAGCGCCGTTATATCGAATAAGCTAGGAGTACCGCTTGACCCTCAGCTAGAGCTTTAACCACTCATGATCCAAGATCTGCGGTAAACTAGGCCGCTTGTTGATGTCCCTGACCAAAATCAACCGGATCAAGCTCACAGCCGCGTCACTGAGCACATACGGGAATCTCAAATCCCCTTCCATGATCTCGTCCACATTATAGTACGGATTCTCCTGGTACATAAGTGTGTACAACAAAACTCCCAACGCCCACACATCCTGCGGCTTCCCGTCGTAAGGCTTCCCGTTCAACACCTCTGGAGCGGCATAATCAATCGTGCCCACAAAGACATCAAACGGCCCCTGGCGGGTGTACGCAGCGGAGCCAAAGTCGATCAACTTGACAATCCCCCGCTCATCGATGATCACGTTCTCATCCTTTATGTCTCTATGCACAATCCCGTGCTTATGGCAGTGGGCAAGAGCAGAAGTGATCTGTCTAAAAATAACCTTCATTTCCAACTCAGACATGTCCTTTTTGATTTCGATAAAGTCAAACAAGTCAATCGCTGGTGGGTCACCGTGGAGGGGGGTCTCCAAGTAGTAGTACTGGTCGTCCTCGAAGAAGTCCACAATTCGCATCACGTTCGGATGCAAATCGTTCATCAAAAAGTTCATGATCTGGATTTCCGACGGAATTGTGCCCATCTTTCGGTCTCGCACCCACGTATCCACCAAGATCCGCTCCTTGTCGATGCACTTGATGATCACCTTGTACTTTGGGTCGTCCTTGTGCTGGCTGAGTCTAACTCTGCCGTACGCACCGGAGCCCATGTCTTTGAGCGTGAGAAACTCCGCATATTTCTTGGTCCGGCGCTTGGCTCCGATCTCTCGAGGCCATAGACTGGACTGAGCAACAGTCTGAGCCATTTTCGCATTTTCCTGCTCCAAAAGGTGCTTTTCATCAAAAACGGCACTGAGGTTGGGGTTGAGTAGAGTTTCGTGGAAAAAGTCGTACGGAGCCGTAGACGGAGGAGTCTCAGTAGCAAGGGACGCGGCGTTTGACGAAAGGGACGCTACTCTGGATGAGCTTTCCTTTCTTTCATCGTACGAAAGCCTCTTCGGCTTCACGCTTCCGTCCCCGGAGCCGTCTGACTTGGTGCTGCGGAAACTGTTTTCGCGGCTCATAGACGTAGAACAGCTCAAGAACCCTCCTTCGTGCTCCGAGTACAACTTCATCTGGGATGGAACATCGATCACCTCGGCGTCTCCTTCTACCAATACGTTTTCGACATCCTGGAACAACACACGGGCGCCCGCGGATGGATCTTTTTGTAATCCGGTATCGACAGTTGCAGGGTCAGTTTCGGAAACTCCAGCCGCATCAAGACTCCTCGAGTAGGTGATCCATAACACAAACGTTTCGGTACCAGACACACGCAACTGGACATCTAGTTTCAACACATTCCCGTCAAAGTGTCGCCCCTCAACCCCAAAGGAGTTCAAGAACAACAACTCAGCCTCCTGCGACATCTGTTTGCCCATCTTCCCGCTGCCCTTTGCCTGGTAGGCCGCAAAGGCCTTACGGAAGAAATGCTCCGGCAACACCAATCCCGGGGTCAACACCACATTGTTCTGCTTAATCGCCTCCTTTAAGAAGAGAGAGAAGTTGGGCAAGAGCACGTCGATAGATTTCTGCCTTACGTCTGCTCGCCCAAACAAGTTCTTTGTGATAGCAGGGTTGAAGGAGAGGATCTGGAAGGTTTGTGCAGACACAACCACAATTCCCGCTATATACGGCATCGAGTGGATCTTCAACTTCACGGACTGGTTAGTATTCTCCAGATCCAGCTCTTCGCTAGAATAGCCACTGTCAATCACGTTTGATCTAATGGCGCACGGAATGTTCTGGTTCTGGATCTGCAACGTAAAGTAGCGGCGGTCATTGATGATCTCCAGCTCGAGAACCCCGTTCCGCGGGAGGTGCTGGTACTGCTTCATCTTCGCTCGCTTAGCCCTGATGTCGGCACTTTCGTCTCTCTCCTCGGGAGTCAAAAAGGCCGCAAGCGGCTGTTGCAAGATCTTGGCGATAGAGGATGAGAGACGCGACATCGGCTGGCGGGCGACCAAGCCGGACCGGGCAACTAACGTACCGGAATGCTCTTTGATTTCGGTCACCACGTACTTTAAACCCTTGGTGTCTGGCACCCCACGAATCGTCAAGTCCATGGCGTCGCAGGAAATCTGGTCAAACATAAGGATGATCATGTTGTCTTTCTTCTTCCCCCAGAGGGAGGTCCAAGCGTAGCCGTTGCCGGGGCGGCTCACGGCGACAATCTCACCGGCAAACATCGTGCTGGTGGCACCAAGAGAGGTCAAACGGTCCATCACCAACGAACGAGACTGCGGGGCAATCAAGTCCATAAGGGCCATGGCCCTAATGGCCAGCCGGGAGATCCCAAACATGAGGCAAGACAAGTCGTTGGCCGCCTTGAGGGCCCACGGGGCGTCCAATTCACAGGTAAACACCGCCTGGGGGTTGGTATTCTTCTGCGAAAAGATATTGTGGAAGGTACGCGGCATGGACACGGTCAGATTGGCGGTGGTCATGGAGTGTTGGAGCGACGAAAGAGCCAAGGAGGAGGCTCCTATCGGATTGAGAGACAAAACTGGGGCGCCTATATTGTTTTCAACAAACGGCGTGGCCAATGCGTGGAGAAGCTTGATTTTCATCTTGGCTTCGCGTGAAAGCGATGGAAGCGGAGCTTTGCCTGTAACTTTGAACACAAGCTCACCGCTAGAGAGCGAGAGGTCGTGGAGGTTGGTGGCCATTTCCGCCCGATCTTGCAGAAGGTGGAGCAACGACACTTTGGTGTTGTCCTTTCCTTTATTGAGTAGCTTAATGATACTTTTTAAGTCTTCGTTCGGCATGGGAGAGTCGGCGATTTCATCTGCAAGGTTTCCCCGGCGAATGATGGTTTTGTCGGCAGACGACATTCCAAGCGATAGATTGTTCCCGGCCCTAAACAACGCTGCTAGCGCGGCCGAGGAGGCGTTACCCTGGATATGCGAGTTGGACTTTGAGTTGGAGAGCGCGGAGCGAAGGAATGACGGCGATTGGTACGGCTGCGACTGGGTGGTGACAGAGAAGTAGTCGTTCGACGGCGGCGTGCCCAAAGGCGAGGAGATGCCGTTCAGGTTAACGAGCAAGTCTGGCCGCTCTACCAAGATTTCCAAGGAACGTTTCAACACGTTCAAGCGTAGCGCGAGCGAGTTGGACGAAAGCTGAGCGTAGGAGTAGGCGTGGGTAGACTCGGTGGGGAACTTGAGGATCTCCTGGAGATCCACGCTGGGGGTGTTCTTCTGGGCAGTGATCTTCACCGGAGAATGCGAGGTGGGTTGGTTAGAAGCGTTAGGCATGGAAATGGAGCTGGAAGAGACACTGGAGCAGGAGCTAGAGATGTTGCTGATTCTGCTGAAATTGGGGATCCGGAGAGGCGGCGTTCCTGACTGTTTAGCCACTGGTTCGGATGTGGTGGGGATAGGCTCGTCCTCGTCTTCGTTATCAGAAAGGAAAAAGCCAGCACTTCGACCCACTCGGGGCAGCTCGGCTGCCAAGGAGGCGGTGCTCCGAAGTATGCTGCGGACAGTGTCGTTGGTTGATATCGGCACTGCCGTGGGGTTTGGCGACAGTCGGTTGGAGGCCGACGGCGGTGTGTATGGCATTGGAGAGGCTGTTATCTGTGCTTAGATCAAAGTCAAAGGGCTCGCTAATGCCCGAGTCAGGTGGGTGGTACACAAAAAGGGGCTGCTAGTTGGTAACTGGCGCTTCAACAAAACGGTCTGAGAGGTGTCTCAGGCTAATGAGAGTTGGGGGTTTCAGATACCAGGAGATTTTTGATTGAGGCAAATGGAGGGGTGTTGAAGAGGCGGAAGATGGATGGTGAGGCACGTCGACGTGCTTAGTTCCTTAAATGGCAAGCCAGATGGGTGTAGATGGTTAGACGATTCCAGTAAACTGCAACGTGCAAACTGTCTCTAAGGGTTTGTTAAAATGGCTTTGTAAGTGTGGGCGTCAAAGGTTAGGCTGCCAGTCATTTGTGTTTTGCTCTGCGCTTAATCAAATTGTGACATCTTGAGAAGCCCCTAGTCTAAAAGGCGTGTGTCACTCAACGAATTTGCGAAGGGCTGGAAGGTGGGCGGCGCACACTCCGCGGGCTAATGCGTTTCTGTTGGGATAATCCAGCGGCGGAACCCCGCCACATGGACGCTAAAAAAATGTTGAATGGATGTCAGTCTTTACAGCGTGAAATAAGATAGGCTTAGCTTCCAAGCCTGGTTGCATATTTGAGATGGCATTACCCCACTTTGAGTGCAGTCGAGTATGAGATGATGGGGTATGATTTAGATGGGGTACGATTTAGCTGGCGCGTGGAACTCCAAGTCTGGTCAAAATATATCGGAATACTTCTAGACCTAAAAGCTATAAGTTGTAGAGTTTTTCCATATCTAATAGTTATAGAATATTTCCATAACTAATGGTTATGGTTTGTAAAATATTAATCAATTGTGGTTACGAATTTTGTGTTTGGTGTATATAAAATTCTCCTACGCCAACTATACTGTGTAGGGCCAAGTTAGCGGGAACAGGAAATGGAATCGCTCTGAGAATAGCAACCGACAGGGAAGTTAAAAAGAACAATTAAGGAAACAGTCTATGGGAGCCCTCTGCGGTTTCCTAAGCAAATTGCAGGTATATATCGAACAATGCAAACGTGCAGCTACGAAATAAATAGCCGCATATTCCCGACAATGCATGGAAGCCATATGATCCTCCCTGATGACTACTTGAAAATCTGGTTGGCACAGGGTAAGGCACTCTTTTTGTCTGATATTTATCCCATCTGATTTTATCAGTTTCAGAAATTAAGGCAGAATTAGCCGTATCAACTCGTACTGCCTCAAACTATACTTTTCTATTATCCATTTTCTCCTCTCCCTGTGCACGTTATGACGGTAATCAAAAACGTGTATCGGCTGAGAAGGGCATGGATCAATCAGTTCGGGTATCGTCTCGCTAGTGCCTGCACTTCTCTGCAGCAGGACACGGTCGCGCGGAGAAAATTTGACGCTTACACGCAGGACAGATAACAACACCCGGTTCAGCTTGCTAATGTAAGGTCATCCATAACAGCTGACACTTTAGGATTCAAACCAGACGTATTGGACTAGAGTCTTCCTACATTGTCGTCACAACTGACTACGTCTATTTATTTTGCCTGGATCTTTTACCTTCTGTGTAACCAGTGCACGTTGCTTCAATACTCCCCGCAGATCCTCACTGGCCGTTCCCACCCCCATCTATTGAACCGTATTATCATCAACTCCTGTTACTTTTGCTGCTATTAAACGTTACGTTGGCCAAGTTTTTGCTTCCCTTGCTGCTAGTTATTTCTCGCTTCGGTTCTATTTCATCTCCCTTTAGCTAAACTACTCCTCCAAGGCCTTTTTTAAAAAAAAATCCCATGTCCGTTAGCTGGGACACGCTGTCAGAATGCGACGCCCTACTCCCTGTCCATTCCTCGCCTGGGGTCTCGCTTAAAGCCTCTGCTGGGCTCTCTGCCCTGCCCCGGGCTTCTTCCGAGGTCGAGGCCAAGCTCGGCACCTTCCCCGGTGTATTCATCCCCACCGCCCTCAACGTCCTCTCCATCCTCATGTTCCTCCGTTTCGGCTTCATCATCGGCCAGATGGGGGTAGTAGGGACTCTTCTCCTCCTAGTCCTCTCGTACGCGATCAACCTCCTCACAACCCTCTCTATCTCGGCCATCGCCACGAACGGAACTGTTCGTGGCGGTGGCGCGTACTACATGATCTCGCGCTCGCTCGGGGCCGAGTTCGGTGGCTCCATCGGGATTGTCTTCTACGTGGGCCAAGTGCTCAATTCCGCCTTAAACGTCGTCGGTTTGATCGAACCCATCATGGTCAACTTCAACTCCGTTTCCGGGGTCTTTGGGCATGTACTCGAAGAGGGCTACTGGCAGACGTTCATCTACGCCACAATCATGCTCGCTATATGCACCATTGTTGCCTTAACCGGTGCCGGGCTTGTCTCTAAGGCCGGGACCTTCCTCTTCATTGTGCTCTTCATCTCGACCATGTCTGTTCCCGTCTCCACGCTCTTCGTAAAGCCCTTCAGCGTTCCCGAGTATGGCCTTACCTATTCCGGCCCGTCATGGGCGAACCTCCAGGCGAACCTCTTTCCGAAATTCACCTCGGGTGCCGCAGGCTCGGTAAAGCCCCCAGGCGAGTTCGAAACGGTCCAAAGTCTCTTCGGGATCTTTTTCCCCGCTACAGCCGGGATCTTTGCCGGAGCATCCATGTCGGGCGACTTGCGGAAACCGTCAAAGTCTATTCCTAAGGGGACTCTCTGGGGCCTTTTGCTCACCTTCTGTTGCTACGCGGTGGTCATCGTCAGCGTCGGCGCGGCGGTGCCACGCGAGTTGCTCCACCGCGACGTCCAGGTGCTTCAGACGATCAACCTATCGGGGGTGATTGTCATTCTTGGCGAACTTTCCACCTCGCTCTTCTCGGTCATCGTGGGGATCGTTGGGGCGGCGTACGTGCTCCTTGCGATCTCCCAGGACGCGATTCTCCCCGGTTTGAGCTACTTTCGCCGCGGCCCCAGGACTTGTATCCTCTTCACGTGGATGCTCACGCAGCTCTGCCTCTTTGCAGACGTGAACCAGATTGCAACGTTCATCACGATGGCATTTTTGATGACGTTTATTGTTACAAACCTCGCGTGTTTCTTGTTAAAGATAGCGTCCGCTCCGAACTTCCGCCCCAGCTTCAAGTACTTTAGCAGCAAGACGGCCTTCCTCGGCGGCTTACTCGCGGTTATCGCCATGTTCATTGTCGATGGTCTCTCCGCCTCTCTCGTCATAGTTTTTCTCAGTTTTCTCTTCTTGCTCATCCACTATACGTGCCCGCCAAAACCCTGGGGCGATGTTTCCCAAAGTCTAATCTACCACCAGGTGAGAAAGTATCTCCTCCGGCTCCGGCAGGACAACGTCAAATACTGGCGGCCGCAGATTCTCCTCTTGGTCGACGACCCCCGCACCTGCTGGAACCTCATCCAGTTCTGCAACCACCTCAAGAAGGGGGGGCTTTATATTCTCGGGCATGTGATTGTCACTGACAAGTTCCAGGCGAACTACCGTGAGTTGATGGCACAGAAGTCGGCCTGGGTAACGCTCCGTGATGTTTCACGTATCAAGGCGTTTGTGCAGATCGGTTTGGGGCCGACGTTGCAGTGGGGCATCCGGAACGTTTTTCTGGGCTCGGGCTTGGGGGGGATGAAGCCAAACATTGTGGTACTTGGGTTTTATGACTTGGGTAACTACCACAGAAAGCGGGGAGTGACCGTGGAGGGGGTGTTTGAAAGTAGCGGTCTGGGATACTATGAGCAGATGAAGCATATGACTCTGGAGATCCCACAAGCCCAGGCGAGGCGTCCAGCTGGGGCTAAGTCTGCGTCCTCGCAGGGTTCGGCCGGGGCTGGCCCGCTCCCCACTGATTCCTGTCGCCGCGAGAAACGAGTCTCCATCATGCAATGGGTCCAGATCGTGGAGGACCTCATCGTCATGGAGGCGAACGTCGCCGTCGCCAAGGGCTTCCCCAGGCTCCAGCTCCCCAATGATAGTGTTTCTCCAAGGTACATCGACCTCTACCCCATCCAGATGTCCTCCATTGAAACGCTCGACAACGGGCGGTCAATCCTTTCCACCAACTTCGATACCTATACGCTCATCTTGCAGCTCGGGGCGATTCTCCACACGGTGCCCGAGTGGAAACGCACTCACACGCTCCGCATCATCGTCTTCGTAGAGTGGCTCGAGGAGGTGGCGGAGGAGAAGGTCAGGCTAGCAAACCTCCTTGAGAGCTTGCGGATCAAGGCCGAGGTCAAGGTGCTCTGCTTCAACAGCGGCGAGTTTGGGGTCTACAACGTGATTCTCAAGGGGGGGGTGGGACCGGAGTCTGTGCGTATCAACCGTGTTCTTGCTGCCGAGGACTGGTGGGCCAATCTCACTCGTGCGAGAAAGTACGTCGCCCAGCCCGGGGCCTCGATGCGGGTTCCGGTATTGGCCTTGGCCACGCACGCCGCGACCAAGTTCGCAGCCCCGATTAAGGCCAAAAGGCGGTATACGTTGTCAACGATGCAAGACCGCGGGGCCATGGCGTTTAGCATGAAGACGAACAGTTTCATCCCAAACCACGTATTGGGCGCATTTGACCCAGATGAGGCATACTACGAAGGCGGATCGGAGGTTTCATCGATCTATGAGCCAAAACGTAATGCTTCCAAGAAACAAACAAAGAAAGAAGATCTAAGCGTTTCGCCAAAAACTGATCTGAAGTATCTCCGTCCAAATGCTAGTGCGGATGTTCGAGACGCGGATTCTCATGCTCCCGGCACTTCCCAAAAGCGCTCCGGGTCGTTTTCTTCTGCTAGCTCCAGACCTGACCTCGATTTTGCCTCCAAGTTGCGTAAGGCCTTAAATCACCCAACGTCGCAGAAGGCCAGTCCACGCCCATCCGGGGCAACCACTCCCCGCTTGAAGCCGAACTTCTCGTCGGTAAAAATCCCCGAAGCGGCGATCAACGAAGCGTCTGAGGGCTCCCAGCCGTCGATCTACTTTGTCGAAGAGACAAAGAGCTACGGTGCTCTTGACAAATCAAAGAGCGCCCTTAGAAACATGCGCAACCCGTCTCACATTTTCGAACTAGATGACTCGGATTCGTCTTCGGGCGAAGAAGACGTGCACACGCGGCGTGACGAGCTCCAGGAGGAGTTGGCAATGCTCTCCTTCAACGACATCCCCGCGCGCGGCCAGCATTTGATCTTGAACGACTTGATGAAGCGGACGTCGGGAGACGCAGATGTCATCTTTTCGACATTGCCCCCACCAGTCATTGGCACGCACTTGGATGAGGCGGCCGCGTTGGAGTACGTGGAAAATATCCAGATCTGGTGCGAAGATATCCCACCGGTGATGTTGGTGAATGCCCAAACGGTGACGGTTACGACCGCGTTGTAGCTACGTAAAGACTAACTGCTCTGCAGTGTTGTTTATTTCATTTGTAGATCAAGCGTGGGTGCAATGGGCAGTTAAGTGTGGATAAAGGGTGGTAGTGGACTCTCGGATAGTATAAGTCGTGTGCTACCCGACTTTATCTGTAGGCGGTGCGGCGCTTCTGAAAAGTCCCATCACACCAAATCCCATCACACCATTTTTCAAGGACCTTTCTTCTTTTTCTTTTTTTTTTTTCTTCCTGAACTATTCCTCGTCATCACGATGTTCAGTCGCCTTATCCGTCCCCTCACGGTAAAACCGCTTTTGCGGTCACTCACGACGGTTTCTAACCGCATGGCACCCAAGTCACTGTTCCCAAACTTAGCTCTCGCCGCTACCGCCACACCCCACGCCTCCATTGCGTTCCCCTCCCGTCCGCTCTCCACCTCATCCATTCTCCACGCAGTTTCCAAGTCCAAACCTATGCCGAAGGGTCGTAAAAAGGTGCTCCTTAACTCGCACGTGAACGTGGGCTACTGGCTCATCGGGACGTCCGGGCTTGTGTTTGGTATTGTAGTGCTCGGCGGGCTCACCCGTCTCACGGAATCCGGTTTGTCCATCACCGAGTGGAAGCCCGTCACCGGATCTATCCCACCGCTCTCCCAAGCCGACTGGGAGGAGGAATTCGCCAAGTACAAGGAATCACCGGAGTTCAAGCAGCTCAACTCGCACATCACGCTCGATGAATTCAAGTTCATCTTCTTCATGGAATGGGCCCATCGTCTCTGGGGTCGTGGTATCGGCTTGGTCTTTGTTCTTCCGGCAGTGTTCTTCGCAGCACGCCGCCTCACTTGCGCGCCGCACAACGTGAAGATCTTCGGGCTCGCGGCCCTTCTCGGGCTCCAGGGCTTTGTGGGCTGGTGGATGGTTAAATCTGGTTTGGACGAGGAGCAACTCGAGGAGAGAAGATCGATGCCGACGGTATCACAATACCGCTTGACAACCCATTTGGGAATCGCATTTGCCTTGTACTGTGGGATGTTGTGGACCGGCTTTGAAATCGTCAGAGAGCACCAGTGGATGAAGGCACCAAAAGCCGCTGAAATCCAGATGGAGTTGCTCCAGAGTCCGCTCCTCAGGCCTCTCAGACGCATGACCTACGGTTTATTGGCCTTGACTTTTCTCACCGCATTGTCTGGCGGTTTGGTTGCAGGGCTTGATGCGGGCTTGATCTATAACAACTTCCCCCACATGACGGATTTACCGCCGTACTTCCCCTCCAAGGGCGAGCTCATGTCACCAACCTTTTCCAGAAATGCCAACCAGTCGGATTTGTTCTGGCGAAACATGTTGGAAAACCCAGCCATGGTCCAGTTAAACCACAGAATCATGGCCACTACCACCTTCTTCTCCATTCTCGCCACCACCATCTATGCCAACAAGTACAAGGCGGTCATGCCAAAGAACGCCACGACTGCCCTCCGCACCGTCATGGGGCTTGCCTGTCTTCAGGTTGCCTTGGGGATCTCTACGTTGATCTACCTCGTGCCGATTCCGCTCGCCTCTGCCCATCAGGCCGGTGCCTTGGCGTTGTTGACTGGGGTCGTCAGCCTTGCCGCGAAGTTGAAGTCGCCGCGTGTTGCCATGAAGTTCTTGATGGCTGGATTGACTGTGAAAGGCAGAACCGCCGTCGCCAAAGGAGCCACCATTGCAACCAAACTTTAAATTTTGGGATTATTTATTCCAGCTGTAGCGAAGCAGCTGAAGATTTGTGTGCTCGGCCTCTGTATATATTAACAGCCGAGTCTTTTCATTTTGTCATATATAATAACTTTGTAAATAATATGTTTTGATATCTGTTTAATCTGGGCGTACATGAGATTTTGTTCTACACCTAGATAATATGAAATAGCCGTTAAATAATGCAAAAGTATTAGAGAGATAGTGTACACCTTTTTTTTTTCCGATTTTTTTTTTTGTAAAGTCCGTTTCTTGAAACATGACTTTAATAAATTAATAGTCATCGATTGGGCTCTTCCTGGTCTCTCGTCCGCTTTTGCAAAGAGTTAAATCAGCAGTTACGCGGGACGAGAGAGCCAGGACCCAAACGCAGACCCAGGAGCCGGGACGCCTTATAAGCCGTTGGAGTCCAAGAAGAAGTAGTTACCACTAGCCTTCTGTTCCTTGTCCATCTGGGAATCGTACTTGTTGATACGAGGTCTGAAGGAGTTAGGGTCTCTTCTGAAGGTGACATTCAAGTTCTTCAAGAAGCGGTTACAGCCGGTCAACAAGGACTCTGGGGACATGGCCACGGAGTCCTTGGATGGTTGACCCTCGAAGACAATAACACGGTCCGCCAAGTAGGTGGCCATGATGAAATCGTGTTCGACAATGAAGGCAGTCTTCTTGTTGTGGATGATGAATCTTCTGATAACCTTGGAACAAATAATACGCTGTTCGGAATCCAAGTAGGCAGAAGGCTCATCAATCAAGTAGATGTCGGCCGGCACCCCGAGCGCCAAGACAATGGCAACACGCTGCAATTCACCACCAGACAAGTGCTGGACTTCCTGGTCGATGATCCCTTCGATCTTCAATGGCTTGACGACGTCGGTCTGGAACTGTGGGTGGAAGTAGGCCACTCTAATCTTCTTCAAGAACAACTGGCGGACGGTACCTGGGAACTTTGGCGCAATCTTCTGTGGCTTCATGGAGACATTCATCTTTGGCGCGGTCTTACCGTCATCCGGGGAGATAGCACCGGCCAACAACCTACAGAAGGTGGTCTTACCGGTACCGTTCTCACCCATCATGACAATGATCTCAGAATCGGTAAAGTCACCGGCCTGGATCTTCAAGTGGAAATCCCCTTGGGTGTACTCCATACCTGGGTACTGGAACGCACGGGAGGCATCCTGGACCAACGCATCGTTAGCGTCGGACATTCTGAACTGCAAGGACTCGGTTCTAAAACGCAAGTTCTCGGTTGGAATGTTACCGTCCAAGAAGATGTTGATACCTTCACGCACCGACGCTGGCAAGGTGACCACACCGTAGACGGATGGCGCCCCGTACAAAATACAGACAAAGTCGGAAAGGTAGTCCAATACGGACAAATCGTGCTCGACGACAATGACATAGGTGGTTGGGCCCAAGAGAGATCTGATGATCTCGGCCGCGTTCAATCTTTGCTTGACATCGAGGTACGACGATGGCTCGTCAAACATGTACACCTGGGCTTCCTGGATACAGGTCATACCAATGGCAAATCTCTGCAACTCACCACCAGACAAGGCCGCGACCTCTCTGTTTAACACGTGGGTCAACTCCAACACCTTGAGCACGTTCTTCCCAGCCTCGACTCTCTCCATCTTCTGCTTCAACAACTGGCCGACTTTGTTGATCGGACCCTTGATGGCACGTGGAATGTTGTCAACGTACTGCGGCTTGATAATAGCCTTGATGTTGTCCTCCAACACCTTGGTGAAGTAGTTCTGCAACTCAGACCCTCTGAAGTGCCTGAGAATTTCCTCCCAGTCCGGCGGGTTGTCGTACTGGCCCAAGTTTGGCTTCTGCTTTCCCGCAAGAATCTTCAACGCAGTGGACTTACCGATACCGTTAGTACCCACGAGCCCCAAAACCTGGCCCGGTCTAGGGGTAGGCAAACGATGGAGCTTGAAGGAGTTGGCGGAATATCTGTGGGTCACCTCCTTCTCCAAGTTGGTTGGCAAGTTGATGATCTGGATCGCGTCAAAAGGGCATCTCTTGACACAGATACCACAACCGATACACAAAGTTTCGGAGATGAAGCAGATCTTGGAGGTTGGCTCGACTTCGATACACAACTTCCCGGTCTTGACCACGGGACACGCCTTGCGGCATTCCTGGCGGCACTTCTTTGGCTTACACTTGTCGTCCGAGACAATCGCAATACGCGTGTTCTTGCTGCTCATGTTGTTGTTTGGTGGTTGACTGAGTTGGGATTACAAAAGCGTGTAGTGCCTTTTTACCCGCTGGCAAATATTTCTGCAAAATTTTCCAGCCTGACGCTTACGCAGTGACGCGTAAGCGCAAGGATGCGGCGCAAACGGCTGGCTGACCAAATCGAGACATCTTATTGGAGGAGCAGTGGGACTCTCTCCTGGTAATTTAGAATCGCAAACTATCACAAAGACTGAAACCAAGATTGGTTGGTCGTAGTGTGTGAGGGTATGTTCCACAAGTCCGATGTATAGGCGTACTTCTATGGAGATATAAAACTTGAACGCATTTAATGGCATCAACATGGGTAATAATATGTGTAAATTTTTACTGAAAGCATGGAGGTTGAACTGATGGGTAATTTCCTACCAAAGATTATACAAAAAAACACACACACACAAACACAGGAAATTATCCATAAAATATTGTTCATTCCATCCGGTGCATTGTACCACGTCCGTACAGCATTGAGTATTGTATGCGCATTTGGGATAGGACAATCCCATACCAGGGATAGAAGTATGATACTGTGAGATTTTTGAATGCAAACATCCCATGAGTTATTTTTTCAGATCCACCAAAAGAGCCTGAAGTAGCTCGGCAGCGTCACTAGTCTAGGATGATGTCTGCAAAAGCTATTTGAGATATACTGACAAACCACTGGCAGTCTCGCGCATGCTCCCAGATATCTGGCCCAGATCGCATCTCACTTTTTGTTCAGACCCCTCCCCTTGGTAAACACAAACAAGGTCATCCCCAACCATTGAACCGACGCCCACACCCAGAACACAGCACTGATCAAAATCAAGGCACAAATATAGTACCCATCCATCGGGAAATCGTTTTCCTCCCCCACAAACAGCTGCCACGTAGCGTAGACAGCGCTGGGAACCAAGTAACGATGGATGTTAAACACCGACATCATGCCAACTAGCACTCCGATCCACGTCACTGCGAGGATGAGAATTCCACGATTGCGAAGCTTTTGTAAGTTTTCGTCTGCAAACAAATCGTAAAACGGAACACGGCTGTGGATGGGCATCGATGGATCGGGCTTGGATAGGGAAGAGGCCCTTCTGCGGATGAGCGGAAGGGGATAAACATCGGGACTATCAATGAAATCCTGGGTAACCTCAGACATATCTTACGAATTGTCTTCCCAGAGTTCTCTATAAACTCACGTGTCGATTCTAGAGGAACCGTTTGATATCGTATACAATTCACAACGGTTCAGGTTCCTAACAGTTTGCAATTTGACAAAGGTGGATGATGTAATTACATGCAGGATTACCTGCGGCTGGCACGGAAGTAGGATCAAGAATTGCCCTTTAATTATACATAATTGTTGTAATTCCTTACTTAGCTTAGTGTCTTGTACTACTTGAAATAAATTTGTCTAAACCCCAACTTTTAACAACCGGCTTTTAAAGGCTAAGAATCCAATCTACCTTGAGCTGTGGTTACCTCTATAGAAAAATATTTGTGCGGTTATCAAGCTGCAGGATTTGCGAGGGCGTAAATGTCACCACGTTTCCTCTACCTCAACTTGAATCATTCGCTCATGATAGACTCTGCCCGGCTCTCAGAAGCAGTAATCAGAGAGTTTTCTAAACAAAAACTCGCGGCAACCATGCGTGAGTACCAGGTGTTAGCCCTGGAGCTTGCCCCGGTGCTACGCCAAGCGCCGCCGTTTATCGCCCAGGTGCATCGCCTTCTCGGCATTGTGGAGGTGTATTCCCGTGATGATCTCAAGGCGGGGGCATTAGAGTTTATCCCGATGGAACGGATCTTGAAAAATGCGTTAGAGCTCGAAAAAGCGTCGACAGCTTCGCTTGGGCACCAGGACTACGTCGTCAAGGCCTTGCTCGCGTGGTTTAAGAACGATTTCTTTCAATGGGTGAATAAACCAGAGTGCCTCCTGTGCCACAACACTGACCAGGCCAAAATTACATCGTTAGGCGCGACCAAGTCTAGCGAAGAGGAGCACCGCCGTGCACAGGCCACGACTACCGAAATTTACAAATGCCAGCAATGCCATTCCACATACAGATATCCCCGCAACAACGATCCCTTGGTGGTGTTGGAGCAGCATAATGGGCGGTGTGGTGAGTGGTGCAACGGCTTTATGGCGCTTTTGCACGCCATGGAGATTCCAGCCCGGTATATCTGGAACGCCGAGGACCATGTGTGGTGTGAGTACTATTCTGCTTCCCAGAAGCGATGGATCCATCTTGACAGCTGCGAGAATGCGTTTGATGAGCCGTTGTTGTATGCGCGGGGTTGGGGTAAAAAGATGAGCTTTGTGTTTGCGGTCAGTGAGACTCTGATTGTGGACGTCAGTGCAAAGTACATTGACCCGGAACACCAGATTCCGAAACAGTCAAAGTGCGATGTGCGTTTGTTAGGCAAGTGCGTGAGAATGTTCAATGCCGGTAAATGGCTTGCCTACAACGCGAAGCTAACTGATTTGTTCCTTGACTATGAGGAAGCGAGGCTCGACGAGTTCTACACAAAGGTGTTACGGCCTCATTACGAAGAGGTGGCACAGTTGAAGGGTCCGTCAGTTGCGACAAAAACAGAGGAATTGAAGCCAAGGGAGACCGGCGCAGGTGAGTGGACTGAGCTGAGGGGTGAGAGTGGGAAATGACCGGCTCCCTGGACGATGAGCATCGACAAAGCGAAGGTGGGGGTAGTTATAAAGGAGAGGGTCTCCTGGGGGCAGTTATGGTTGGCTTTTCTTGTGTTCTTGGTAGCTGTTGGGATGAATTACGGTGTAGCAGTATAATGAAATTCGGATAGGTACGCATCGTTCATCTTGGTCATTACAGGATTCATGGACACTACTGAGAAACGTAGACTTTACAATGTGGACTTCAGCAGGTGGTTGTGTGCTGCCTGGGAAAGCATTAGAATCCATACCATTCCAGAAGCAAAAAAGAACCAATGAATAAGGGATGTTGAAATCTTAATTTTATAGTTTTGGTAACCTTGTAATCCCCATGGTTTAAAAAAAGATGATCTAGAAAGGTTCCAGATAATCTAAGCCTACACTACCCACGTTATAGAACTTGGTTAGTGTCCTAAGCCCTCCTGTTCCACCAATTTCTTATACATGAGTTTTTTTCAGTTTTGCCAGCTCTCACCGAATGTCGCTTGGATCTTGATGTACATCGTATAGAAGTAACCCATCTTTTTTATTCCAAAAGTCTTGGCTGGAATCTCCATGGTTGAATAATGACATTATCAAAGCGTAAGTGTGTACGCCACATGGCGGTATTCTGGCCCGAAATGAATATTTAAAGTATGCAGAGTTTGTCCAGGGACTGTTTCCGTATTAGGCAATGAGTGCGGAGTTGTTCTGCCCTGGTGAATCTCAGCGGGGTGATTTAAAAATGTACGTCGCACATTTGTTGTCCACATCGGTGCAACATACTATTAGCATACTAAAATTGAATATATCGACGTTAACTCGATTTAAGACCTGCCTCTAGCCAAGCGAGCTTCTAATCGCGTATACCACTGCTTGCCTCCGAGATATTTAGGAAGAAACTCCGGTATCCTGTAAAGGTCTAAATTTAGGCCATAAGGTTTCATTAGGAGCCACCCCGTTTCCCACCACGGGAAGCTCATCTCCGAGATCACCGTAGAGAGAAGGGTGCTTAATAACTGTGAATGTACGAGAATTCAAGGCTTGGCTCTTCCCTGGAGTTATCAATGTATAAACTGCCCGATCATAACCATTCACTCCTCGGAGTGACAACTTCTATCCGACACACCGGTGTGTCATTTTCTCACGTTCATACGGGATTGGGGGAAGCTCTTCCGGGCCGCGCGTCGACTAGCAGTTAATTTATCCATACAAGCCTATTTACCCCAGTCGAGCCACCTCGCAGCGGGGATCGCTATTTTTCTCAGCGCTTACTGCCTCATATACAAAGCCTCAAAATAATACTTCCAGTTTAAATCCACATTTATCAGTAGCTAATCAACTATATATTCCTTTCCCGGCCTATGTAGCCACCTGCTGATGTCATCAGAGACCGGCGCTATCACTCGTGGGCTACCCCTCGGCCGGCCCCACCACAGGGCTACCTAACCCTGCTTCCCCGACATTTGGCTGACGCAGCAAAAGTTGTCTTACCTTCCGTGGGTTTTTACGTGCTCAAAATAGACTGCATCACGATCCGGAGCGTTGTCATTCGTGACTCAAACAAATATCACTCTGGCAAATATCGCTCGCTTGGACGACTTTAGCCTCTAGATTTGCTCATCCAGGTTGTATATACGAGTACCTGCGTCCATTCTCTGATAATCCCCTGGCAACGTTTCTCCTCGAAGCTCCAAGAAATAGCTGCTTCCACCGCTTATAAGCAATACCCCGCTCTCTTTGACGACACCACTTTTCGTTTGTGTCGCTGAAAGAATCCCTAAAGTTCTACCGGGACCCATCAGGCTCTACCGTTTGCTTTAACCTCCTCTAAATACCTCTGGTTATATACAACCTCCCTTCGGTCAAACGCTTATTGATATCCTCGGCCAGCTCCCAACCTTCTCCCGCACGCACAGACTCTCGTAATGTATTCCCTTGATCGCCGATTATTTCTCGCCCACTCTACGAACCTGTCTAGGTCCGGCTCGCCTAATGACGCGGAATCTTTTGCGCTAACCCCACCTGAACCAAAAAAGTACAACTCTACATCTAGTATTCCCAGCTTGCTACGCCACCACGGGCAAGAAGCCTCCAACCACGCCGCCACTCTTGACCATATCCCGGTGCCACCGCAGCAGCCCCCACGTATGAGCAAGAAAAGAAAGTCGACCGTTACCTCCGTACCCCAGGACACGCATGATGATGACGGTTCGCTCGCAACGCGTATCAGTAAGAGCTGTGATGCCTGTAAGGGCAAGAAGATTGCCTGCCAGGGTGGCAAGCCACTGTGCGAGTACTGCCTCAAGCACGAAATCGCCTGTTGCTATCTGCCCATGAAGAAGCCAGGCTTAAAAGCAGGCTACGGTAAGGAGTTCACCAACCGCTTGGAGTTTGTCGAGCTCCAGCTTCTCAACGTGCAGCTGAACGACATGGAGCAGATGCGCAACCGGGTGGGCCACTTGGAACAGTTGTGTTCCAAGCAAGCGACGATGATAGAGGAACTTCTGGAGAGAATGCACTTACTAGCCGTGCTGTTTGCCCGAAGCAGCTCCAATAACTCCAAGAGAGGGAGTGATATTGATGCTCACGAAAGAAGGGCCAATCAAGACAGTTCCTTCCCGGTGCCACTCCTCCAACCTCAGCAAATTTCCCGGCACGAGCCACCAATGCATTACTCCCAGCCTCCGATGGACGAATTTCTGCTGTTGTTCCGTCACACGGTTCCGCTGGCCGGTGAAGGGACCAACATGCCGTCGCCTGGCGTGTTTCACCAGCCTCCCCACTCACATCAGGACTCCCCACAGGGAAACCTCAAGTATGAGGGCTACATCAACTACTTTTCGAATCCTTCCAACTATGTGCCCAAAGATGACAGTGTGACAGTTGAGACCGACGCGCAGGATAAAGAGCCAATGAATAAGATCATGAGCTACACCTCGCTCTTCAACCATTTTAGCACCCAGCTTGCGCCGCTTGAGTTAAAGGAAAAGGAATCCGAGCCCGAAGAGAGCTCGCTGGGCATCTCGGTAGAGTTTGCACAAAAAATGACCAACAGCATTGCCGACATCCGCCCGCCCAGCATCAGCTCCGTTCTGGATTCCTGCAAGACCGACTCCGAGCTATCGTTCTCACCTAATTTTGTAAATGGAAAGAGTCTTGTGCACGGGATGAATGAGATGCACGGGAATACCGGTTTGACCCCTAATTTTGACATGGAAAACTTTGCAAACTTGTTCTCCGGTTCCCCTGCCACCATGCCCGATATGACCCCATTGGATAACGGTGGATCTCACAAGACGCTGGAACAAGCAGCAGGAAGTTCCCGATCCGAATTCTCCCAGAAACCGTCGACGATAAGCGCGGTTGAGAACTTTGAGGGGATTAATGAATGGGAGTTTTGACCACGTTTTGAATGGTATTCTAATGTTTGTGGCTGTGGTCTGAATATAACTATAAGATGCAATAGCTAATATGATACAGACGGATGCTTCGTTACGAATCAATTTGGGTGAGGTGAGAGCAGCCCGGAAGAATGATAAAGGGTTGTGTTTGAAGGGAAATCACACCTGAATTGTCTTTGCCTTGACGTATTCTGGATGTAGGGGGTGTTCACCTTCAGATCTAAGTGATATGTTTATATAAATTTCTGATGAATAAACTAGTTTTTGGCATATAAATATAGTACTGTTTGCGTAAGACTGAAACCGGCATCTTATCTGATCCAGCGCGAAACCTTCATGAGTATACCTGGGCAAACGTCTCTCTAGCCGTCAATTAACTCCGACAGGTTTCCCGGTCGTTTACATCCTCTCATATAGATTTGCTTGTAATATTTAGAGTATATCAGACTGTTTACTCGTCCACCTCTTCCAAGACTGGCGTGTGGGTCTTTTTGGTGACAGAGGTGGCGTGGACCTCGACACCGGAGTTGGTGGCGCTTGGAGCCGGCTCGGCCTTGCCCTTCTTGCTCTTTTTGCCCTTCTTCTCCACTTTCTCTTCCCAGCCGTACAAAGGCTTGAAGCTGTCGAAGAAACCAACGTCTTCGAACAAGTTAGGGAACAACCAGAAGCCCTTTGGACACACGGCCAAAGAAATGAGATACATAACCAACCGGATGATGGCTACCACAAACAACAACGCAATCAACCCCATGGCAATCATGGAAAGGTACCAGACACCTTTACGCATGAACCTCGGCCATAATGGGAACAACAAGATGGTGAAAACCGCAGCAATCGCGATAATGGAGTACACAATTAACATCGGGTTCGGCTTGTTGTAGACCCAGATGAAGTACGACTCCGGGTTGTTCAAGTCGGCTTTCTGCGCTGGAAAGAGTGCTGGCGATCCCTTCACCGGCTTGATGCCCTTGGTACGCGTGTCGTTAGTCGATAACTTGTCCACCGGTACGATCATCTTGCTTTCGATCAATTGAACGATGATCTGAGTAACATCCTGAGGCTTCTCAATGATCGGCACATCCTTCTGCTGGGTGAACTGCGGCGATGAGAGCGCTCTCACCAACCGCTTTAATCTGAAAAAGTCAATCTGGATGGCCCCGTTCAATAATCCGGATCTCTTCTTCAACAACTTGTGGTCTCTCAAGAAGTTGGCCACGTTGACAATCTGCGGACTCACTGGCACTGCTTGTTCCGACATTGTAAATGGATAGTAGTGGTGTCTAACAAGTGTTTTCGGATGGCAAGAGTCGGAAAAGTGTAGCTTTAACCGTTAATCGCGTGGAAGATAGACTATTGACAACCTGGTCAGATTCGAGAACGTTACGTATGCGTTTGTCGAGCACCAGCCTCGTGTCCCGTTTTGACACTGCACCAGCCTCATATACCCGCTTGGGTCACGCCACTATGGCGCAGCATGCAGACCCATTACCCTACGGACGCGTTCCCATTGGGTCGAAGTTCTACAGCGCTGTTCATTTGGATGAAACTGCTGTTGCGTTTGGAATTATAAATTTATCAAGGCAATACTAGCTTTGACTGTTGCAAGTGAAATTGGAAAACTACCCGGGTAAGACAATTCTCAATACACAGTGGGGTATGTTTACATACAGGATTAAGGCCGTGGCAGTTAAGGTAGCGCCTAAACCGATTTAGCTTATACTGATTTCCGGGATTATACTAAATAGTCTATGTACCAGTCGAAATATTGATTAAATACCTGACAAGCTCACATATGTTCTAGCACTGTCAGCCCACACCAACTTGAATACATGAACCTTCCTGTCACAGGTTTACAACAGGTGCTTAAGTTTATAATCCCCTAATTTTCACTAAAATACACGCCATAAATAAAACCTTTCCTATCCCTGATTATATCCCTTTTAGCAGGGCTTTTGCGTCTCAATCCTCTAATTGCCTCTCCTGTACATTGTCTCAGGTCGGCGTGTGATTTTTTCTTCAGGGTAACTTACGGGGTTGGAGCCTCAAAGGACAAAAAAGAGTCAAGAAGCCCTCGCCCTCTCTCTCCTCATATACAACACATCTTATCATTATGCCTCCAGTCCAACAGCACTTTCAGCAACATCAGCCATCTAACTTTGAGAAATTCAAGATGGGCGCTATGATGGGCGCCACCGTCGGTGTGGTTGTCGGTGTCGTCTTTGGCGGAATGTCCATCTTGCAGAGCGGTCCAGGCCCTAATGGTGTCATGAGAACCTTGGGGCAGTACATTGCCGGTTCTTCTGCCACCTTCTGCCTTTTCATGTCCATCGGTTCTGTTATCAGATCCGAGGGCCACCTCATCGAGGAGAGACCAGCCAGAACCTTGGCCGAGTTGAGACAGCGTGTCATGAGACAGCACGTCATGAACATGCAGAAGAACAAGTCCTTGTCCTAGCTGACAAGAATCATACTTTATGCAGAACTTGTTTCCCGCCTCTGTATATACTGCTATAATGAGTAATGTAATATCTATTTCCATGGCTTGTAAGAATTGGAGGGCTAATACGCCGTTATGTTGATTCTTCGTGGTTGACGAATGGATAAGGGCAAGGTTCTGAGGACGTGATTAAGCTATGAGAGTTGCTCGCACATCTCGTCAAACATTGATTTGGTCGAAAGTATCGAAGGCTGAGATCAAAAAAGTGGTGTGAAGGGCTGTAATCGAATGAGACGATGTGAAAGGTTCTGCTCCAAGTTTTCTCAGGCGATGGAAGGTTAAACCCCAAACAGATCGATATTCTGGAGATAGCAGCTAGCGGAGTTGTAAGGGAATTGGTTTTCGTATTTAAAGCGACGGCCAAATTTCGTCGGCCAAGCAATGCTTTGCTGAAAGAACTTGCAATACCGGTACCAAGCTGAATGGCCAATCCTCAAAGTATGATTGTTTACTTTATCTATATTGAACCCTTGACTGATATATATTTTTTCCATAGAGATTATCTCCCCTTTATGGTTACTGGAATGGACCCTATAGCTTGGTGAATCAGATCCCAAAAATACCACTAGGTATAATGTAGGTTTTGTTTTTCTGTAAGTTAAAGGTTGTATAGTGTAGTGGTTATCACTGTTGGTTCTGATCCAATAAACCCCGGTTCGAATCCGGGTACGACCTTTTTTGTACCTCCACTCAATAACACGAGTTTACTTTTCCCCCATAAAATTCTACTCTATAAACATGTGGTGTATCTCTACCATGTGAGTGAGATATCTACTTATAGCAGTAGCGTACTAGCTGACTATATAATGTATATAGAAAAAAAGAAAGGAGGGGCCGACCTCCTTTTACAAGCCATTAATCCATACTGCGTGATAGCTGCACACTTACTTCGTTTATCACGGTCCGCCCTATTGATAATCTGTGAGATTAACATTTGACTGGTAAGTCACAAATGTACGAATTTAAATCAGCGCATGGAAAGAAGATTGAAACTCAAGCTTTACATACTCATACCATAGAACTGTTCTTAAGAGCGCCGAAAATTTTTGGACCGCACTCATACGAACTAAGGGGATTGAAGGGACTTTATTAATACAGTAAAGTGCTCTGTTTAAAAATGATAGACCCCTTGTGTCCTAGCGTGTCGAGGTACGTGTGCGGTGAAGGATATCCTGTATGTACGTTCCTAACAGATCAGTCCCAGCTAGGATCAATTTTCGGTCCCTGTGCGTGAAGGTTAGGCGATTTCCCCGCTTCTAGACTCTCATTAGATCTAGAGATCAGCTCTGTAGTAAGCGTATAGCCATCACGTGGCAGGGATTAATGGCTTATAAAAGGAGGTTGATCCCTCCTTTCTTTGTCTCATATACATTATATAATCAGCTAGTATACTACTGTAAGTAGATATTTCACCCTCGAGGTAGAGATATAATAGAGTAAGCTTGATTGTGATATGCGCGCAACACGGACATAAGTATAATTATGGCAATCCGGGAATATTCGGACATTATGCGAACCAGTGTGGCATCATGACTCCGGAATTCGGCATTCAAATGCCATAGCTCATTAGTATGACATCATATTAAGTAACCACTAAAGTCTGATATTTCTCTCTGGCATATAAAGCGTGCAACATATTCCTTCCAAGATTTCCTGCTCCTCACTTTTTTTCTCTTTCAAATTTCAGATACACTTCAACTTTGCAATGACTGTCATATCCTCCAAATCATACACCATCACGGCTGAAGCCACCCGAATCTTCAATTCTCTTGTCAATGACCCCCGCCTTGATGTCCCAGAGATTGTGAAGTGTGCGGCCAGACATGTAACTATTCAGGCCAGACACGAAGTGCCATTTTTACCCACTCCATTAAAGATGACCGAGTCTTCCACCGCGCTCTGGGCGTACCTTAGTGCCTGGTCGCTTGCCATAATGAACGCCCGATACGGATTGGACGAGGAAACTGCAGTTGTTGACGCCGAACAGGCTACATTGTATCTCTTTTCTTTTGCGCTTGTTCGTTTCAATGGTGTTCCCATTCAAGACAAACGCTTTGCCTTGAGAGCCACTCAGTATGACACGGGCAAATATAACGAGCCGTATCGCGCACTGGCTACCAATATCTACCCAACTCGCGACGGAAAGTTCTGCCTGTTACACGGGGGATTAAACGCGACGCGGATCTTGCGGATGGTGGGCATGCCAGACTCGCAGCCGGAACTCACGCGCGAGGAGGCTATTGCGGCCCATACGAAAAATATTTCGGAGAATTTCGACAGCCACTGGCTCGAGATCACTGCCAACGAAAGATACCGCCAATCAAGCACGGTTTGCAACACGTTCGAGGAGTTTTTGGTTTCTGAGCACGGAAAGGCCATCAAGGATGACCCTATCTACATCGTCAAACAAGTGGATGCTTCGCTTCCACCTGTGGGTTGGCCAGAAGCCACCAAAGGTAGCGGCAGACCGTTGGAAGGAATTCGGATCATTGATTTCTCACGTATTATCGCAGGACCTGCAATAACGAAGATTTGTGCACTTCTTGGGGCCACGGTCATTCGCATTTCCTCTAATCCGCAGCAGCCCGATGTTGCTGTATTGATGTTTGATGGGAATTTGGGAAAGCGTGACACCTCCTTAAACATGAAGTCAGAGGAGGGTAAAGACGCGTTTGAAGCGTTGTTACTAGGAGCCGATGTGATCATGGACGGCTTCCGTCCGGGCTCCTTAGATCGTTTGGGATTCACCAGGGACTATATGCGTTTGCTTGCTCGTAAGAGAGGTAAGGGACTTATTCTCGCCCGCGAGAACTGCTACGGCTGGAAAGGGCCACTTCAGCACCGTTCGGGCTGGCAACAGATAAGCGACTGTCTCACTGGTGTCGCGTGGGCCCAGGGAAAGTTTTTGGGCTTGGACGAGCCGGTTCTTCCGTTGTTGCCTAACGCTGACTACCAGGCGGGGATTTGTGGAGCCATAGCCATTTTGGACGCCATTTACAAACGCGCCACCTTGGGTGGATCATATACTGTCGACCTGTCGCTTAGTCAGTTTAATGTCTTCTTCCAGAAGCAGGGTTTGTTACCTGTGGTGGAGCAGGAACGACTCTTGAAGCGGTACGAAGGAGAACTCAGTTTTAGACATTACGATGATGCACTCAGCTTGTCTCAGAAAATGGCCAAGCTCTTTGCTAAGCATGAGCCGAAGTTATTGGATCCAGAGAAGGTGTATGCCAAGGCCGATAGTAACTGGGGAGAAGAAGGGGAAATTATGGAATATGTCAAGCCGCCAGCCTCTTTTTCCAGCATAAAGTTGTTTCCGGACGTGGGAACCACTCAAGCTGGAACCTATTCCCCACAGTGGCCATAAACCCCATTAGACTAGTACTTACTAGAAGGGGGTTACTAGAGAATATTCAGATCCAATTGCTGGGTTCAAAGGATATCGTTAAATTGTATTTGTTAAAATTAAACTAAATATTAGGTCTAGAATATATGCCATATTAAAGATAGGCCATGACACATTTGTACTTAGACCTCTCGTGGGTTCCATTCCCACAATGTCACGAAATCTCGTTATGCTTTTCTCATACCAAATCCTTGGCGATACGAAGCTTCTTCTCCCTCTCCCAGACCGAGACCCAGTACTTGGTCTTTCCGCAGGTCTACGAATTGACCAGCACTCTTGTATCGCGTATCTACCACTCCACAAAGGTCATCCAGCAGCGTTTTGAGCCGTCCTCTGCCGGAACCGCCTCCCTCGATGGCCACGTTGTGGGGATGCAGAGAGACGCAGACAGCATCGTGCTCCAGAACGTGGTGACTTCCATCCAGGTACTCAACATGCGTTTGTTCAAGAACATTTTCATCAACTCCCCGGTGTTTATCGCCTTTGTGCATACCCATCCGCTCGTGGCGGAATCGCTCATCAGGTTCAATGACTTATCCAATGAGTTAGATGGCATCCATACAATCAACCAGTACCACAGTCCGTTACTTATCTCCGATGGGAAAACCGATGTTATACAGGCGATTAGTCGCGAAGGTTTGCTTGATTCCAAGTTCGGCGAGTTTGTCTACGAATGGAATGAAGTTTTGAGAGTTAATAGAAATTTCTATTCCAAGATTAAGATTTGGGTTAGATGGTTCATATAGATATTGGTTAACAAATGCTACATGTTATAAACAACTGATAGTTTAAAAAGTACACAGAGTATGTGCGTGTAAAAGTGGAACTTCTCCAGACTTAATCCTGAGATAGTTCGTCCAGCGAGTTATAAGGGACTTTAATTGGCAATTCTTTTCAGTGATATGGACTAAGGCTATGTAGTAAAGGTACCATTTAACTAGACGGAAGTTGGAGTCCATTGTCCCCTTGCCTCTGATAAGCGGATACCCTGGTATCGTATCTGCCTTAGTATATAAGGTCACCGACTACCCTTCTCTCGTAGATATCTTACATAGAAAAGGATTCTCTTTTAGCTAGCTAGCAGTATCCACTATTACCTACTAGATATACCACAGACCACCTTCGTATTCATAGTTGGCCTGTACGAGGGTGAGAATACTAGAAGGCTCTTTTTTGCCTGCTCTCCAATACTCAAGCTTGTGTAACTAAACATGTTCTCTATCAATCCAAGACCCGTTTCCGTATTAAGGCTGAAGAATCAACTTCAATAGCTACCATAGACGCCAATATACTTGCATCTTGAGTCTGCCAAAATCAGTCCTGCTAAGTATCACGGATATCGCCGCTATGGAGAGAAACTGCCGACTCATACGTTTCAGGTACATGCATCTAGTTGTTGTCTCGCTAGATTGCTTCACGCCTATATTCTGTAAGGATTCCAATGACTGCTGAGATTAATATTAGGGGTTGTAGCTAGCCACCTATACACTAGATATTGTCGGACTAACCGTTGAGTATAATCACGATCTTTCATCAAAAATAAAGATAATTCATATACTACATACGTACTTATTAAATGGAAAAGCACTTGCTTATATAACCCTCTTAGTTTGTACCATGATATTTCAATTTCAGTTGAATTTCCACATAAAGTTTAATCCTCTTGAAATGGCACGTAACTTCACATGTGCTAGGGATCCGGTTCTGGTAACCACTCTTGGTAGCCGGACACGATCTTTCTCGGGGCCTCAGAGACAGTTTCTCTAGCTCTTATATATAACGTGGTTCTTACTTAATCATTATATAGAGGTTTTATAGTGTAGTGGTTATCACTGTTTGTTCTGATCCAATAAATCCGGGTACAATCCTTGTTGCGCATATACCTCCACCAGTACAAGTTTACTTTTCCATGTCAATGTTTTAGGATAGTTTATGCTATACCTAACTGAATATTTCCTTACATTCATTGTGAGCCTTAAATTTAATGATAGAAGCTTATATTGATATGCCAAAGATTTATTTACTACCCTACAATCTTGAGATTACATGTAACATAAGATTATATCTGGCTAGTTGTGCTAATCCATCTTGCAAAAATGTCTATTTTTAACGACAAAACATCATTAATTTATAAAGCTCAGGGAAATAAACTGAACTTTATACTTAATTATCGTACTTAACACCTTCGTATCTCTTGACAAACACCTCTGGTACTGCCACCACCTTACTGCGAATGTAGTCGGCAAAGGCTTTACCCAACGAGTCCAAACGCGTGGATGAACTCACGCCCCTACCCAAAATGCCATATACTACAAAATGGACAGCAAGTATATTAGGCATCTCCACCCGCTCGATAAAGTAGGTATCCTTCCAGTCCTCCCCGATCAAATACTGCAAGTTTTTGCCCGTCGCAAACGACTTCAACCATTCGTATTCGTCATCCTGGTGCACATAAAGTCCTAGATTCACGTTGGCACCCTTGTCTCCGGATCGCCCCAACACAAAAGTGTCTAATGTGGCCCTAACCGTAGCCCCAAACATGGATAAATCAACTGGTTTAGCGGTTTCGTATGACTTTCTGACCCCCAAAGCCTCTGCTCTTGGAACATGACCACCCTTCACGTCTACGGCAGCGGAATTGTCGCTGCCCAAGATAATACACCCCTCATCCAATCTCAGCTGCTCAATCAAGCCAGGGTAATAAACTACAAACTCGCGGGGTTCAAACGGGTTGATGAAACTGAAGCTGGCACCGTGGAAGTGCTGCATTCCGTAGCGTCTACAGGCCCTTCCAAACGCAATTACACTAGCATACTCGCGGGCCTGGACAAATATCCGCAAGAACGACGTGCCATGATTCTGCAGGTCAGGGTTTTCATCCGCATGGGCCAACCGCTGGAACTCCACAACATCAAACTTGTCCTGGATCCCGAAGTCTTCCATAGCTCGGCGGACCTGGCGTTCCTGCAACTCAAACTTGGCATCCATGTTGGTGCCAGTTCCGCAGACCATAAACTCCGCCTGGTAGCCACCGACGTAGAACAAGGCAAGTTTGGTGGTGGGTGGAGGCGGGAACCCCCTGATTCCGGACACCTCAACACGGTTTTTCGCCTTCTGTTTCATGATCACCTTGGAAACGTCAGCCGTAACATCACTGTTAAGATACATTTCACCTTGGAGCTCGTACAACAACTGTGAGCGGCAGGTATCCACGTTGACAAACCCGTTGAGCGATTCATGCTTTGTAATAATAAACGTGCCGTCGCTGGCGATTTCAGCAATAGGATAGCCGATGTCAATCAACTTGTCCATTGGATAGCGATCGAAATCGCAAAAGTTTGCTCCAGTGGTGTAGCCGGAACACTCAATGAGGTGACCGGCGAGAAGAGCGCCCGCTAGTCTATCGTAGTCGGTGTCTTTCCATCCGTGCCACCAGGCCGCGAGAGCGATGATTGGAGAGGCATCAGCAACTCTACCACAAATGATGACGTCCGCCCCAGCATTCAACCCTGCAACGATGGATCTGCCGCCAAGATAGGCATTGCAGCTGACGATCTCGCGGTTGGGGTTGGCAAAGAACGCGCTGGTTTCGGCGGAGATCTTGATCTTGTCGTTATTCGAGTCCAAGTGCTTCAACTCGTACTCTGGCTGAAGGTACGTCTCGGCGTTGGCATAGAGGTCATCCCCGTAAACATAGCTGATCTTTAAGTCTAGCCCCTTCTTCACAGCTTCAGCGTTGACAAGCTCGGCTAGACCCTTGGGATTTTGCGCACCACCGTCAAAAACCACCTTGATCCTCTTTTCCTGGATAACTTCCAAGCACATGAGTAATGCTTCTTCGCAGTTCTTTTCCCAGCCCTGGTGCGCTCCGGCCTTGTATGCCTTGGCGTTCGTGGCGATATTCAACTCTGCAAGCCAATCACCAGTAATCGCATCGACCGGGCCCTCAGTGGCCTGTCTGTACATGTGGAAGCCTTCGTCGGTCAAAGCGCCGGCGCAATTGGCTATAATAATGGGGCGTCTAGTCATGGCGGTGTTGTTGGTAGGTACCTGGAGCTCAATTGAGGCGGAATATAACTTTCTTTTAAATACACCTACGCCTGTGGTATCCAATTAAGGTCTTCCGCCGTGACTGCGGGGAAGAAAGGGATGACACGAAATCCGATAAGGTTTTTCAGGGAGCTGCTGCATTAGGTCTAAAGGTGGGGGGGACCACTCGGCCTTCGGACAGAGGGGGTGAAAATCATCCATAGCTGAAACCGGTCTGTTTGCAACACTCCGCTAAAGCGATAACTTCGAGTCTATGAGTAGTTGACCCTTTACGGAATCCCCTCCGCCGACAATGCCCCGTATGAAACCGAGGAACGCAGGTATGCAGAGACCTGCATACAGGGTGCGTTTCCCCACAATTACCCTTCGGAAGATTAATATGCGAGCTTTATTTCGTCTAAATAGCGTATTATACCGTAACTTGGGGGGTGTTCAGCTATCTCAACTTGTATGGGCGTATTCCAAAATTTTCAGCACGTTTGAAAAAATCTCTATGGTAAAGGTGCGTATGGTTTGTTGAATAGTATTCCTGGCGCTGGTTCAAATTTACACTACAGCTTAGTAGCCAAGTTTTAATCCCACCAGACTAATAGAACAAGCCTATGTGGAGTTTCCCTTCCGGAGTTCGGCAATGGTACCCCGCATCTTTGGTATGACTTCATGCTACATAAACTCTAAGACCTAATACTCTACTGATCTATATAAGACATTATACATCCCTTACGGCTCTCCTTATTTTCAGATTTCAAACGTCTCCTTTCTTCACAATGACTGTCATATCTTCCAAACCATACACCATCACGGCTGAAGCCACCCGAATCTTCAATTCTCTTGTCAATGACCCCCGCCTTGATGTCCCAGAGACTGTGAAGTGTGCGGCCAGACATGTAACTATTCAGGCCAGACACGAAGTGCCGTTTTTACCCACTCCATTAAAGATGACCGAGTCTTCCACCGCGCTCTGGGCGTACCTCAGCGCCTGGTCGCTCGCCATAATGAGCGCCCGATACGGATTGGGTGAGGAAACCGCCGTCATTGATTCCGAGCAGGCCACGTTGTACCTTTTATCTTTCGCACTCGTTCGTTTCAACGGTGTGCCCATTCTCGACGAACGTTTTGCCTCAAGAATTGCACAGTACGACACGGGCATGAGCTCTGAGCCATACCGGGCGATGGCTACCAATATCTACCCAACCCGCGATGGAAAGTTCTACTACTTGCACGGGAGTTTAAACGCAACGCGAATCTTGCGAATGGTAGATATGCCAGACTCACAGCCGGAACTCACACGCGATGAAGCCATTGTGGCCCACACGGAAAATCTTTCGCAAAATTTCGATAGCCACTGGCTCGAGATCACTGCCAACGAAAGATACAAACAAGCGGGCACGGTTTGCAATACATTTGAAGAATTCTTGGCTTCTGAGCATGGAAAGGCCATCAAGGATGACCCTATCTACATCGTCAAACAAGTGGATGCTTCGCTTCCGGCTGTGGGTTGGCCAGAAGCCACCAAAGGTAGCGGCAGACCGTTGGAAGGAATTCGGATCATTGATTTCTCACGTATTATCGCAGGACCTGCGGTAACAAAGCTCTGTGCTTTGCTTGGGGCCACGGTCATTCGCATTTCCTCTAATCCGCACCAGACCGATTGGGCCGCCTTGATGTTTGATGGGAATTTGGGAAAGCGTGACACCTCCTTAAACATGAAGTCAGAGGAGGGTAAAGACGCGTTTGAAGCGTTGTTACTAGGAGCCGATGTGATCATGGACGGTTTCCGTCCGGGCTCCTTGGATCGTTTGGGATTCACCAGGGACTATATGCGTTTGCTTGCTCGAAAGAGAGGTAAGGGACTTATTCTCGCCCGCGAGAACTGCTACGGCTGGAAAGGGCCACTTCAGCACCGTTCGGGCTGGCAACAAATAAGCGATTGTGTCACTGGTGCTGCATGGGCCCAGGGAAAGTTTTTGGGCTTGGACGAGCCGGTTCTTCCGTTGTTGCCTAACTCTGACTATCAGACGGGGATTTGCGGGGCCGCAGCCATTTTGGATGCCGTATACAAGCGTGCCACCGTGGGTGGGTCCTACACCGTAGACTTGTCGCTCAACCAATACAATGTCTTCTTCCAGAAGCAGGGTTTGTTACCTGAGGTAGAGCAAGAACGACTCTTGAGACGGCATAAAGGAGAGCTCGACTTTAGACACCATGATGATGTGTTCAACTTGCTTGCAAAGATGACCAAATTTTTCGCAAAGCACGAGCCGGAGTTATTGGACCCAAAGATGTATGCCAAGGCCAAAAGTAACTGGGGAGAAGAAGGGGAAGTGGTGGAGTATATCAAGCCGCCAGCCTTTTTTTCCAGCACCAGATTGTTCCCGGACGTGGGAACCACCCGGGCAGGGGCCCATCGACCACAGTGGCCGTAAATCCCATTGGGCTAGTATTTACCAAAGGCTTTTTGTATAAAAAATATTCCGATTTAAACGCTATGTTGGTTTTTATATACTTTTATTTAAATGCAATTGTGCAACAATTGAGCTGGGTATTTATGTCTAGAGGCCCTTCACCACTAGGCTTCTCTGCATAGTCTATGCCCCTGCTTATATTCCTAGGGCGTACACGTGGTGGTGCAGCTCCCAATACCAAACGCAGCCCCGAGGCCGGAGCACACCTGCAGCCATACTATAGTTGCTCTTTCGGCTATGGGCGCTAACCCAAGGCGTCGCCTGATTGACGTCCTGCAGGCGGCTGGAAAAAGAAATCCCGTCTGAGATGTGAGTCAGTATTTTTTTTTCAACTGCAAAGTATAACACATGTTACATTATAAGTCACTAAATCTTTTTCGAAAGCAATTTCTTCCATTCTTACCCCATACTTTCCACCATGCTCAATACCGCCAACACAACGGCTCATCCTCTCTTAGAGGCCACTCAGACGTTACTAGAGGTACACACACAAGTCATCGACAACATGATCTACCTCTTCAACACAGAAATCGAGCTCTTGTCCAACTCCACCAAGCTTCTCGAGTCAATCCACATCCAAACCTTACTCAAGGGCTTGAAACAGAACATTTCCATCATGGTTATGAAGATCCGCAACCCCGACAGCTACTCACTCGGTCGCAATAACACCTTGATCAGCTTCCAGCTTCGGAGCTTATTCGCCGACCACTACAGCCCAGTGCTCGGGAAGGTGTTGGCCGTGTTGGAGGAGTTAAACCGGTGCTACCACATCCTTAAAAAGGCCAACCAGAATACCAAATCCTTGGCGACACGAAGCTTCTTCTCCCTCTCCCAGGCCGAGACCCAGTACTTGGTCTTTCCGCAGGTCTACGAATTGACCAGCACTCTTGTATCGCGTATCTACCACTCCACAAAGGTCATCCAGCAGCGTTTTGAGCCGTCCTCTGCCGGAACCGCCTCCCTCGATGGCCACGTTGTGGGGATACAGAGAGACGCAGACAGCATCGTGCTCCAGAACGTGGTGACTTCCATCCAGGTACTCAACATGCGTTTGTTCAAGAACATTTTCATCAACTCCCCGGCGTTTATCGCCTTTGTGCATACCCATCCGCTCGTGGCGGAATCGCTCATCAGGTTCAATGACTTATCCAATGAGTTAGACGGCATCCATACAATCAACCAATACCACAGTCCGTTACTTATCTCCGATGGGAAAACCGATGCCATACAGGTGGCCAATCGCGAAGATTTGCTTGACTCCAAGTTTAGAAAGTTTGGCGAGTTTGTCTACGAACGGAATGAGGTCTTGGGGGTCAACAGGAGAAGGATCTTTTAAGCGAAAACTGGAACCTGTATCGGATAATTCATAGATATTGGTTAATAAATGCTACATGTTATAAAATTTGATGGATTAATAAGGACGTGGACGATTTGTGAAAGGCGAACCATTTCCAGGTCAACCATGTGATAATACGTCTATCGAAGTGTGTGAGCCTTGACAATTTCTGTCCGAGGGTCTAAATATTAGAAGGTGTTTGTCGCAGGTGCATTATATTTAGTCGTTATCTCACCAGATGGCCTCAACGTCTATCCCAGATATATCATCCGATATAGTGTAACGGCTAGCACGGTTCGCTTTCACCGAGCAAACCCGGGTTCGACTCCCGGTATCGGAGTGTCCTCTACTTTTTATCTTAAAACATATTTCCGACAGATCATTTATCAGCTGAAAGTGCCCGTGTCGAGTCTTGTATCGGGGCAATTGTGTTTTCGTGCCCTACCCTCTTTTAGACCATCTTTATACAGTATAGTTCATCAGTGCATTACTAATTCTTGGTTAAATATCACGGTAGCGGGCGTCCAGCACCCGTTTGTCCGTTTAAAGCTCCTCTTCGGAATACCCCTTTCTGGTCTGTCTCTTTCTCAAGTTGCTCAACTGGATACTCCGCTTGATATCAAACTTGGTCTCAAGGATTTCCTTGGTCTCCTCCAACTCCAAGTGACCGAGCTCAGGGTATAAGAAGAACACGCAGATTAACGAGATGAAGGATACTGCCCCGAAGAAGGCAAAGGTCCCGGTTGGGGTGATTTTCTCCATCATGGTCAAGAACGTGGAGGCAATAATAAGCGAGCCGGACCAATTTACGGCACATGCAAGCGAAGACCCAAGGCCTCTCACGTTCATAGGGAAGGTTTCGGACTGTTGCCATGGAACGGCACCGGTACCAAAGGCAAAGAACGCCACATAGAGCAACATTGCAACCAAAATGACAATTCCCCAACCAGTCATCCCGGTAGTGTTAATAACCGCCTGGTTGTTGGCAAACTTGATGTCCATGAAATGGAACGCAACCGCCGCAAGAACCAACGCACACACCATACCCGCGAGCGAAATAATCATAAGCTTTCTTCTGCCCAAGCGGTCAATGAAGAAAAACACCGCGATGGTGAAGATGAAGTTGATTGCCGCGACCAAAATTGACACAGCGGTGGCGTTCTTGAATCCCACCATCTCGAAGATTGTCGCCGAAAAGTACATCAAAGAGTTGAACCCGGTGAACTGGTTGATACCCTGCATCCCGCAGACAATAATCAAGCCACGGAAGTTAGAAGGAACGGTGTGGAGCTCTCTGTACTTGACACAGAACTTCTTGAACGCGGACATGCCATTGGTAGGGTCGTAGGTTGCTTCCTGGAGTTCTACAATCTTTGCGTCAATCGACTTATCACTAGCCCCGCCGTTGATCCTCACCATCACATCGCGTGCTTCATCGAGACGGTTTTTCCCAACCAAGTACCGCGGGGTGTCGGGAAGTCTGGTCAAAAGCGCGGCCTGGAGAAGTGTTGGGAAGAGCGAAATCGCCACCAAGATTCTCCAGCCCTTGTTCACGTGCACTAGCCCGGCACCAATGCCGTAGCTGGCCAACTGGGCACCGGTTCTAATAATAGACGCCATCATGACCAATCTACCTCTCCATTTTGCAGGGGCAAGCTCCGTGATATAGAGGGGAGAGACCACAGACGCGATCCCCACGCCAAACCCCATAATAAACCGGCCCACAATCATGGTCCAAACGTTCTGTGCGGCCGCTTGGGTTACTGCTCCAATCACAAAGAAAGCGTTCGCCACCTGACAAGCGTAGTTTCTCCCAATCGCATCCGCGATCGAACCAGCAAAAACCGCGGTGATTAATGCACCAAGGGAGGTGGCGGATGTGATGAACTCCTTCCTGCCATAAGTCAACGGCTCGCCAAGGTCGTTGTTGACGGAAACCAAGGCGGAGGAAATGTATCCGGTATCGTAGCCAAACATAAAGTGCGAAACAGATGCAACCGTCACCAAAAGATACAAGAAAGCGGTGGGTTCGGAGTTGACCACTTCGTGTGCAATATGATAGCTCTCCACGTTTTTGGACGCATCGTCCTGGCTGTTGACCTCGTAGTGCACTGCTGTAGCTTTTTCTTCCGACATGGTAGATAATGTTAGTGAGCGATAGTATAGATAGTCTGAAGACGTGCGGGGCGAAGACTGCTTAAATACCGTTGGGCGCGTGTTAGAAGTAAATCAGCGCGTTAAGCATATCCCCGACGTAGAATTCTCGTGGATCCAGAAAGTTTCCCGAAACGGAGGGGAGATAGCGCGGGGATAGCTGCAGGAATGTGGGGAGCGACAAACGGGAGCCTCTGGCAGAGCCAAGCGATTCACATGTGAGACTACGAAATTTTTATGATGCTTGCTTATCCAGCAACAGCACCGTTTGTGTGTGCTCTAATGCACCTGGTACTGTCGATATGAGTTTTGCCAGCTCGTCGTGAGTGTGGCTGATTGCTGCGAGCGTCGGTTTTTTCAACGACAGTCTGGTTAGAGGGCAGTGACTTCGGAGTTCTAGCCAAACTTTCGTGGACAAAATTCGCTTGAACTTTTACGACGCAGCTTATCCCAGTGTGGGAGCTTGGAGACCTGTTTCCAAGCGCGTCGGAACAACGTATCCTGCTAGTTTCGCTCCCCTGGCCCTGGTCTGGAATAAGATGGCACCCATTTTTATTTCGTTATTATTCTATTCTTTTTCTGTTAAGCTAGGAAGGGGTCCTCAAAGATTCCATGTCTACAACTTCCATAGTTTTTTTTTTCGTATTTCTTGTCAATCAAGATACTGCATACGCACTTCCCTATCGTATAGTGCGGTGATGATGTCGACGTTAATCTTCCAGGGGGTTCTCAGATCTAGGTTGTCCCCCCCCTTCAGCATGACTAGATTTAGCGAATCATCATCATATTGGTAGACCTGCAACATTCTGGGGAACTTGTTTAAAAAGCCGAGAGAGACTCGTGTCAGACACTAGATGCGGGAGGTAGGGCAATGGCCACACCGAGACTAAACTCTAGCCCTTATGCATGACCAGGGGAAAGGGGTGTCTAGTGACACCACGGATTTTATCCAGAAATTCCGATAGCTAAAATATCCAATCACCGCCGCATGATTGGATACGCTATACCGGAAGTAGTCAGTCCTTCAGACTGCAGACGTAGATCGAAGATGCGAATGGCCCCTTCCAGCGTAGTATATACAGCAGGCCCTCACGCTGCCTCAATTCCTCGTATCGCACATGCTATACGATGCCTTCACGTCTTTGTAAACCTAAAAATGAGCTGCAGGCGAGTTTGGGCACACGAAATACGGAGCTAGCTTTATCCACTCACTCTACATGCTGCTCTAGCCATCAGTGCTACTCCAGCTGTCAGTGCTGTTATACCTTGTATTTATTGTGGTGATTGTAACTAGTTGTTACCAGGCCAATTTGCTTGAAAGCTTTCGGGGCCTTGACATTCACCCCCATTACACCTTGCAACTGCGTTCCCCAGTCATTCAGACTCCGTCGAATGACTAATAGCTAGACGGTCTACACCTTAGCTAAGACTAAAGTGCAGCATTTCCTCTCCGTTCATCACGTAAACTGCGATCCGGAAATTACTAAACAATTCCTAGCCCCCAGGTCTGGCCTCGCATTGCTTCTACCTGCACAACACACTCTTTCCGGCTCTGATCTCTCTCTCGGTATCGCCTCCCGCCGTGCCGCTCTCAAACGCCGTGAGGTCATACACAAACGTCTTCCCAAACTCCCCTGCCTTGAAGTCCTTCTCGCGGCTAAGATCTTTGGCGGCCTGGTGCAACAACTGCTGCGGCTCCATCACGTGCTCACTGCTGAGCTTGAACGTCCCCCAGTGGACCCCCACCATCTTCTGAATGCCCATGCACTCGCTGATGGTCAAGCTCTCTATGGGAGAGATATGGCGCGGCTTCTGGTGCCATTCCGGACAGTACTGCCCGATGGGCAACATCCCGAAAAACACCCCGCTGTACTTGGTTTTGATCTCGTCAAACATTGATTCGCTGTACCCAGTGTCACCGGCGTGATAGAACACGGGCTTGTTGTCTTTCAATATCAAAAAAGAACACCACAACGTGCTGTTGTTGTCGTAGATGCATCTGCCCGACCAGTGCATGGCTGGCAAACACACCACCTCCCACTTGCTCTTGGTGGCGGACACCTGCTGGGGCTGGATCTCGTAGCGGTCCCACCAGCTCATCTCGATAACCTTGTACACACCCTTGCGCTTCAAATGCGCCCCCACACCCATCGGCACGATCCATTCGGCCTGGTTGTTGATGGCAGCGATGGAGTAGTCTTCGAAGTGGTCCGGGTGGTTGTGACTGATGAGCACGTACTGCAAGCTCTGAAGTGGCAACTCCTGGATCTGGACCGGCGATGGGGTGATACGCTGCGGTCCAATGTACGGGTTGATCAAGTAGTCCTGGAATATCGGGTCAGTGAGGAAGTTGATCCCGCTGATCTGCAAGATGGAACAGCTCTGACCCAACCAAGTGAATACAAACCTTTTCAGCAATTCTGGCAATTCGCCATCATCTGCCGGATGGTGGTACAAGGCCATATCCGGTTGGTAGATGGGCAATGTGGCTCTCAATTTGGCGATATCTTTGTGCAACAACCTGCTGTCGTGGTGGTGCCCGTCCTTATCGTCACTGCCGCCGGTTATGAGCTCCACCACTTCCATGACCCTCACTAGAAAGAATTCAAACAACGACTGCGCCCTGTACTCCTTGAACGGGTTTTCAAACTTTCCGTGGATCACTAACGGAAGAAAGCGACCACTGGGCTCCTGGTCAAGCTCGGGGTGCGCCGATTGGAGGGTGCTCTGTTTCCTGTGGTACAACGCCTCCCGCTGCTGGATCTCCCACTGCGTTCTGAGGGAGATGTAGCCGATGTACGAGGTGTACGTAACCACCATCCCAAGGGTTATCTTCGACTTTAGTCCTATGTTGGGCAAGAATTTGAAAAAAGACATGAGTCGGTTGTTAAACTGGGGGGGGCGACTGCGGCTGGAACGATTGGGTGGGTTTTTGTGGTTGCTCCTTGATGGGGTAATTCTTGCGGCTAACCTTTAACTAGAATTTCTGACTTTAACTAAAATCTCCGATTGTTTCACAAGGAATGGAAGTTTTTCCGGCTTTGGTTTGTAAGGAAGTTTAGGCGGTAGAGGTATAGATTCGGGTAGCTCTGTTGCCATTTGTAGTTGCAACCGCAGGGTAAACGGCAGAGGCTTTGGCTCAAAGCGATCTGGCAGCGGGCTCGTAACCCAGAGATTAAGTCGTGAGCCGCAAGCAGAGATAAGCTATTAAAATATGGGACTTAAAATAAAGAAGCGGTCTAAGCTTAGAGATTTATGTGTATTAGTAACGATCATCACTCATTTGGTTTGGTTTCAAACAAATGGAAGTGATTATTTCATACGATAGTCTAGTTTTAGGATTCAGACCAGATCTTTGTCTTTCGGGCTACTCGCCATTCTCTTCCTAGGAAACAAGTATCGTTCTCTTGTCTTCCAACTATAAACGAAGCTAATAGAAATAATACACTGTTTTAGATAAACAGTAGGAGGAGGCCATATAGAATCCACCACTTCCTCTCGCGGAGTGACTGTTCCCTATTAGCTAAATGTAGCCTATGCGTGCTTCAGCTTTAGCGATGCATTCCTCGGAATCATATCTTTGTATACTAAGTATGCTTTCCCAATCTGAATTTCCTCGAATGCTATCTTTCAAAGTTTGGCTCCTCGGCGACCTATTGCGGTTTCACACCATTTTATTGTCTTGGCCCCGGTGTATACCCCGATGTCTGGTGTCAGTGTATGCAGGAGTATAAAAAGTGGGTATAAATCGCCCTGATGTCTTCCGCCTCTCCCTCCTTACACTTTCCGTCCAGGTTATATATCTGCCTTCCATCGCACAATGTCCGAACGTCACCCAGGTAAACGCATCTGCCAGATTATCAAGCTCAGGCCGGAATTCTTAGAGGAGTACAAAACCATCCACAGTGCTGTGTGGGAGCCGGTCCTCAAGAACCTTACCAAGTACCATATCGAAGACTATTCCATTCACTATGCGCCTGAGTTTGACTTGTTAATTGCGAACTTCAAGTACACTGGTGATAACTGGGAACGTGATGCTGAAGATATGAGAGTGGATCCGGGCAATCATGACTGGTGGAAGGTCACCGACGCCATGCAGTCTACGTTGGTGGAAGGCTCTACTGGCAGTAGCGATAAAAAGGGCTGGTGGAAGAACTTGGAAGAGGTTTTCCGTGTTGACCACTGAGTTTCAATGGAGCGGTATAAACCAATTTCTCTCTGGTGTTTGTCTGGAACTGGCTTCACGGACCCTCCTTTCCCAGACTCCTGCTAGACTTATTCCTGCTGAATAATATTCGGTTTATTATATTTAACTTTAAAAGGTTATTTCTAAGTCTGTATATGCAAATATTTACTTCACTTTAGCTCCTCTCCATTTTTGTAATGCCAACCTCAGTCGCATGTATCGAGATCATAGGATGTATGACACATGGATAATTAGGTACTTCGAGCCCCGTTAAACCTCTTTTCTTATATAAATGAATACAATATTGGTAAAGTAGTTCATGTCACAAACTCCATAAGCGACGCCTCAGATAATTGCTTCATGCGGCGCCGCGTAGCCTCTCAACCCAATACACAAACAGGTCACAGCAGAAAATAGCCTTCCTCGACGATTATTTTAAATTTTAAAGATAAAATTCTTTATCCAAGCACAAAGGTCACCATTTCCCTTCTATATTGCTACACCATGACTGCCGTTATTCCGCTCCAGTTCTCTGATTTATCGCCTATAAGCTTCTCACACCTCATTTTCTCCCTCCAACACGTTTGGCTAATTTCGCATGCAATCACCCTCTTGAGTGTCTTTGGATATGTTTTTGTCTCGCTCGACTCGGCTACCCACTCTTCCACTCTCCGCAGTTGGTATTTGACGGCAGACCTTGCTACAATCATCACCTACTCGGTAGTGATTTACCGGCGCCACTTGGTAACCACCGTGCGAAATCTTGGTTCATTGTCTGTGGCCACTCCAGGTTCAACCTATCCCCCAGTTTACAGGCACACAAGAATTCCATTGTCGGAAGTGTTGAGGTCCGAAAACGCGCATCTTCTCGCGTTTGGATTGTTATGGCTCGCAACCCCCCAGAACATCATCAAGTTATTGCCGTTTGCGTGCTACTCGTTCTTGAATTTGGGGCATTTCTTGATTAACGAATGTTTTTCTTACAGTTTGCTCTCAGCTGCTATCGCCCCGTTGTTAGCCTACCTCGAGGCACCCCTCTTGTTGGGTGCGGCCCACACGGACATTTTTATAATTCTCATATTGCTCAAGGAGACAGTGCAAAACCGCAGTGCATTTGCCTTGTTCTTTTACGCATTCATCTGGGGTCTCCGTCTCGAATCGTCCGATGCCAGTAGAAGTTCCTTGTATAGCGTGCTATGGGCCATTGACCTCTTTTTTAACCGGCGCGATGTTCCTGTAAATGTCCGGGAGAGCTGGGTTCACGTCAAAACCGGAATTACCACTCTTATTCCGCTCGCACTGGAGGAGACAAGCGGTCTGGACGATGGGACCTTACTCGATGACGATGACATATCCCTCCATCGTTTGAAACGTTAAAGGGACGGTTTTTTTAAATCACTGGGACGTGGGCGGAGGGGGGATCTACGGGAGACGTTACTGCAATATCCCTGACGGTAAGCTGGTTGGGGTGTAGGTTTATAGCTATCTATGCAAACTGCGATTAAACGATAAAAATTGGAGAATATACGGTAAAGGGAACTACGCAACCAGGGTTTTTGTGAATATCATACTCGTTGTATCTTGGTAGAAGTGAGTTCTAGTAGGGGATAGTGGGCAATTCAGCTGTGGCGTATTTACGATTTCTTTGAACCTAACCTTTACTACCATTTATGTCAGGGCCTATACCTGTGAAAAATCGGCAAGCTGATATCTTCCTTACATCCGAAATCTAGAAAATTGAATCAATTTCGTCAAATTTATAAATAGATTAAACGGTCATGATATAATTCTCTCGGTCCAAAGTTGTGGTTCAACTGGCTCCTCTGTTACCTGAGGTTGTCAAGCGTGGCCAGTCCCAATATATGTGAATAGGCCATGTAATGACAACCATTTTGGAAGACCATTAAATGCCTTTTAACAATTTGACGCTTCATTCTACACCTCAAGCAAAGCAGTTTGTGTCCACTCCTTGACTATCGATAGCCTTGCTCTCTTTCCTTTTTGGTTCTTTACCCTTTGAATATTGCTATGTATCTATCGTTTACCTTCTAGTCCACCTACTCGCGATTTAGTACATTATTTAATTCTTTGTTTCAAGATATTTTCACATAAAAATTATAATACAGTATTGGTCTCTCAGGACAGTTCAGAAACTTACGGATATAGAAGTATCGGAAGCTTGTAGCACCATCGATCTACGCTAAGTCTGCCTTCATCCCCGCCAATCTCTCCCAGCCCTCGGAGTCCTCCCATGTCGCGCGCCCGCGTGACATCAACGAACGCACCGTGGTGCGTGACTTGTACTTCCAGTCCTTGCACACCAAATCACCCGCGCCGTGCTTTCCCGGAAGCTCCCCAAAGTTCTCGTACGCCGAAACCAAGTCACCGCAACACTCAACCGCCTCGTTCCACACCTCCTCGTTCGTGGCCAAATCCGGGTTGTTCGAGATCGCACGATATGCCTTCTCATGGCACTCCAACGCGGCCCATGGCTTGCCGCGCCAGAGCTCAACGCGTGCAACCACACGCCAGCAGCGCACCGACGACGTAATCACTGACGGGATGATGTTGCAGATGAAGTCAATGCACGACGTCTGGTAGTGCGACGGTCTATCCAACTCCTGGTACGGCTGTGAGACCAAAAGCTCGGCCAACTTTTCAACAATAGGAATGTCTATAGAGCCATCGCTTGCCTCGCCCTTGGCGTTCTTGATGCTCAACAACTCGCGCGACGCCAACAAGACGTCATCCCACTCGTTCAACTTCGTCGCGACAATCAAATAGTTCTCGTAAATACGCCACGACTTGTTCGAGTCACCATTCACCCTGATCGCTTTCTTCAACGCGCCAAAGGCCTGTTTCACCTTCTGGAGGCGCAACAACGCGGTTGCCAAGTTAGACCATGCGAACGCGCTGGTCTCGTCCAACGCGACACAGCGCGTGAACGCCTCGGCCGCAAGGTCGTACTGCTCAGTCTCTAAGCCGAGACAGCCATAGAAATACCACGATTCGTAATTAATCGGGTTCACCTTCAAGGAGTCGTGCATATGCGCGACAGCAGCGGGCAAGTCGCGCGAGACACCGCGGGGCGGACTGAAGCAGTAACGCGCCAACGCTGTCTTGGCGTTCGCGTAGCGGCCAACTTCCCATGCGCGGAGCCACAACGCAGGGTCCTGCTTGATGTCACCGAGGATGGAGAGCGCGCGCGCGTCGCTCGGATGTGTGTCCACACGCGTGCGCAAAAGGCGCTCGGCCTGCTGCTCGTCGCCTACGGATGCGTAGCACAATGCCGCCTCGCACACCATATGGAGGCGTTCATAAATCTCAACGGCACTGCGTAAAATCCCTAGAGACATGTATTTCTCTGCGAGCTTTGCTTCCATCTCCCAGCGCGGCATGAGCGGAAGCTGGTGCACGTGCTGCATGCGTGTGGCTGCGGCTGCCGCGCCCGCTCCGAGATCGCGGAACACGCGCGTCTTCATCGCCGCGCCGAGCTCCTCCACCAACGACTGCATCTGCAAGACCCCACGCTCAACGGTCTTGGCCTTGGTGCTCTCTACCATGGAGCGCTCCCAGAGCGCGCGCGAGTACACGGACCAGTTGACGGACTTGGCCGGCGCAAACAACACGCGGCTCACCAATGCGAGCAACTCCTCGTTCACCAACGGGTGGTTCGCCGGAGTGGTCTGCCTGATAGTGGTCAAGCGGAGCAACAACTGCAAAGCATCGTAGTCGTCCAACGCGGTCGGGTGGTTCGGGTCGAGGTCGCGCAACGCGGCGGGGATCATGTCCGCACGCAACGCCACAGGAAGGAGGGTTTCCTCATCGTCATCGGAGGGTTCTTGCTTCACAGCTATTTCCACGGTGCGCACCCCGTCCACCCTGCGCTTCTTATGCTCCTGTTCCAACTCGGTGTTTTCCTCACCAACGCCCTCGTAGATCGGGCGCTCGAGCAACATGTCAGAGCCGAGCGCGAAGCTCTCGGGCGCGTCGTCCGTGTACTCAGCGGAAAAACCGCGCGCATCCTCGCTCGCGGCAAGAATCACCAACCCCGCACGTGCAAACTCCTGGTACTGCGTGCGCTTGGCCTTCGCACCCGTCAACACAAACTGGAAGCGCGACAACGTGCGCGCCGCGCGCAACAGTGGCACCGCCAAGTGCTCGGTCCGCGCGTGGATCCCGCAGCGCGCGGCTTCCAAGTGGAACGCGAGCTGCACATACTTCTGGAGTCTAGGCGCCGCGTCTGTGCTCGGGCAAAGCGCGTTCGCAACCGAAGCGTTCAAGAGGATCAGTGAGACCGTTGCAAGCGCACTGGATGGCTCTGGTAGGACAGAGATGTGCACCTGCAACGCCCTGGTACGCCACCACTGCAAGGACGCCAAGACCGGAGCGGTCGGGTCGCAGTGGGCGTGCGCCTCGGTGAATGCAGCGAGCTCTTCAAGTGACGTGAGGTCAGAGGAGTTCACCAACGAAAGCGGTGCCTCTGAAAGCTTCTCAAACATTACCAACGCGAGCACCAAGTATAACGCCTCATCCAAGAGGTCGTACGCGGGCTGGCCCGCGATGTGCAACGCACCCACCAGTTGCGCCTGCAACACTGCGGGGTCGTACGAAAGCTGGAGAAATTCGCATGCGCCGAGCTCTAATGCCGGGCCCGTGTAGTTTGCTTGGATAAAGCATTGTAAGAAAGTGATTGCAAGGAGCTGGAGGCGCAACGGTGCACCCTCCGAGTCGGCCTCACGAGCAGAAGCGAAAAAGCAGTCCACAAACTGCAAAAGCGCTGTATGGGTGTAGGTAGGCGACTGATTCCAGATTTGGCGTGTTTGCTCATTCACCAAGAGGTCCTGGTAGGATGAGAGAACCTCAGTGTAGCTGCCCTGGGCAATTTGGGTTACGGCGGTGGAAAGGAAGACTGGGGCGCCAGCGGGAATATCGAGGCTCTTAGCGGGAACGGACAAGACCAACTGTGATAGAAGGCTCCGGAGAAGGTGGGAAAAGTCTGACATGGCTGGGTAAAACAGAAAGAGGAGAAGGATTAACAAAAGGCTGTTTGTACTTATGACGGAAAAAAATTGATGCGGCTCAGCCAAAGACGATGGAAAGTGAAAAAGTCACGTGAATGTATTATCATCACGTGCTAGGCGTCGACGCTAACACACCATCCACCGGGGGGACAGAAGTCATTCCTCGGGAGGGCAAGAATACAATTCTCTACAGTTTTATGCTTATGTTGAGCTCACAGGTATACAAGTGTAAACCCATTGCTACAACTTTCCTAAAACGATGGCAATAGCTCTCTGTGAATACCGTTCTACCAGCTCCTCTCAAACATCAGCAACGCTTTATATCATTCACAATACGTAGTAGCTCTTTCTCAACCTGCAGACCCCACCGGTGGCTCCCTTCTCACCCTCCATTGTCGCCTCTCGCACCTGCAAATCGTACACGTAGAACCACCCGTCGCTGCAGCAGATCATCAACTCCCCGGTGTGTCTGTCGACGCCCAAAACCTTCCTACTCCTCTTTGGGTTTCTGGTCTGGGTGTCCTTGGCACCCGAATCTTCGCTGTTCACCGAATCATGGTCCTGGGACTCGACCATGTGTGAGGGGAGCGAGTTCAGATGGTCTTGCGACGGAAGGTGGATGACGGCGTAGTCTCGCGTAGGCTCGTACCAATCGTTCAACTGGTTGTAAATAGGGTTAAACAAGTGCGACGTAGTGGATGCGGTGGTCTGGTAGTGCGAGGTGTAGTTAGATAGGTTGCTCTTGGTGGATGACCACAAGCTGGAGATGGTGCCAGACAAGAACCCCCGAGTCACGGGCTCGACGGCTTCAGGTACGGGAACATCCTGGGTGACTGGGGAGGGCGATTTGGACTTGGACCTGTAACTCAGGTCCAACACCTTGTGCAAGCTAGCCACAGACTCTGACTGCGATACTGCGTCGCCATCGGACTCGTAGTCCGACGCGCCGTATGTCTCGGCATCGCTAACGGACCGTCTTCTGTCAGAGTTCACGGACGATATGCTGTTTCCGCGCCGGTCGGCCTTTGTGTCCAAGCGGAACACGTGGATGGTGTTGCTTTCAGAGCTCACAAGCAACATGTTCTCGCGTATGGCGCCGTCCCCGGTAATCAACGGCCCCTTTTTGGCAGAGCGGCCCCTCTCGGTCCCGTGGGCAAAATCCTTGAAACCAAATGCCATGCACTGTATGCGGTTGCCGCGTCTGCCGCGCCGAAAGTCAAACACCTTGGTGATTGTTGTCTCCTCCGCATGGGCGATCTGGAACACGCGGATGATGGTGCCCTTGTTGCTTGCGGTGGCCATCCACTCGCCACTCTGGGCCACTGTCAAGCTGGCAACGGGTGACTTGTGTGGGTTTTCTAGGGTTGTGACCGTCTTGAGGTTGATTGTGTCATAGACGGTGATGATGCTCCGCACCTTTCCGCGGGTTTCACCGAGGAGATACGGCACGTAGAGGTATGAATTAGTCGCCAAATCACCAAGTGCCTCGTCCGACTCCTGTCCCTGCGGCTTTCCGGGTCTGGGCTCACTCTCGCGGGGAACAGTATAGTCTAGCACCTTCAAGAGCTTCATCCGGGAGATGTCGTAGATGTAGATCTGGCTACTCTTCAACCACACCACCATCCGGTGGCGGTTAAGCTTGATGGTGGCAATCTCGTGTGTGAACTTCAACGTGCAGATAACCTTTTTGGTGGCAAAGTTAAAGATTATGAGTCGTTTCAGCTGCGTAGCCTGGTCTGTGAGCGCCACTAGCGACGTGGAGTACAACATCTCAATGTTTGTGATTCCCCCGGTGTCACCTACCGGTCCCGAGGTTAAAATTTCGTTGAAATCGGCGTTCGCATTGTCGGTATCTGAGAGGGTTAGTGTTGCTCTGTGTGTCCTGGCGATTACTTACTCTTCAGGCTGTAGCACTCCCCAAACGGATCGCAGTTGTATATCTTGAAGTTGTTGTGGGAAGTTCCTACTGCAAGGCATGAATTGTCCTGGTTGAATGATACACTCTTCATCAGCATGGTTCTGTGGCGAGAAAGAAGAGCTAGAACGTGTTACGTTTTGATTTCCCCGCCCAAAAATGTGACGCATGCAGCATACACGTTGATCTCAAATGAGATCACGTGATTATCTGATGCAAGAGATCGACGTTTAGGTGCTATGGCAATGAAACTTCAGGTGTCTTCGATATATACCAAAGGTTTAGTTGAATTGGAATAGTAAATGATGGGGGCTTAAAGAGTATGGGAGGTGTGTGTTGCTCCTTGTGTCTGGTCGAGTCGTATGCTATGCCATTAAACTTATGCATATCTTGGGTTTTGGGGTCTCCGAAAGACCGGTATTAACCTATTTAGGAGTTGTTTTTATTCTCAAGTTTGTTTATGTATGCTTATCATTGGAAGAAGCCTATATAATGAAGTGATTACCCATAACTTGGGGGAGTTGTGTAAGCTGGTACGGTAGGGCAAAGATGCATACGTGGCTAGCAGCCCTTGCGGTTATCTCCAGTAAAGGTATAGAGCAAAATGATAGATGTGCTGAGAATATTCACCGATTGGAGTGATGGGTTAAAAAAAGAATATGCCTCCAGCCAGATTCGAACTGACGATCTCCTCATTACTAGTGAGGTGCCTTACCAACTTGGCCATAGAGGCGGAATTATGCTTGTCAGGGTTTCGGCGCCTATACAAACTTCAGCCCGGGGGCTGTAGTCAGTCATTGGTTCTCAAAATACTACCAGGGCCTTCCACAAGAAACAAAGAGATCCTATACTAAATACGCATTTTATTAACGGGAAACGACTTCTTTGTGTAACCCTCTGGGCTTGAATCACCCCTGGTGCTTCAATTTCACCTGAATCACCCCTGGTCAATTTCACTTGAATCACCATGTAGCTTCACGCATACTAGGAGGCAGACTCTGATAACCAGTATCAATCCATTCTGTAGCCACACGCTGTTCGCTCTACCTCAGAGACCTATTTTCTAACTTTTACAATTTTAATGTCCGGATTGTTGATGTTTAGCGGCCTGTTACTAGATAATATTTGTATCCGTGGTATGTCAACGTTGATCGATTCTAAGTTACTTGCCCTTTGGTAAGATATCGAGGCCTTGAATATAAAGTATTTCGTTAGTTACGCCAAGAGTAATAAAGGAGAAGGTATCGTATACCCTTATATAAATAATTGATTCTCCCAATAAAGCAGTTTTTGATCATACTGAATTCACTGAGATATGATATTTTAAAGCGCTGAACGACACTTCTCAGTCATCAAGCGGTCTTGTGACGCCAAATATGTAATTTTCAACAATTAGAGAAGTTGTCCCCGTTTTATTCGGTCCTAGCGAAAGGTACATGGAGGTAGCTCGATTGCGAGGCTAACCCTTTTTTACACATGAGTATATTGCTGCCTTGTATAGTTTATCATTTTTGTGCTCACTTCCGGACACGATCTGGCCATATGACCATATTGGCCGCAAGCGAAACAGGTGGTATGCAGCATATTGCGAGGGCCGTGGTTGTTTCAACGCTGTACGTTTTCATCTTTCTGAGAGTAAGGCCTGGAGTGAGTCCTGGAGTGAGGCCCGGAACTGCCTACTAGCCCCCGCCTCGTAAGAATCAGCTGGGTACCCACCACTAGTGGCTTTCATAGTTCCCCCTGGCGCCAGCTACTTCATCAAGCTTGACCAAGTAAGGGATGAGGTCCACTAGACTTTTCTTTTGGGAAATGTGAGCCTGGAGCTTCATGTAGCCATTAAGTCCATGCACAAATCGATCGTAACATATTTCCACATAGCCGACTGGGATTTGGCTGAGAAGGTAGTTGAACCTTTCAGCATAGGCTCTGACTGAGCCTGTCTGACGAAGATCGAGGAATTCCTTTTTGCACTTGTATTCATGGTCAAATGGGTAGAACTGGTCACGGAGGCCTTTTCTGAGCCCCTCATAGGTCAAGTTATTAACATCACCAATCTGTCTGATGTATACAGATAACCACATGCTAGCTTCACCGTCTAAATGGGTAGCTAGGTATTGGGCCTTGCCAATGCTGTCTTCTTTGGACTTTTCAAGTGCATTATCAACCGAACTCAAGAAACGGTCAATGATCACTGCGTCTTTTTGACCCTTGTAGGAGGTAATCTTCATAGTCTTCTCTGGTTTGGCCGATCTCTAAGATAGCATTGGCTAACTAAGAGAATAATGTTGGTGGTATTATGCTCTACGTATATAATCAAAGGGCGAAAAGGTTCTTATATATTATAAGTACAACTGGATAACGCCATGTTAGATGGCAGGGGATTTAGCGAATCGCATATGATGTGCGGCTTAACGCCTTTAACACCGATCCACCTGGATTCACATAATCAATGTAAATCTAGCTCGAGCAAAGCCATACAAGACAGCAGGTGACTTGTATAAAAATGTTTCAGCTAATTAATCAAGTAATCTGCCTGGTTTCACACTACCTAGAGCGAACCTCTGACACGTCAGTGAAACAGACAGCTCGCATTTTATGGAAGAGCGGCCATGTGTGGCAATAGATGTTGTCTCAGTCAGAGTTAGACGTTAGATCGGTGTGACATGTTATGGGGCTACACTGACGTTAAATTTTACGAGGATGAAACTACGGGTCGTGATTCCGATGAATAGAAACACGGATGGCGATTCCGATGGATTGAACTACCGTGGTGCCTCAAGTCCAGAAGGGCTGTATAAGAGGTGGTTTCCGATGGATGGAAAATGAGTAGTTTAGAAATATCTTTATTCTTATGGAAGGTCATGGTGGTAGCTCGTAGATCAATAACTGACTATACCCCCCTGGCTGTCTCAGCTAGAGTTTTGTGCACCTCTAACCGTACAAGGCGTAAATGTAAGTTTTTTTTCGGTCTTTTGAGCCAGTTTATAGCCTAATTCTGAGAAATTTATTGTGTTTTATTTGGCCAAAATCCATAATAGTTATCATTGATATAACCATATTTAGCGAGGAACTTGGCCCGTGGATCTGGTTGTGCTATAGTTAATGGCGAGAGATGACTACGGTAAACGGTTCAAGATCCCTACTCAGCACTGCCTTAAAACCCGAGACTGAGATCGTTGGTATCACCTGCGGTAAATCTGCGGATTCAAGACCACTTCTAAAGCGATCAGGTACGTGTTTTTCGTAAATTGTATCCTTTTTGCGGCACCATGTTTATGAGGCGAATTTCATTCAACGACCCAAGCTTATCTTTAGAAACGTCATATATCGCCTCGTCTCCTTTTCTGCGGTCCAAAATTCGAGTACCTTTGTTTTACCCTACACCATAAATGCTGTCATACACTTTGTCGAAGATTTTATCTACAGCGACTCACGGGCGCTTCTCAGAAAATAAGGACGACGCCCCAAGATTCTTTACCTGGGTGATTAAAGTGATCCCATACATCCAAGTGGTAATCACTGCTTTATTTGGACTGCTCTCCCTGGGTGTTAATAATTGACAGTAGTCGATTAGTTTGTTATCACTGCGGTTATGGAGGCCCTTTCTTAGGCCAGTATCTCCTTGTCACCTTAAATTTATGAAAATTTTAGAATCTGTATTATTCTGAACACGTTACCCTTCGTTCATATGCTGTGTGATACACGAGTATAGGTTTTACGTTTGATTTCTTAGTTCAGGGATTCCAAGCCTTCTAGGCCTTCAACGCAATGAAATTCTTTACGAGTTACGTCAGCGTCCTATTGTTCTTTGGGGAGGGTTTCACCTTTACTATGGTAGTCCTATCTTGGTTTCCTTTGACGAGCTAGATTTTGCCTCGGAAGAATAGAAGCTGGCATTCTTTGAGACAACATGCCTAAACCTTTCTGAGGGAGGGTCTTGGACGAGCTTTTGGTATGAGGCTGGTTCCAATGCATGTTCACGTATGTATCCGCTGTGGTCTTATATCCCATTTCCTATCCCGTTACCACGTGAAACAGAATATCAAACACATGCACTCGTTTCTCCTAGCCTTTGTATCCCCAAGAGTTGTCTTAGCTCCTGGTCGGGCAGATCATAACCTAGCTTCATATTGAAATACGTCTCGTCCGGGATATTTGTTAGACTCCAATTGTGGTCTGCTGAAGATCTACCAATCACCAGTGCACACCTCACCATGGCTTGCTGCATATGCATGTTTCATCCTGGATTAGGTTGAGGGAATAATTTCCAATGATCGTAAGCATAAATTATCACTCGCCCCTCACTGCACCATCAGGACCGTGAAATTAAACCGGTAAATAGAGCCTGCTCCAATACACGGGGCTTTCTCAGCTTGGTGCTGAGTTACTCGAATAGCCCGAAGGAGACAGTCAAGAAGCGGACATCTCCGTATCCGATGCGTAAACCATTTAGACGGCGAAATATGCTCTAAACTGAGATGCTTCGGCTTTGCTCAAAGATTAACAGCGTAACGTGAGGTCATCAGCAAAGATAACCCAGACCCGTCCCCGCTCTTTACCAGGGGTTGTCATAAATGATAAGGCAAAATATGGGGTACTTTAGCGACTAAACCCCGCATCTCTGGTTGTAAACCGTCCTTTAAAGGCAACTCTCCGATCTTTTAAGCACCGCGCGGATGGCATGCTGTAGCGATTACACTTGTGATTGAGAAGGGTCCTATAACCGGAAGGGGACGGCGAGCACTCCTTTTCCGTTCCTGGATATAGTTATATGTCGGATAATTTGAATCCAAAGGATATCCCTTCTCGGATAGAGTTGGCGTAGAGTATCCAGTAGATTCTGAAATCTTGACATCAGCCCTAGGCGTTCTAGGTTCAAGCGTTGTTCGTTAGTACAAAAGGTCTACATGCATTATTCCAAAATCCCCGGTTGTATAGTACAAGCGAAAGTACCAGTGCAAAATATGAATCATATAAAAGATAGATAGATATATATATATATATATTTGTTCAAGTCATATATTAAACTAAAAGGCAAACTAATCCTAGATACACCATTAACTGTTCTATATATCTATATTTAGTCATTGATAAATAACTAATACACTATGTTTAATGTCAAAGTTTCTTGTTTCATTTTGTCTAAATTTAACTTTTCTGTTTATTTCAAAAATATTTTAATATAGTGCCAATTTTATGGACATGTAAAGATGATATATATATATATACCCATCAAAGGTGATTGACGTAGGACTACGTAATAAATATATTCCTTTTACTGGGAACCAACCCGCTAGTTATCTGGCAAGAGCATATACCCGAATGCTATAGATTGATACTCCCCCTACATCAAATTTGAATACCAATTTACCTCAACCCAGATGACTCCGTCTACAACTGTAGATATACGTATATAAACGGATCGACAACCACTAATTGCAACGAGGCTTTTTTACATCCAGGTTTTAGCTCTAACGCCTGCAGTCTCAAGACACTACGAGGAACCTGAAACAGCCCGTCACAAAATCCTACTCAGATTAATGCTCGTTTAATATTATAACTTCCGAACGCTGCTACACCATAGCTATTCCATAACTATGCTTGACGGGTGGTTTTCAGGTTCAAATTGTGGACGATTGGTGCTGGGAAAGCGCGATTGGAGGCACTTTACTCAGATGCCGGATTTTCCTAGCCCTGGCTACGTGCACTAGCAATAGTCTTCTCGTGTACCTCCAGGGAGGAATGTATACTTTAGATTCTAAACGAACCGGTTACTAGGAACCGTCTACACCCGACGCGTAAAAATTAACACCTGTAAAACCGCGAGCTCTTTATCTCCTGGAAGCTCAGTATCTCTACTCAGAGGTTTCACTTAGCCATAGATGGGAGCTACTGCAAATCCATTCCCCTCTACCCTCTTATGCAGAACAAACTTAGCACATCGCCGTACGTGCCTAAGCCAAGACCAGCTTTCCCTTGGCTTTCACTCACTACATCAGACTCCAACCAAAAATCTGCTTTGTAAAACGGTACGTTGCACGTCGAATGGCCGATTTCTTAAGGCGTGTTCGTTGCTCAACTACTGTGAAAACACCATGTATTTATACGTGTTCAAGCCTCTATACAGGTAACCATGCGTAGCGGAATGCTGTACCCGCTGCAAATTCATGTGCTGCATGGCATCCTGTAGGATTTTTTCCCTTGACGGCTGAGGGATGTATGGTTGTAGGACTCTGAAGCACACCACCGGAGGTACACTTCCTCGCTGAAAGCTACCCATCCGTAATATATGTCACACCCAAACCACCGCATGACTCTCCATCTTCCAGCCTGACCCCGGCGTAGATCTTAGATGGTCATAATGACGGCGGCTGCAGGTTTCCCATAGAAGTTATGTCGTTTTCAGCTGAGTTGCATGCATTACATGCCCACGACGTAGGATCGGCTGCACATGCACAACTTGCATTCTGGATAGAACTACCGAAAAAAACCGCGCCGAGACGGGTGCATACGGTTAGGTTAAAATTTTCACTTTCAGGGACATTTTGTAGGAGTATTCATCCATTTCGTCCATTCTCAGAACGTACCTCGTCTCGCCTTGCACTTAAGGAACACTCCCATCGCCGTATATATTGTCGCCGTTCCGCCCTTCCCAAATTTTTTCTCTCTTCCCTTTTTCGTCCTCATTTCTGTTTCTCCTGCCCCTGGCTATATCTGCGCTATCAAGGCCACCATCTTACCCCAGCATTCCGACAGATCGAACGCTGGTTCTGCACCTTACATATACACCATGGATTTGAGCAAAACCATCCCTCCACCCTATGACGAGGAAAAGCAAGTCCAAGCCTCTGAACCCAAGATCACCACTGTCACCTCGTACAGCGAGGAAGGCAGCTCTTTAAAAAATGGCCGTGTCACCGAAACCAAGGTCGAGAGAGGTTTGAAGGCGCGCCATATTTCCATGATCGCCATTGGGGGTACTATTGGTACTGGGCTATTTATCGGTACCGCTGCTCCTTTGTCTGAGGCGGGTCCGGTGAGCACGTTGATTTCCTACTTGTTCATGGGTACTTTAACCTTCTACATGGCGCAAGCCTTGGGTGAAATGGCCACCTTCATCCCAATTGCCGGGTCTTTCAACGCCTTCACCACCAGATTCTTGTCCCCAGCCCTTGGTGGTGCCAACGGTTGGTTGTACTGGTTCACCTGGGCCATGACCTTTGCCTTGGAATTGACCGTTGTCGGCGACGTTATTGGGTTTTGGACCGACGCTGTGCCCACTGGAGCCTGGATTGCCATTTTCTACGTCCTCTTGACCGCTGCTAATTTTGCCCCTGTAAGATACTACGGTGAGGTGGAGTTCTGGGTCGCCTTCATCAAGGTCATTGCCATTGTTGGTTGGTTGATTTACTGCTTCATCATGGTCTGCGGTGCTGGTGTCACCGGCCCGGTTGGTTTCCGCTACTGGAGAAACGGTAATGCCTGGGGTCCTGGTATCTTGGTTAAAGACAAAAACACCGGCAGGTTCTTGGGCTGGCTTTCGTCTTTGGTCAACGCGGCTTTCACCTACCAGGGTGTCGAGCTTGTTGGTGTTTCCAGTGGTGAGTCATCCAATCCTAGAAGAACCATTCCAAGGGCAATCAGAAAGGTGTTTTACAGAATCTTGATTTTCTACGTTGGTGGTGTTCTCTTCATTGGGTTGTTGGTTCCGTACTACGACAAGAAGCTTGTGGCGACAGACGCTGCGTACACCGCCACCTCTCCGTTCATCATTGCCATTCAGAACTCCGGTACTCCTGTCTTGCCAGACATCTTCAACGCTGTTATTTTGGCCACCATCATTTCCGCCGGTAACTCGAACGTTTACATCGGGTCCCGTATTTTGTACGCCTTGGCCGGTGTTGGTAACGCTCCTAAGTGGTTTGGTTACACCCGCAATGGTGTGCCATACGTTGGTGTCTTGTTTACCGCTCTTTTCGGCCTGTTGGCCTTTTTGGTTCTCAGTGACAACGGTAACAAAGTGTTTGGCTGGTTCCTTAACATTACCGCGGTGGCCGGTATGATCTGTTGGGTCTGCATTTCCTTCTCCCACATTAGATTCATGCAAGTACTTAATTCCAGAAACATGGACAGAAACGACTTACCCTTCAAGGCGCAGCACATGCCTTACGGTTCGTGGTACGCGGGTATTGGTATCCTCGTTATCATCTTCGTCCAAGGTTTCGAGGTCTTTTTTGACTTCAACGCCAATGACTTCTTTGTGTCTTATGTTAGTATCGTCTTGTTTGTCGTCATGTGGGGCTTTTTCCAGCTTTTCTACGGAGGTCCGCTCTTGCTTCCGCTTGACCAGATTGATATCGACTCTGGGAGAAAGGAGGTTGATGAAATGGTCTGGGAGGAGGATGACTTGCCAAAAAATGCTTGGCAGAAGTTCTGGGATAAAGTGTCTTAGATGCCCTACTGCATAATGACTTTATGACCCTATCCACCTCATGAGTGGAGTCTTTTTAATGCATTGTTTACTTGCTTATTAGTAGGCTTGTACCCTAGATGTTGTAAGGTTGACTACAGTTCACCAGAGTTTTGGGCTTAAGCATGGGTTTGATTTTTTACCCAAATTGTTTTGTTTCATATACGGTGTGAAGGCATTAGCAAGTGCTAACGGTACGGGTTTTATACACAAACTAAATCTATAGAGTTTCAGGCCAAAACTGCATAGAGCTGATTCAAGTTTATATTACCGGACAACTGTATTTGAGACCTTTTTTTTTCCTGTTACATTGCGCATAACTATATCAGGGGAATCCACTCCCAGGTTCTTTCGGATTTGGTCCCCGTTGTTGGAGCTATTTCTCGGGATTGTAGACTGGGATTTGTCGTACAATCGCTCTCTCAGGAGATGTAGGCTGGAACTCAGCTATCCCCTTGATAAATTTAATTTTTTAATGACTTCTTATTTGTTAACGAAGCGCACCTATATCCATTTCGGCTGTCGCTTAAACGAGGAAAACTCCGACAGCACCGAACCACTACTAATAATCTCCACCCTTGAGTTCTATCCCTCGGCCAGCTTTGTCTCTACCACTTTCAGCCCCCTATTATTAATATTTACCTAAAGTGAATATAAAGTTTTACGGGTCACTATAAATAAACACTAAATCTTTTCTATCTCCATCTAACCGCCTACTTCCGGTTGCTGGCAGTGTCCTCCTCCGTGCGATTTACTGGACATATCCTTTGCCTTTCGCCGCAAAAATTCTTGCTTACATGTTCTGCTGTGTCAACGTCTAAGATTCTAGAGACTCAGCTTGCAAAACGCATCTTTCCTTGCTTTCCTCCCCACGGATACGTCGATCGATTATTTATCTATACGGTACCAATACCATTGAGACCTAGTGATCATCTTCGCAAGCCCAGGTTCTCACCACTCAAAGGTCTTTTCCAAACTCATTCAAGCTCATCTAAGCTCATCATAGCTTGACCAGGCTTGATAAAACCTTAGCCCAACCCGGTTGTAACCTAATCCCAGTTAACACAACCCCAGCATTAGTTCATTCTCCATGCATTCATTACTCTCCCCTGGTTCCAACATCCAGCGCCCGCACTCGTCGCTAGCGAACGCGCAGTCGTTCTTGTCGCCGTCCGCGACGCCGCTCCCGGCGCCGATGTCGCACATGTCGGATATGAACGCCATCCAGGCGAACCTCGCGTCCATGGAGCTTGACCCGTACCCAGTTCCTGGCGAATTGGACGAGTTCCGCCAAGACGCCTATCCCATCAACGTTTGTGCGCCGACGCCGACGAGCCACACGCCTACGTTGGGCGCCGCGCGTTTCACCGGCTTTGCAGAGGCGCCACTGATGGATCGTATCTTGTCGCCCGCGTTGATGCATAACCCAATCTACGGGGAGATGCCCAGACTGGCGTCTGCCCAGGACAATTACTCGTTTCAGGCATCCATCAAGTTCAACCAGGACCTCACCAACGTCCAACAGTGGGTTGAACGTTTGAGTTTGAACGAGCAATACATCTATGTGGACAACTTCTTGAGCGTGGTAAGTGAGGAGGTGTTGGTGTACGCGCGCAACCAGATCTCCAACAAGTTGGCGGCGCAACCGCTGCCGCAGGGCTATGCCTTTGAGCCGGAGGCGAACATCGACTCTGTCTTGAGCAGTAACTGGCTCAACCGTGCCGTGTCACCCGACCCCGTCGCCAGGCCACGCTCCGCGGACATGTTTCATCAGAGCCCACAGCTCCTTAGCGAGATGTCCAACTTCCTCACGTCGCGCGCCATGGAGCTAACCAGCCCGTCGCACGGCAAAGCTGCCGGCTCCAACGACATGCACTTGAACGCGCAGCAGCTCAAGATGTCCGCGCTCCAGACCGTTAGCTCGCGCGCGCAGATGGACTCGTCCAAGAAGGACGAGCTCGTGGGCGCTGCCACGGGCAACGGCTACGGCCGCGGCCGCCAGTCACACTTAAACCCGCGTGCTGTGAATGCGTCCTCCTCTGTCCCGGCATCCGCGCGTGGCACGTACTTTGAGAGCGGCTATGTCTCGCCGCCGCCGACGCAGCGCACCAACCGCTCGCGCAACCGCTCGAGCGGCGCGGCGCCCCAGGCCGGCAGCAACCTCTCCTTTAGCGCCATGCCTGACGCACACGAGCCGGAGCTGGAGGCTAAGCCGACCATGCCGCTCGAGATTTCGCAGTTGAAGTTTCTCGCCGACATTCCCGTGTGGCTCCGCTCGCTCCGCTTGCATAAATACGCAGACAACTTGAAGGACATTCCGTGGGCCACGTTGATTTACTTGGACGATGCCGCGTTGGAGGCCCGCGGTGTCGGCGCGTTGGGTGCGCGCCGCAAGTTATTGAAGGCGTTCGAGTTCGTCAAGGAGACCCGCGGGTTGAGTGACGATCCAGCCGAGGTGCACATCGGTCCGGTTGATGTCGACAGCATGTAGACAAACCACGGAAGGAGGATGGTGATTGCTAGACGCCATTGGATGTCAGATGGCTTGATCGCTGATTTCACACTCCCGATGCTTTCGCACTCCCGATGCTTTCGCACTCCCGATGCTTTCGTATTTTTGATAGAAATCTCTGGTGCCACCCAGATTTCTCCTTCGTTTCATCCGATTGGCCATCTCATTTTCCCCACCGGTTCTCCATCATAGAAATGTCTGGTACATTTACGCTCTAAATCCTTTTCTATTCCATGCCTTTTTCTTAGTTTATGTACATATATGATTTATTGCTCCGTTAGTTACTGTAGATTTTTTGTACATTTGCGATTACCCACTTATCTATATAGCTACGGTGTGAACTGTGGATGATACATGAATACAAGTCCACAAACATGCGTTACATGGGATTCTGGACCGCTCTATATTAACGTGTAGAAGGGTCTGAGCCGAATTATTATGGAAGCCTGGCTATCCCCAACTCTTCCGACACAACAAAATTTAACAATGCGATATAAATGGCCAATAAATAACAATCAATATTTTCTCCTATTCCAACACACCGAGGATGGACAAAGCTGGGTGTGTTTGATACCTCTTTCATTAAACAGTATTGGATGATCCAAACCAGAGACAAGGGGGTACATAAGTGGATTTAGAACACCCAGGAGATGGCTGGTTAGTAAATGGTGACAATAATAAAATGAGTAGTCTGTTTCCTAAATATATTTAATTATTTAACTCATTGGGCCCCGTGGTCAAATATCCTGCATTTGTCCCAGGTCACTGCCGCGCCTCAGGGCTATGCCAACCTAGCCTACAACTGTGGAAAGTATCAGACATCTGGGGATGGAAATTTTAACCTCCACATAGCTACATCTCAGTCCAATGACTTCTCTCATGTCTGAAATGGAGTACACCTCCCCCGGTCGAAGCCTGACAACACGAAATCCGACAACGCCTAAACGAAACCTGCCTGCGTTCTCCCGACTAGTCGTTGCGCCCAGCTCGGAGCCGGAACTGCGCTCGCCGCTGACACCGCGAAACATCCTCAACGATACCGACAAGAACCGCTTAGTCAAACAGTTCTATGACCTCGAGCTGCCAGAACAGCCCCAGACACGGCCTGAGACGCCGCGGACGAACTCCGAGGCGAGGTTTCTGTCTCCCGAGGAGTTGCCTCGCCGCGAACCTGGTAGCCCTCAGCCCACCCCAGGGACGGTGGCAAAATCCGAGATCCCCGACGAATGGGCCCAGGCGAGCGTGGATCAACAGATTAGCTCCATCGCACACACCTCGTCTCGCGGCTACGAAACCCAGACAAGCTCCATTGAGACCAACTACGTCAACTTCCAGCACAAGTGCACGATGTTGAGCGACCAGGTCCAGGAGCTTCACCGCGAAATTTCAGTGGCGCTAGCGGCGCTAGAGGCAGAGCTTCCGACTCAGCAAGAGCGGTTTCGGGCGAATTTAGTTAAGGTGGAGGAGATTAAGGGGAAGCTCCGGGCGTTGGACGAGTACGACGGAAAGATTACAGCATTGAGACTGAATGTGAATAGCAACTTTAAGGAGAAGATTGCGGCGATGAATGCGGATCTCGACGGGCTCGAAAAGTCGAAGCAGTCGTACGAGACACGAGCGCGGCTCCAGATGAAACGGGCAAAGATGGGTTCGGGGTGCTTACTTTGTTTGCTCGTAGCGGTGTATATTGGGGTTTGGCTATTGAGCCCAAGAGTCCAAGGCATAACGGAGCCGAAGGTTAAGTTGCCGAGGTGAAGACTAGGCCATCAGGTCTAATCCTGACCGTCCAAAGTAGAGGCTATCACTGACCGAGACTGTCATTAAAGGTGAATGTGATTATCTACGAGTAAGTCATTAGTACGAGGCTACCTCTGAAGTACGGAGTTTTGCTGATTTCCCGGACGTTCAAGCGTTTCTACTGATTAGCAGAGGGTTTACTGGCGTATGACAAGTATTTTGATGTGGTTTTCATGAATTCACGGCTCCCCTGAGTTTCTAGCCTTGTGCATGAGGTTTGAAGATTTTTGCTGGATTTACTATCCGTGTGAATGATTGCGGAGTTTTCTCTCTGAAGGTCAGAAGCTAATCTCGTTAGTTCTGATGATTTGATGTTTCCCTGATTTCTACTCCACCGCTTCTCATTGAGGGTTATTGAGCTTCGCTGAGGCAATTACCGTTCCGGTGAGAGTTGACAAATTCAGACCACCAATGCAAAGCTCATAATAAAAATTCAGTAATGTCCCAACCTTTCAAGAATCTTAATAGACTTCCATTTACAAAATTTAACTATGGGGAACTTTCCCTCATTACCCACGTCAAAGGGTATGACAAAGATTATATACTTAAATCAGTCTATGGCACAGTTACCCTCATACCCTGTTCTTTTTCACGTGTACAACATGGCTTATACCCCATCTACAATGTTGGTATACACGACAGCTCACGTGACCCATAAGATAAGCGCACTTGAAAATATCTCGCCCGATCCATCTCCACCCAAATACTGACCCAGCCAATTGTTTCACCATGGCCTCGAATCCCAAGCGATTACATGGCTGGAATTACACCATTGACACACCCGACGTGGAGTCCACTCCGAGTACCCCCCGCCGCCGCAGGGGTACCCACGTCCCAGAGGCGAAAGTCGTGCTTCGTCGAGACGGTGTCGAGTTGAAGCAGGGCGACACGGTGCTCGTGCGGACCGGCTCCTCAACCGATGTAGCCATCATCAAGGAGATCATCTTCGGAACCCACTCCTTTATTGAGATCACTGTTCAGTGGTTTACCCGGGCAGCTGATGTTGACGGCGGGGGTATCGCTCTAGGCAAAAACGAGCTTCTCGCCACAGCGGTCCAAGGCAAGCTCTGGCTCGAAAATTACGCGGGCCACGTACAGATCCTCTCAGAAAAAGAGGCCCGCGACGTCGAATTGGACGAAACCACGTTCATGTGCTGCCGGGGGTGTGACGAGGAGGACGGAAACGTCACCAAGACGTTTGATTGGCGGGAGTACAGCGACTTGGCGTTGGTCAACCCCAGCGAGTTTGTGGAGCGTATCCGTACATTGACGGTGCAGCCAACGAAAGCAAGCTACGTTCGAGCCGCGGCGAAAGCAAAGGCTGCGGCCGAGGCGAAAGCGACAAGAGGGCCGCGAAAAAGACTGGCCAAAACCGCTGAGATTTCCTCCGAGGAGATTGACGAAACCGAGAGCGATGCGATGGACGAAAGCGATACAATGGATGAAAGCGACAGCGAAATAGATGTCGATTCAGGGGGGGATATCTCCGACGAGGAGTTTACCAACAAGTTCTATATGCAGAAGCGCGGCCCAGGCCGCCCACCGGGCGCAAAAAACCGTGTAAACCGCCTGCCGAGAAAAGCTGGTTCGCCGAAAAAATTTGCCTCGCCGCGGAAGCTCGCCTCGCCACTGGCCCCGCGCCTCTCGCTCCCGCTCACCTCACTCAACCCCTCGGACGCTACGTTCAAGGAGATCAAAGCAAAGCTCCACACATCCTTGAAGCTCCGCTCGCTCCCCTGCCGTGAGGATGAGTTTACGCAGCTTTATGTGACCATCGAGGGCGCCATTAACACCGCCACCGGGTGCTGCTTGTATGTCTCTGGGACCCCCGGGGTGGGCAAAACGGCGACGGTGCGAGAGGTAATCGGAAACCTTGAAGAGCTCGTGGCGCAGGGCGGGTTAGAAGAGTTTGACTACTGCGAAATCAACGGACTCAAGTTGGTTTCACCGAGCCAGGCGTACGAGCACTTGTGGCAGCAGATTAGCGGTGAGGCGCGTGTGAGTGCCGCGCGCGCAGCGCCTAGCCTCGAGGCACACTTCCAGGGGATGCAGGGTGCGCGCGCGGATGACCCGCGTGTTGCGCGGCGACGGCCGCTTGTGGTGTTGATGGATGAATTGGACCAGGTGGTGACGAAGAGTCAGGCGGTTTTGTACAACTTTTTCAACTGGCCCACGTACGCGAACCTGAAATTGATTGTGATTGCCGTGGCAAATACGATGGATTTGCCAGAGCGACTCCTCTCGAACAAGGTATCATCGCGGTTGGGGCTAATCCGGATCCAGTTCTTGGGGTACACTTTTCAGCAGTTGACAGAAATTATCACGACACGTTTGAACATGATTACGGGGCAGAAGCGGTTGGTGGTGAGCAAGGATGCGATTGAATTTGCGGCGAGAAAGGTGGCAAACATCAGTGGGGACGCGCGTAGGGCGTTAACGGTGTGTCGGCGCGCGGTGGAGATTGCCGAGGCGAGACATGAACAGAGGAAGGCTTTTTCTGAGCCGGAGGTGAAAGCATCAGGAGGCTCCACCTCTCAGGCGAAAGAGGACCTGGAGAATTGTACGCATAATGAAGTCGAAAAAAATGGAGAATTGACCGGCGAAGACGCCTCTGATTTTGGAACCCTGACAGTCAATGCAAGTCCACCGAATGGGGAGGATAGTAGCTCCAATTCTGCCTCCGATATTGTTTTCGACCTCCAGATGACGGACGTGATGGAAGCGATCAACGAAACAATATCCTCCCCGACGATTCTCCAGCTCAACGCGCTCTCGTTTACGGCCAAGCTCTTTCTCGCGGCGCTTATGTTGCGGCACAAGCGTGCGCAGCTCGCGGAGGTCGGCGTCGGGGACATTATTGACGAGATGCGTCGGATGGTGGTGCTTAACTCGGCCAACACCAAACTCTCTGTTGATGATGATTCGCTCTTGGCGTTGCTTTACAATGAGAAGGGGCTGACAAACTTGCGAGTCAATCAGTTCCACCACACCTTGGAGGAGTTGCTTGAGATGGGGATCTTGCTCTGTAACAGTGGCAGTCTGGGGGTTACGGGCTTCGTTGGGGAGCGTCATCTCTTGGTCAAGTTGAATGTGAGCAGAGAGGAGGTGAACCAGGCTTTGAAAGGGGACAAGGTGCTTCGGGGGCTTATCTAGACAAAGGCATTGCAAACGGAGGGAAATCAAACTGGGTATTAAAAAAAAAAAAACTGTAGATTACTTAGAAACAGTCAGATGGAGAGTTTAAAACTTATAGATAGTTTGTAGATGAATGCGGAGTCATAGAGTAGGCTGATACCCGTAGAAAAGAAGAGCTTTAATAGGGTTTATAGACTGGAGTTGGCGATGTGCAGATGGGAAATCAAGGTAAACTTAGTACGATGTGGATTATTCTCAATAATCTATAGAACTCAAGCTAATCAAAGGTTTAGAAAATCACGATTCGATGAAAGTGCATGTGGTGTGATCTAAACTCCTGAAGACATTTCAGGTAAAGCAAAATATAAAGATTCTGATACTCTTCGATATACATTTGCTAAAAAAAATCCACGAGGGAAAGGCCATACTTCATATTCATGATCGAAGCTCAGCAAACCGCAACAACAACCGAAACACTTAACATTGGTGGCCTTGGGCATTACAAGTGTCAATTAAGTGAAATTTAAAATAGCATGAACTGAAAAAGGAAAGCTCTTGTTTGACATTCCCAGAACCACCCTTTGGTATATCGGGGTTTAGACCTTAATCGGATTATTTATGCATAGGTATCGGGTCCTGAATCCCATTTCACCAATTGAGGCACAATAGAACCAAGCATTTGAGAATACAGTAATACTGATCCACCGGATGGTCTTATTGGAAAGTGCTTCTGACTTTAATCGGCTTATCGTTAGTTAATGCTAGCACGCTAATATACACATTGTTGCATCTTGTTCAACAGGCTCCGGTTCCGGATTGACGGGTATCCAAGTGGCCAGTGGCCATTCTCTTTTCAGCTGGTTACGTCGATTGATAGATCAATATTGGCTCTCCCACGTTGGTTATCTCGGGAATGTTAAGCTTCAAATCAAACGCCTTGCTCAAAATAACTTTGAAAATCTTTTGAACATTGATTGACTTGGATGTGGAGGTGAAGATGATCGGAGCCTTCATGGCACGGCCGAACTTCAGCGCCTGGAGCGTGATTTCAGCCTGGTCCTCCATGGGCAAATCGATGAACTGATCGTACTTCGTACCTACTAAGAACGGAATTGCGGTGCGATTGAACCCACGGGCCTGGCGATACCACTCTTTTATCGAATTTAGAGTCGACTTGCGCGTTAAGTCAAACATGAACAAGATGGCGACGGCGTCGTTGCTCACGAGTGGGAGCATGTTGATAAACTCCTTCTGACCTCCTAAATCCCAGATGGAAAATGTGATGGATGTGTTACGGATTGATATTTGCTTCTCCATAAAGTTTACCCCAAGTGTCTGAATGTAATCTTCGTCAAATGTGCCCTCCACGTACTTCACCATGAGCGACGTCTTGCCGATCTGCGAATCACCGATCAAACCGATCTTGAGCGCCACTCTGCGAGGGTTAGTCTCTGAATATAGGGGTGCTGGGTGGAAAAAAAAATACTTACGAGTGCTGCGGTTGGTCTTCCATGTGGTCTAAGTTGAAGGAAGAGGCAGGTGAGTGGTGTGTGGCAGATTAGATAGGATGTTTACCTCTTAATTAGACCCGCAGGTTCCCGATTAGGCTATCACGTGATATATAAAATGGATGGGAGTGACACCTGAGAAGCTACGTTACTGTATAAGTGTTAGATAAATGGGCCAAACCTACAAAATACGAAGGTCGGGTTGAGGAATCGGAAGGATAGGAGGCGCCTTCAACTAAACCAGGCGTTTGGCGGGTGCAGTTTCCCGAATAACCAACCAGCAGCCCACAAACCCGGAATTTGCCAACGGAAGCGGCTACAAACTGTGAGTTGAATGACAATTCCACCTTACAATTGGTTAAAATGTTTAAATATTTTGTGAATTGGTGTAGATGTGATATAAAAATACTGTTTATAAACTATGGAATGAAAGATCTAGCGAGAACGCTCTATCTCCAACTTACACAGCTTCCAAAACAACATCCTTGAAACCAGCGGCCTTCTTACCCTTGTCTTCAGCGGAAGCTTCACCGTGCAAGGCCATCAAAGAGCCCAAGTCGAACTTTGGCTGCTTCAACAACTTAACCTTTCTGATGTGGACGTTCTGCAATGGGTAGATAGCCTGGGTAGACTTTTCGATTTCACGGGCAATAACTTCTGGGATCAACTTGGTGGTCAATTGGGACAAGGTGGAGTTGGCGACTTCTCTCTGGATGATCTCGGTGATCTTCTTTCTGATTTCTCTCAACTGGGAAGACTGGGCGTAGGTGGTCTTCTTGATTTGGTTTTGCTGTCTCTTGGTGAAGGCAATGGCAAAGACTCTGATGACGTAGTCGTCAGCGGTCTTAACGGTGACATTGCATTCCAAGAGGGACTGCCACTTTCTAACCAAGGACTTGAGCTTGTCGGTGGTGTAGTCGAAGCCGTGGAAGTTGGTCAACAAGTTCTTACCCTGAACTTCATCGACTCTCAACTTGACCTTCTTGTGGGCGTGGTCCTCAGAACCCTGCAAGTCAGCCAAGCAGACCTCGAAGACACGGCCCTTCAAACCATCGGCGGCGTTCTTCAAACCGGTGGATCTGTTGATCAAAGTCTTACCGACGTTTCTGTTTTCAAAGGTGGATGGAGCCTTGATGTCGAACCAATCCTTTCTAGCGAATGGATCTTGGGCCTTCTTCTTAAGACCCTTCTTACCCTTGGAAAGTCTCTTGTTCTTACCGACAGCCATATTGGTATATTTAGTGTGTGCTTATAAAAACAGTGAAGGGGGTCCTTTGGAGGTCGGCTGCTTTTCAAGGAGTTGTTTTATCGAAAATTCACCTACCACACATTGAGCACTCACTGAGGAGAGCCAGCGACACCATACAAACTCCCCCTCAGTACGGTGCGTATACTAAGCACAGGCGTGTGTCCCAACCAGGTCTGGTACTGGCCATGGAAAATCTGGCGGGAAAATATTTTCAGAGGAGGCGAGCCGCATGGCCAGAAAATTTTCGCCGGACACGGTTTCTGTGCGAAACACGCAGAACAGAATGCGACGGGCGGGAAACGGGGGGAGTTTTTCGTCCTTTTGCGCTGCTGGCCGTGACTGTGGTTTTGGAGTGTCACCTGATAGTCACATGATCTAAGCCCTAGCCCTATATTCAGAGCGGCCTATACTATCAGAGACTGAACTTCGGCAATCAGCACAAGGTGAAGCAGATATAAAATCGGTTAGCAAAACATTTATTAGTTAGGGGAGATCCTACGTTTCCCCCTTGTAACTATGTAAGTAGCGAGTCTAGTGAGAGTCGAACGATGTATACTTTTCCCGATCCGTACGCCTGTTTTTGATGCCAGCGATATCACGCAGTGCTCTTAAACAAGAATTATTGGGACCATGCTACAGACACTGACTATTGGAGCTACCTCAGATTTAAGATAAAGAAAACCGTTAAAACCGTTTCCCCTACAAGTATTGTGAGAGCTGAATATATTACAAGTTCGGCATGGCTCTCCGAAAGTTTCTGAACCGTCGTGATACACTATCCACCGGTTTACGACAAGATTTATGATGCACGGCCCCCTAGAGCCGACCACAAGATGTAAATGTGTAGAGAATTATAGATAAATGCAAAGGATAAACCAAATTGCAAGTAGAAAGAGATGATAAAAAAAGAAATGTCCAACTAAGACTAGTCAGCTTAGTTGTGCAAACGCTTTTCGTAGGAGTGCAAGTTGTGAACACCACCTTCGAACTGGGCAGATGGAGTTCTGAACTCGAATCTGACAACACCTTCGTTGGTGGCGGTTCTCAATTCGTCAACAGACTTGACACCAATGTCCTGACAAGAGTGTTGCAAACCGGAGTACAAGTACGGAACAAACTTCTTGACAGAACCCTTATCAACAACGGAGCCAGAGACACCCTGGGCCACCAAAACCTTGTCCGACTCGGAAAAGTATCTGGAGGTGGAAGCGTTGGCGTTGGTGGAGGTCTGCTGCATGGCCTCGATGGAACCCATACCTCTGTAAGACTTCAATCTCTTACCGTCCTGGTAGAAGTACTCACCCGGAGACTCGGTGGTACCAGCCAACATTCCACCCATCATGATACAGGAGGCACCCAAAGCCAACGCCTTGGTGATGTGACCAATGTTCTGGACACCACCATCGGCGATACATGGAACGCCGAACTTGTTGGCAAACTGGGTAACGTTGAAGACAGCGGTACCCTGTGGTCTACCACAAGCCATGACTTCCTGGGTAATACAGATGGAACCGGAACCCATACCAATTCTCAAACCATCGGCACCGGCTTCGATTAAAGACGCAGCCTGTTCTCTGGTAACAACGTTACCAGCAATAACCTGCAAGTCCGCAAAGGTTTCCTTGATCCACTTGATCATGTTCAACTGGAAGACAGAGTTACCTTGCGAGGAGTCCAACACAACAACGTCCAAGCCAGCAGCAACCAACTTTTCCAATCTGACCTTATCAACTTCGATGGTGCCGATGGCGGCACCGCACAACAATTGCTTGGAGGAGAAAGACTTGGAAGCCTCTGGGTACGAAATGTTCTTTTGCAAGTCGGCTCTGGACAAAAGGGAAACCAAGTTGCCGGCGTTGTCAATGATTGGCAACTTACCCTTCTTAGACTTGGTCAAGATTTCGTTACCAGAAACCAAGTCAAGACCCTGCTGGCCGGTGACCAAGTCACTGGTCATGACTTCGGCAACGGTGACATTGTCGTCTTCGGTGAATTGGTAGTCACGGGAAGTGATGATACCAACTAATTTGCCACCAACCTTACCAGTTTCTATTCTGTTAGTAATGCTTCTCGAGAAAAAAAAGCGGCTTGGATGAAACACCAGAGACAAGGGCATGTAGTCAGGGAAGAAAGTTGTCCACATGATCGTTTGATCAAATCGGTAGAACGAAAGTTAATGTTGTAAGTTAATCATCATAATGCCAGGGGTTGGGATATCTCGGGGTGTGTGTGTTCATGCTAAGCTGTTAGTTGGGATACATACCAGTAACTGGGAAGGAGGAGAAACCCAAGTTCTCTCTGATGGTCTTGACCTGACCAACAGTGGTGGTTGGGGTAACCACGATTGGGTCGCTGATGAAACCATTTTCAAACTTCTTAACCTTCTTGACCATGGCGGCCTGCTCGTCGGCAGTACAGTTGTGGTGGATGATACCAATACCACCCAACAAGGCCAAGTGAATGGCCATGTCGGCCTCGGTGACGGTGTCCATTGGCGAGGAAACAAACGGAGTCTTCAAGGTGATCTTCTTGGTCAACTTGGACTCCAAGGAAACCACCGAAGAGGGAAAGTCGATCTTGCCTGGCAAGACCAAGAAATCGTTGTAGGTCAAACCACCAAACGTCTTGGAGTTCATCAAGTCATGGACGGACAAACCATCCTTGGTTTCGAACTCCTTCAAGTAGGAGGTGGCCTTGGTGCAGTCAAAGTGGGCAGACATGGATGTATACTTAGGTTAGAGGAAGGACGTCGTGAAAATGCAACGGGGCAATGATTGCCAGGAAAGGAAAAAAGAAAAAACAGTGGGTGTAGAAAAGAAAGGCTTCACACCGTTTGTTTATATAGTGGGATGCGCAAAGCGGCATGAATATTTTTTCGATTTTTTCACGCCGCACGTTGGCTCCTAACCACTAGCCATTACTAACGAGAAAAAGAAACGTTTTCGATTGCTGGTGAAATTGGCGTATACTTTTCCTTAGGGTTCGCAGGGGCCGAGTCACAATAGATGGATGGCCACCGCCGATAAGGTGGGGTCACACAAAGAGCTATACTTTACATGGTAGGTCGATATATACGGTGAGCTAATTTCGTAGAATAGACTGGTCCTAATGGGTAGGAGGCATTGAGCCAGTTGAGACACGAGGCTGTTTTTTTGAGTTAACTAGCATGATCCTGGGTAGATGGCTTTTTTTGGGCAGATGGATTTTCTGGTGTAGAGTTGGTTGTTCTCAGCGTCCCGTATTACACCAAGATATCCGACAGCCGAGTTGCTTTGACCTCGGAATTAATAAGACTGTGCAGTTCAAGATAGTCCCTTCCAGTTTAAGGTTAGGCTATGCATGCACTAGATCCGAAACACTGTTGCCAAACTTAGATGCCCTTTGCCAGACTAAACTCCAGGGTACCGTTGAGGCTTCTAAAGATACTAATCAAATAATAGCAGTAAATAAAATCAAACATAATCCAAGGACCGTTGGTTACTATGTCGATCATCCCAAGCGTGTCAACACGAGGGGGAATACCAGTAACCATATATTCGGCGAAGCACATTTGATAATGACCGTCACTGGATAGGCACACACTACATTAGTCCTCACATTTTTTATAAAGCGGGATGGTCCTTAAAATCTCTATGAAGCGAAATATGGATTGACATCCAAACCACCTGTATGCTCAAAAAACAATCAGAAATCAACCACTCTGAGATCTTTTAAGCATCATATTCAAGACCTCAGATCAGCCGGAATCCATATGCAACCACAAACACTGTACAAAACCACGTTAATTCACAAAAAGTCTTTGACGCTCAGAAACTTTATACAATGCCAATTCTACCTTCCTGTGACGACAAACTTTTTCCCCACACGTTTCTTCTTCGCGTATTTCATGATAAAATTATCAATCTTCAAGTTTCGCACGTTGAGATCCTCGATAAACGGTAAAATATCGGGCATATCCCACGTGGACTGGAGTTTGAACAACATCTTGAACCGCTTAATCGGGTCCTTCTCGACTAGCACCACCGTGTCAAGGTTAATATACTGGATCTTATCCACCAACGGCCGTACATAGTAACCTGCTAACATCTGCAAGTCGATGGGGCAGTCGAAAAACGGCGGGAAGGCGGATTTCCATGCAATAAGGAATTCATCGGGGGAGATGAGTCTCTGGGCATGCTCGCGCAAGGCATTCACCCCGTACCACTTACTGACCTTTGCCTTATCCAATGAAAATTGCTCCTCCCCCTGTTCGTTCACGGTAGGAAACAGTGAAAACTTCCAGAGTACTGTTCGAACGAGCTCATGGGTGTAGTCGGTGTCTTCAACGGCTTGTAAAGTGTCTCTCACACTGAGCCGAGCCATATCCAACTCCGACGCTAGGAGCGCTGTGAGGACAAAGTTTAAGGCTTGGGTGATGAAACCGCGTGATAAAAGCACCGCCTTCCCCTCGATCTCACAGCCGTTATACTTATCGAACCAGAGCGTCCGGAACTCACTGGTCGAAACCGGTGACCGGCACACTAATTCATCCACGGTGATGTCCAAAAACCCACAGCTCTCGATCCGCGACAAATCGTCGCCAAAATTGGCATAAACAGGAATTTTCGAGATTAAATCGATCTTGCCTTTTACCTTGGTGAGCTCCAACTCCGAGCTGAGCGAGCTGAACCCCACCAACCGTTCATCCGCCCCATCTTGTGTGTGATTCATGAGGAGGAGCGTGTTTGTATGGTTTTTCTGTCTGATCTGGAACGTTGCGTCTGACGAGCACAACACAATCTCAGAGTCCTTTCCAGACGCCTTGATCGATAGCTCCTCCGTGCCCGCTTCGAGGATTGTTAGCACCTCAGGAGTGAGCTCCAAGAGCTTATACTGTCTGGATGGTCGGAGGCGCGTGTAGATATCCATGATAGGGAGTTAGGGCGGATAGCGATAGTTCGGATTCTTACCTGATAAAAAGACTGAATTTGCGACACGCGTCTGAAATGTTACGCGTCGTACACGTGACGTCCATGAGTAATCACTTTTTCTACTATCTATCATTTTGTCCACTCTTTCAATTTTATATATACCGTTTATCATTTCGTCTAGCCTTTTGTACTTTATATCTCCTTTGTCTTTTATCCACCTTTTTTATAAGCACTTTATACACCCATTCTTATGACTTTATTAAGCAGCGTCATAAACACATGGTGAACCAAAATTATTATGAAACCAGTATTTTAGCGGTAGTGGATGGTACTTTGAGATAATAGAAGTTACAACCTTGTATGAGATAGGCACAAATTCTCAGCATTACTAGACACTGCGAGAATACTTTTAACACAAAAGTGTAGTCCAAATTTTCACTGAGCAAGAACTTGATTGAATTAGAATAGCCTCCACTAAGAAAAAAAAACTTTGGCTGAAGTCCCTAGTACCAATAGACATCAATAATACCTTTTTTTAAAAAACCTTTCGCCAATACCGGTTTATGTACAATCATATGTGGATTTAATCACCGAATCCTACTAGCTTTATAAGTCTCAGAGCTGTTGTTGTCTAACCGCCCCTGATGCTTCTGTATTTACCAAGCTCATACAGTCATATGCGTTATTTAGTCTTTTAGCTACCCCTTCCATAATCTAACGCGCCTCTCGGTTAAGGACTACGCTTAGTACCTACTAACCGCAATCTGGCTGATCACGTCAGCTGCATCTATTAACCATCCATTAAACAATCGATATGTATTGACTGAATATAACTACTACTTAGTAAAAATATCCGATATACCAACGATATACCGGTATAAGCAAATATCCTACAAATCTGATAAGTGTTATATTCCCCGCCGTCTAATCCTGGCTTTTCGTAGCCTCACCTGGTTACCTGCTCACGTGCCACACGTGACTGCTTGTTTACATTTTTACGGCTGCACTATATTTTTCCATCACTAGTGTAAACAATAACTATTCCAGCAGCCAGCGAAACGCGTGGTTTCTTAGCCTTCATCAACTACATTGTGACCGCATTCATTACCTCCGCTCTCATCACTACTTTGCTATACAATCCGCATCACTTTTTTCTTGCTACAGCTACTTTCTCCCCCCTTTCCTAAACGCCCTTTTCGCATGTCCTTGCACCGCAACTTTTCCACAGGCTACTACGGTGACGGGCTCTCTACCGCATCAGCCGTGACCGTCTACGACAACAAAATCATTGTGGTAAACATGGGCGCCGCGCGCGATGCTCTCGGGCGGCGCACCTTGGACGAGTGGCGTGCGGTCTTGCCGTCCGCGGCATACTTTGTGGGCACCGATCCCAAGCTTTTCGGGCGCTGCCTCGCGTTCGTGTACGAAGACCCGCACACGCGCAAGTTGAGCACAGTGCTTGTATCACGCCATGGTGAAAGCCAGTACAACTCGCTCACGCTCGACGCGCGTTCCAAGTACTTTCCTGCGTGTGAGAACTTGCTCCCTAAAAACAAAAAGTCGAACGTCCGGCGCGCGCTCGCGATTGCAAATCTCCGTACGTGCGCGATACTTGCGCCGCGCGCGCGGCTGACGTTGGGTGCACGCGGCTGGGACGAGACCGACGCGGGCGCACTCGCGAACCGGATGGAGTTGGTCGCGAACCGTGCACCCGCAGATATTGGCGCGGCGCTCTTGGCGCTTGGCTACTTACGCGATAAGTTCACCAACTCGGTGAACCTCGATGTGGTGTACGTGGATAGCGAGGCGGCAGTGGATGACAATAATCGATTGGTGTTTCTTCTTGGAGATCAGTTGGACCTGTTGTTTGATCCGTTGATGGAGTATTCGCCGGAGCCAACGGAGAAGATATATAGGGTGCCAAGCGGCCAGGATGCTGCCTCCGGTATGGCCCAGCCTGGAATTGTCACCGCCACCGACAGCCCTCTTGCTCAAGCCATCCTCGCCGAACTCTTTGCCTCACAGACCAGCCTCACCGACAAGCTCGTCCACTTTCTCCAGACCTTTGTGGTTCCCCTTCGCATCCGCGTACTCAACGGTGAGTTCCCCCTCACTATTAACGCCTTTAACAAGATTTTCCCGCCCACCATCGACGAAATCACCCGTGTCAATTGCATCTTCCTCGAGAGCTTGGAGGCAGCTATGCCTTACGGCAGCTTCGAGGTCATTAAGGCCTGCGGCAAAACCATCCCCTACTTCTACAAGGCCTACATGCGCCATGAGGCCGCGACCAAGACCTTCAGTCGTCGGGTGACCGAATTCTTGGGTGACCACGGCCAGCAGGTTGCGCGCGACCTCCCGACCGTGGACCTCCTGCTCTACACTGTGCGCCATATTGAGAGCATTGTCTTTTCGTCCTTAAACTTGATCAAGTTGAAGATGATCTTGACGCGATTGTATCACGAGAAGACGGACAAGAGCGAGCGTGAAGCAGCAACCCCCGTGACCACAGACCAGATAGAGACGGAGATGTTTCTCCAGATGGAGACGTTCTATCGTTCCGCGCTCCAGACCATTGACTCATTCGGGCGCGACACGCTCAAGCCGTACCAGCGGCGAGTGTTTACCCCTACCGGCAAGATCTTGACCGAGTTGGCGGACGGTTGGCCGGTGGAGTTGCAGTACGGCTGGTTGACGCGACGCGTGGTGGGCATTTTTGATGCCACAAATCTCCACACAAATGCTCCCTCCGTGATCATCGTCTTTTCCGACCACGTCTTGTTCCTCAACGTGGGTGAAGCCGTAGCCCCAGGGCCCGGGGCCCGTGAGTCGCTTCACCGGCCATCGGTCTCCGACATTTTGATGCACTCGCTCGTGAACGAGTGTCCGTTGGAAAACATTCCACCGTTGGCGGTCGCGGGCTATGCGGCGATTGGGGGAATTCACGCGTTGACCTACGATGATGCGACGTGCATCCAGTTCTACGTCTCTGGTCCGGGAATCCTCGGTGGGACCAGCGGCGAGTCCGCAGGCGAGGCAGTTCGCACGTTTCGTCTTGCCGCGCCCAAGTTGAACAGTGGTTTCCAGGTCATCGAGTTGATCAACAAGGCCAAGATTTTGGATAAGTCTACGTCCTTCCATTTGTTCAAGTATCTCGACCAGGGCTTGAGCATTTACTCCATTGCCCATGAGATTGACCACTTTCTGCAGGAGACGTCCCGCTCGCCGTTTGCCTTGTTTCTCAACACCCATATTGACCGTAGCTATCTCCAGCGATACGATTTATACCTTGCTGTGTCTGCATGCTTCCTCGACGACGACAGCGTACAGATCACGGGCTTTTCCAGGGGAACCCTCAGCGTGGACCGTGATGAGAAGGAGTTTCTTATGGTGGTGCTGTCCGGGAGCCTTGCCGCGTACTTGGTGGAGATGTTTGCCAAGGTTTATCCGTCGTTCATGTCGCATAGCAACCCCGACTTTCATGAGAGTTTGATGAGGGCAGATGCGACGCTTGTGGGAGCAGTAGAAACGTTCCTAAGAGATGAGCCAGAGGTGGAAGTTCCGGCCAAGTCTCAGACCAAGTCTCAGACTAAGCCTCAGACTCCACAAGTTTCTCCGGTGGCGACCCCAGTATTGCCACACGCGTCGCCAAAGCCCATTTTGAAACCCCAGACGATTCCAAAGGTTATTAAGTCACAGCCGGCACCAGGGGCTATCAAGTCACAGCCGGTTGAAAAACGCCCGTCCTTTTTTAAACGCCTTTTTCGATCCAAGGCGAAAGGGGCCGGCCTGAAACCAGCAAAGCAGACGCCGGAACCAGCCAAAACTATTAAGCGGAAGATTACCAAGCTTTTTCACTCAGAAGAGGTGTTGAAGCCGGTAGTACCGAGCAAGAGCTTGTCTGGGCCTAACGACGTCCTGTCCGAACTGAAAATGGTCTCGCCAGACCCGGACAAGGTCTCACATGACCCAAAGGTCTCGCCTCTGCTTGTGGCACCACTTGTTGTCCAACCTATGGAGCACAGCGACAACGACACTATTAGATACGCACCGCAACCGATTCTTACAGCAACGCCCAGCAAACCCCTCACGTTTGTACCGCTCCTTCCCGACGATGTTTCCCGCTCCAAGACCCGCGACTCGCTGACGATGCAAAATGCTCAGAGTTTAGACAACTTGAGGAGCGTCAGTATGCACGAAAGCATCAACAAATTGGTAGAAGACGAGGTACCGAATTGGCGCGTCATCGTGCGTGACAACTCATCGTTATTGGATATTCACCGCAGATTCCTTCACGAAGACCGAATCGCCAGGGATGAGAACGAAAAGCAGAATGAGAACCAAAACAGAATGGATGAAATGAAGAGAACGAGCCCTGAGGTAGGGACGAACGACTATTCCCTCTATCACAGTGATGTCACGGTCAACTACACGCTGCAAACAACCAGTAACTTTCAGAGTCCGTACAGAATCGGCGTAACCACTCAAACCCCTTCCGGAACGGCAAAGATTTCCCAAAACTTTGTCAGATTGGGGAAATCTCCCGATAGTACTCAAACGAACGAGGCCCCCCAAACAGCTTGTGACTCTCCCCAAAGTATCCGTCATTCTTCCCAATCGATTCAATCTCCCAGAAGACTCGACTGGGTGGGTACTGGTAGCCCCTCCCATTCCAATACCTCAGTGACTCCCCAGCTCACCTTTGGCGATCTAGATTTCGGGGAAGGTCCTCGGAGCCTCGACTTTGGTTCCTTCGGAGACAGTGCTCTCGGAACCGACGATACCCTTAAAGGGAAGCTCGGAGACTCGCAGTTCCTCAATTACTCCGTCTTTGACGTGCACACCAACCTGCTCACGTCGCTCGAGCTTGCGGCGGACGATTCCAAGACTATCGAGACGGATTCTGCATACTACACGCCAGAAAACATCAAGCTTGATTCGTTTGACGTTACGACCGAGAAGGCATTTTTGCGTTCGGACTCGAGCATCGAGATCATTTCCTACGGCGACGTCGCGACGGTCCAGCCGGTGACGTGGCAGGAGGTTGCGCGCATCGAGCGGTACGTCGTAGGGGAGGCCTCCGTGGAGACAAGCGACTCCTGGGACGGTTTCCCGGGGCTCACGCTGGCAAAGACTGCGGATCTGATACCGACGTTGACACAAAACCTGCCAGTGCGGAGTCTCAAGACCTTCCGCGACATGTCCATGCGGTATCTTGCGGACTATCTCAACGGGACGGAGCTGTTTGTTGATGATTAGGTGGATATTTCCTTGGATTAAATGGGAGGTTGGAAACTTGAATGAAATGATCTGACAAACTCACGTTCAACCTTTAACTCTGGGAATTATGGCTACACTTGATCTTGGGTTTCAATGATTCAGGATGGGCAGGCATACAGAAATAACGAACTACAGGGACCTACTTCTTGTAGTTCCTCTATCCACTATGTGTTTGAAATATGTGGACAACTAGTATGAATTTTGTTTCCGTTAGAATAGGCATTTGATGAAACATAATACCTAGAAACCCGGGGTGATTATTAAAGCACCAAAGATCTTTGGAGTTGGTATTGACATATACTTTCAGGTATGCTATTAAATATCGAAAGATTTTTCTCTGTATTTCGCCAGATCTCTTAACTAAGGTTCATGAGGAATCTCGGTTGTATTTCTCTCAGCCCACGAATCGTTTTATGTAAAGGCCGGGTATTTCTGCCTCCTGAACCACCTCTTTTATTAATCAGCGTGCCTAAAACAGTCGCAAAAATGACACTAGCATGCAATAGTGTTTTACAACAAGACCGTAAATTTTGCCGCTTATTTTAGTGTTTTGTACTGAGACAATTCAGTTCGTGTGCATCTTTCCTCACATGCACCTTAGCTGGCGGAATCACTCTTCATAGATTGTTGGGTCCGGCAGAAATCCGTAATTATTAAAGCAAAACACTACGAGGTATGTGATTTTATGATCTCTGAACCACTACAAACGGGCATGTTTAACAATAATTCCACTATTTGGGCAGGCTACGAGAAATCCGTCCCTCGACAAGCACCACACAATGCTCTGCATCAGCCGCGCGCACGTGCAGGCTTCGCGGCATTGTTGCCATTATCACAGAGTGATACCACCAACTTTCTTATAGTCTTTTCTTGTCAGTTATGTTTAGCTTGCAATATTAAACCGGTAGTGAATAATAGATAAAAGCATTTAGAACCCTGGTGGCAGAAGTGCTCCATACCTCTGTAGTCACGTCGCGTAGCGACAGGGCTTCGTAACATGAAAAACCCGGCGCAAAATTGATAAAACAAACGGCTTTAACTACATTGCTATTCTTCGCCACTAAACACAGACAAAATGGTTGACGATATGGAAGTTGACGACTACAGAAGAGTATGTGTGACCTACCATTTGTTTCTATTGCAATACTAACAACCCAGGACCGCTCACGCTCTCCAGACCGCAGAGATCGCTCGGGCTCACCCCCAAGAAGAGCCTACGGCGGTGAGGAAAGAAGAAGTAACAGAGGTGATAGAGGTGATAGAGGTGATAGAGGTGATAGAGGTGATAGAGGTGACAGACGCGATAGAGGTGATAGGCGCGATAGAGGTGGCCGCGGCAGAGGTGGGCGTGACCGCGGCGGACGCGACCGTGGCGGGCGTGACCGTGGACGTGGTGGGTTCAGCGACAGAAGAAGCTACCCAAGCGATGAGTACAAGACTCGCGTGGATAGAAACCACGACAACTCGATCTTCATCGGCAACCTTCCGTTCAACTGCGAGTGGTACGAGATCAAGGACCACTTCAAGGGCGTCGGAGAGATTCTCCGTGCGGACGTGGTGATGCGCGACGGGCGTGCGCGCGGTATGGGGACCGTGGAGTTCGCGCTGAAAGAGGATGTGGCGCGTGCGATCGAGAAGTTCGACCACACTACGTTCTTGGGCCGCGAAATCTTTGTCAGACAAGACCACCCGCCGCCAGAGAGCAAGCGCAGAGAGCCGTTCCAGCGCGCGGAGCGCGACAGGTACGAGCCCGAGGCTAGACGTGAGAGAGGCGACAGACCGCCACGTGAACACGCTACCGCGGGCTTTGAGGTGTTCATCGGCAACTTGCCGTTCTCCACCACGTGGCAGACATTGAAGGACTTGATGCGTGAGGCGGGCAACGTGCTCCGCGCTGACGTCAAGCTGGACCACAACGGGCGCTCCCGTGGTTTCGGGACCGTGGTGTTTGAGACCGCGGAGGAGGCGCGCACCGCAATTGACCGTTTCCAGGGCTTTGAGCTCGACGGCAGACGCGTGGATGTGCGCGAAGGCCGCGCACGTAACGACGCACCTGCGCCTGCAGCCGCGCCGCGCGTCCGTGCGCCCGCGAACCGTAACTCCGAGCTCACGCACGGGGTTACCGGTGATGGCCCTAAGTCCAACGTGATCTTTGTCAAGAACTTGCCGTGGGCCACCATCAAGGACGACTTGTTTGACTTGTTTGACACTGTCGGGCGTGTTTCCAGAGCGGACATCCAGTACAACGACGTTGGAAAGCCGTCCGGCAACGCTGTGGTCGAGTTTGAGTTGGAAGAGAGTGCTGACGAGGCCGTTGCGAAGTTGCACAACTATGAGTATGGTGGCAGAAACCTCCAGATTTCGTACGCCATTCTTCCAGCCGCCCAGCCAGCCGAGCAGGATTTGATGCCACAGTATGCTCAGGAAGTTCCTCAGGTTTCTTCGGTTGACCCCCAATCTGAAGCTCAGTTCGAGGCTCCACCAGCTGCTTCATTCGAGGCTCCACCAGCTGCCCCAGTCGAGGTTCCCGCCCCAGAAGTCGGGGACGAGGCCATGGAAGAGGCGCTTTAAAATGTTTTTACAATTGACGTGTGTTGACACTAGGCCAAAATGTAGTGAGATGGACTTGTTCAGATAAGAGACTGTGTATACGCAGTATAGGAGATGGGGCCTTTGCGTGTGCAAGGTATCCGGTAAAGGGTGTGGATGGCCTATTTAGTGCTTTCTATTCATGTTTATTTGGAAGGGACTTTGCCCCAATCATCCGGTTTACTCAATATTGTGTAGGAAGCTAAAAAGATGATTCCTTGGGGGAAAATTTACTCAGGTATGCTTGATCGGGAATCCATAGCAATACCAATCTCATCGTCCAATTCTATGTCACATCGATAAACTGGAAGTGTTATGGCACAACCAAACCCTTAGAGCCTTCTCAAATATCGAATTATTTTGGACCGAAATGAGAGTAGGTAGGTCTAGTTAAACTCTACAGTAGCAAAACTGCTGGCCTGAGACCCTTAAATCTCTGTAAATGATACTAATGATCAATGAGCTTTAAAGGACAAATCCATTTCCAACTGGGGCATGTTACATATTTTTCCTTACAGTTGATCTCTGCAATACCTCCAGCCCTATTCCTAATGCCATTTCTATTGTAGCCTTAGAATATGAGTCAATGCAAGTATCGGTGTTCGATTAACGCCGATTAAAGTGATTGCTCGAAACCGAGCAATTATATTACGTTCTAAGATACACCCACAGATATTCGAGAACATCCATACGATAGCTGCAACAAATTCAAGTTCACGACACTCAATTGTCCAACGAAAACATACCGCATACAAGGATTTGAGTATACTGCGATTATGAAGCTCAAGCATAGGTCTTACTTAAACCTGCCTCGCTATTCCGGATATGGCAACACCAATCGCCTCTCCACCTCCGTCTCCTTCCCTTCCTCCTCCTCTCCGTCAAACCGCAACCGACACCTGCCGTCGCGCTTTGTGCCTATCACCTCTGCCAAATAAAATGTAGTCGTCTCCGGGTACCGCGCTAACACCTTCGTGCCGTATGGATAGTTGATCAACTCGCGAGCCTCGTCTGGCGTTGGTACGAGTAAGATCTCCTTATAGCTCGCCTTGAAGATCTGACCCGGATTGTTGTTCTCATCCGGCTCCGGATCGCGAATCTCGAACTTGGTACCGTCCGCCAACACTTTCAAGACCTCGCACTGGATCCACTCGGACATTCCGCTGGCAGAGGCTCCCCCGTACGGGTTGTGGTTGCGCTGTCGGAGGCGGTAGGCGACCTCAGAACCGATGGTTACCGGGTCCGACGGGTTATAAACTGATGTGTAAAAGCTGGGGGTTAGTATGGCCATCGAATGATCAAATTTGGCGTCGCAGGAAATCAGTTGAAACCAACACATTTTTTCATTCACCTTTCAAGCTCAATGCTCCATCAACCTCTATTTGCCGCTGTCAAACAAATACAAGCATGAAAAAGCCTACATACCTTCTTCCCCTCTTGGACTTTGCGTCCGTCTTCTTAGGCTTGGGCTGCGCCACCGTCTCGGCCGCCGACTGGCTGACGATCAATTTGTCAATATTATCCAACGTGGCCGTCAAAAGCCGTTTTCCCTTCTCCAAATCGTCCTTGTGGCTCAGCACCTGGGCCTTCTGTTCCTGTAACTCCTCCACGGTCGACTCATCCGGCTGGTCTTGCAAGGCCAGCGCGTAGGATTCTCCCGCGTTGCAGATGTCCTGTAATGAGGAAATCACGTTGTTCCAGATACTCTCTTGTTGGTCGCTCATAGCGTGGGGATGAAAAGAGGTAGTGGGACGCTGAGAGGCTTGTTTGTAAATGTAGAAAACAGTCCTGCATGTAGCCTCAATACGGAACCCACGAGGATTTATGATTGACCTTTCGTAGTCGGTTACGGTCGGACGATAAATATTATTTGTTCCGAATAACTCGCCTTGCTGAATTTTACCGTTGTAATTACTTGTGCAAACCCTTTTTATGAACTCTCAGCTTCAGTAATTGACTGGATGGTGTAGGTTTGACTCACCCCGCCCTTCCGTTCTTTTTGCAAGTATCCGCAGTCTGGAGGTAATTCGCAGTGAAAGCCTTTTAATTTACAGCAGAGACTTATATTTAGTCTTGCGAGTGGTAGTATCGGCTCATCCATTAATTTTAATAATGATTGAACGCGCATGCCCTATGCATTGGTAGGCAGGTTTGTTACTGGTCGAGACACAGCCTGGGTGATTTTAGGCAAAAAGAGGCTTTCGGTAGAATTAAATAGAAAAACAACAACAACAACTGTAAATACCAAATATGCCGACAAAAGGGTCAATAATGGTACGATAAATCTATAATTATCCATCGGGTGGCACGATCTCCCCAGGCGGTACATAGAGCCTGGCTAGAAAAACCATCCCGAATTCCCACATCTAGCTCTTTCCAAACGCAACTCAAAGCACAATTTAAACCGATTTTAACACCAGCAACCGATAACTCGACTGTTTTCCTCTTACTCGATCCACTTTCTCCCTTCATCGTGCACCCTTTCCTGGTCGTGCTTCACACCAACTGGTTTGCAGCCCCGATCGCGCTCGTTGATAATTTTTCAATATTAAAAGCGTGCAGCTCCACTCAAAGATAACTCGAATACCCCAGCCCACCCAATATGTCTTTATTTGCTAAGGTGTCCTCGGCCCGTGTGGCCATGAGAAGTGCCCTCCTCTCCACCACGCTCATCTCTACGCTCCGCGCCGCGCTTCCTGCGACGGTGATCCCAGTGCGTACTGCAACCAAGAAAGCGGCCGGTTCGAGAACCTCGATGAGGGATTCCGCCGGTCGTCGTTTGGGGGTCAAGAAGCAGGACGGAACGTTGGTCAAGATTGGCGACATTATCGTCAGACAGAGAGGGACCAGGTTCTTCCCCGGCGAGAACTGCAAGATCGGGCGCGACCACACCATTTATGCGGTGGAGCCGGGTTACGTGCGCATCTACCTCGATCCGTTCCACCCAAAGCGCAGATTGATCGGCGTGGCGTTGGAGGAGCACTTGCTTTTGCCGACCCCGCACTTTGCGCCCCGCGTCAGGCGGTTTGGGTATGCGCCAATTGAGCGCGCGGTTGACGCGCAGGCCGAGGAAGCCAGAATGCTCAAGCAGGAGGCACTCCAGTTACCTGAACAGTTAGCCGCCGAGGCTGCTAAGCGTGCACAAGACGCTGCGAGACAAAGCGTGCTCGCTCTGCAGATCGTAGCCTTTGTCGAATTGCCAGCTGAGGAGCAAACCCTCGCTGGCGCCAGATTGCTCGCCATCGAAAACCAGTTGCGCAATGGGAGAGCTATTGCTGATGCCCAATCCATCACATCCTTCGATTACCACTTTGACATCAGACACGAGGCCCGCAGAGCCGGAATTGCGCCAGAGGAGACCGAACGCTTGTCACAGCAGTACCAGGAGATGGCCTCGAAGGTCGATGCCGCCGTTTCGTTCCACTCACTCACGTTTGACTTGATTCCACACATGAGCGCCACAGACATGGAAGCTGCGAAGGCGCAGCTTGTTGAACAGTTGCGCGCGTGCGTCAAGACCAAGAAGGCCTTGAGCAAGGATATCGACGCCGCTGTCGTCTTTTCGGCTGAAGAGAGGGCCCTCTTGAAGAGAGACTACTTATCCGAGGGTATTGCCGGCTCCGTCAAGGTGTTCAACAAAGACACCAGAAAGGTTGAGGTCATTGATGCCGCCAAATTGGGCTTTGTTCCAACTCTTTAAGGCCTGGGCCCCGTGTATATAGTAAACTATTGATAAACAGAAAATTGTAAACGCCAAAGAGATTCGAGTTGGACCCTTGTCAAGTATCAAACAGGAAGCACTCGGGAGGTCCGCAGATACTGTGCTCAAAGTACATCGATATAGCTTACAATCATGCGTTATAGGGTATAATATTTACGTGGGGTTGGTCCAGCCCACCCCTGGATATAGCACTGTTACATAATTTCAAGTTGTTACCCGTCAGGGTTCTCGGAGATGCTCATTCCCCTCGTGATACTTGTCATACTTGGGTCTGCACCAGGCTCTGCGGTCGGTATACCCTGGAGTATCTTTGAATCGGTTAGACAAATCTCACGGCGCGAGCATCCAACGGCATACCGTCTTCGCCTATGCCATTGTCCCTCATTTTCTTCTGGATGTGGAGAAGACGGGCTTTGTCAAATGGCACGCCCTTCTGCTTCATGATACCCAAGATCTGCAGTTTGGATTCCTCATCCAATCCCTGTCTCGGGTCATCAAGGTTGTGCAAGCCCACGTCAAATGACGCTGATGAAAGCCCGTTCTCTATGTCGTTTGTGAACGACAGCTGAGCGCCCAAGGAGATGTAGGGGTCTTCTCTGGAGACCAAGCTTCTCACCCGGGGCACTGTGATCGTTAGTATTGGATCAGAAAGTCGGAATAACGGTACACGTACACCAGAGTCGCCTCGTGTGGAACAAGAGCACTGAGACGGTGGCCATCAACACTAGAAACAAGATGAAGTTGTTCTTGGCGGAGTATTCCGGGATGTAGCTGGAGAGCGGGTGTTTGGGCATTATATATCTCGGTAATAGTCTTGGTTATCTGCTTGCTAGTTTTAGTGGTGGCAGTGTACGAGAAATAGACGAAATTTGGTGCTGCTAAAACAAAAATGAGGATCCTTCAAATTTGTCACCAGGAGATTAAAGTTTTTAGCGCATGTGCCAGACAGACTGCATGATCAAGGCAGTAGGGGCACTACTAAAACAGGCTGGCCGAGCATTGAGCCACCATCGGTTACCTTGAGCTCTAGTCGCACTAGACTGGTTTGGCAGATTTAAAATGCAAAGACAGGTTGATAAGACAAATAATGGTCTTTATGTTATTACTAGTAACCAAATATATCGGGTGATTTTCACTAGTTTGAATACCAAAGAATTAAACTCTGGCATAGCTCGTTGTATGTCCTTTGCTGATAGAAAATTTGTATGCTACTCCATCTCTAGACCTTGAAATATCCCACATTGTATTTTTATTCTAAATTTCCACCCTTTACTTTCCTATACTCCTAATAGGATTATTAAATCTACCGTAGTTTGTGCCATTGGGGGTAAACGCTCCATCGCTCTCGGTTATTGTCATGCGCGAATCTTTTCGATCTTATTTTGATCCGTTTTGCGCCAGATATCTGGCTTGATAACACGCCATTGTGCATCACTCCCCCCTACTACAGTTCATTAAGAGAAATCCTTTTTGTATAATTGCATTTTACCATTGACAGCCTCATGAATCGCCGCAGCGTCTTAGGCTATCATACGTCGCATGACTTTGACAAATCAGACTTGTCATTCTCGTCCAGTACTGGAGAGGCGCCAAACGGCAGGTTTTCGGTCCCGAACTTTACCTCTCACAACTTACAGTCCCTTGGCACCAACAATTTGCCGACCTTTGACCCCCACAATTATAAGTCCAAGGCCGTCTCCAGGGCGGTCTCCAGCCTTCTGCGATCGCACGATTTGCTCTCCTTCGAGGCTGAATTGCATAACATTCTTCAGGAAAACTTGTCACTATCGTTGTTACAGCGACAGGCGTGCCAGGAAATGCTCCGGGCCACATTTGACTTGTTCCAGGTGCTGGTAGCGACTACAGGGGCTGATAAAACGTTGATCGATGCTGCGAATCCCGCATTTTTTGACCGCATGCAAACCGTTGTGAACGCTTTGGCTGACTTGGTATCGCAGGTGTCATTGAGAGAAAGAACCGAGGGGGCCCCTGAACTGCATATCAGTCCACGAAGACTGGCTACAGGTCCAGGCTGGGGGCAGCCTGGTACCTACCCTGACGCCTCCCCTGTTTCGACCCGGATCTCTCCCAACATGACGCCGTCTAAACCTACAAAGTTTGACATTCACCATGCTTCGCCAGATGTTGCGGTCTATAAAAAGCTCGACACCTCACTCACCGAGTCCGTTCTCCCAAGACCCCTGAGTGTGTCCAACCACAGACAGTTGGAGATGGACTACACCCCAACCAAGCTGAACCACTTGCTGGTCGTTCAATCGGATGATGATAGCGAGTTCTCGGACGAAGAAGCCTTGAACGTGTTGGACAGCACAAAGTATGGGGGTGAAACCGAAAATGAGTTTATTGGCTACTTTGAGAAACTCCACTTGTCCAATTCCAGCCCCGGAGGGTTTCCTGGATTTTCTACGGAAAGCTACATCAGCAGACCCTCTTCTGTGACCACATCCATTAACTTTCCACGGGAGAGACCCGTACATCAACCCCAAAGCCAGATGTTCACCCCCGTGCAACAGGACTCCCGAAAGTTCACCCATCACGATTCATTACCCCGTGCCAGACTTTCCCTGACCACTATATATGAAAACCTACACGCAATGCTGGAGCCACCCAGAAGACACCGTCTGGTGATGCAGCGCCCCGTGAGCTACATGACCCCAAAATCGCCGCCTAGGCAGGTCAGGGCCCATCCACGACTCAACCAGCGACCGCAATCAATGGTCTTCCCACAAGCACTGCAGAGTCGTGCAAGGCGGCAGCTGTTGGCCAACCCGTCCCCGGGGCAGGCGCTGTATGACGGATACTATGGGTCTCAATACGGCGAGGGATACCAGTATGAGAGAGGATACCAAGGAAAATCCTACCTACAACGATATGACGAGCACCACGAGAGAGACCCGGAGCAACAATCCACTCACCCAAGGTTCTGATTTCTCTGAGGACTGCCCAAGTATGAGGCATAATCACTGACGAGTACTTGCTTTTGTAGGGCAATTTGTTAAATATCAATGCTTAATTTTTTTGCCGTAGCTAGCTCTGAACAGACTCCTTTGCGAAAACCTTCTAGACAGCAGGATTGACAAAACCCGTAAATATCTGGCACCTCTGCCGTACCTACTCCGGGGCTTGCTGTAACAACATGCGTAAGTATATTAGAATGTGGCTAAAAATCGTAACAGTATATATACAAGTTCTGGGATTTTAATTGGTGCGGGGAGAAAAATAATGTGGGGGGGGGCTATTGGCTTATTCGAGGACAACCTTGGCACCGAGGGCCTCCAAGGTGGCCTTGATTTTTTCGGCGTCTTCCTTACCGACGTTGTCCTTCAAGACCTTTGGTGCGGACTCGACAAACTTCTTGGACTCAACCAAGGAGAGACCCAACATACCCTTGACTTCCTTGATGATCTTTGGCTTGGACTTGGCGTCGAAAGACTCTAACTTGATGGAGAAGATAGTCTTCTCCTCAACCTCTTCCTTGATCTCCTCAGCCTCGACGGCGGCTGGGGCAGCTTGGGCAGCGCCGCCAGAGGGGAAGGCAATATCTGGGATGTTCAACTTGGTTTTTAACTCGGCAACCAAGGCAGAGGTTTCCAACAAGGTCAACTGGGAGATGCTGTCGACGATCTGGGTGATCTTTGGATCGACAACGGTGGAGTTGAATCTGGCAAATACCGGAACAGATCTTCTGGAGGCGGCTCTGAAGGCAGCACGGGCAGATTGGCGAGCGATAGCAGACATTGTGAGTGTGAGATAAGTGGAGTGAGGGACAGACTACCGTTGCGAACTTTTTTTCTATGATTTTCAGGTTGAAAAATTCGAGGTTCAACCTGGAGCTCCAGCACAGGACAGCATAAGCGCGACGGGGGCGCGCGACGCTTATGCCGGTAGATGATATGCAAGTAGCGCCATGAAAAGAGTGCCATGACTGGAGGCTGTTATTGAATAGCTCAACACCCAAGATGGCTTCTTTCAGATTTTGTGCGGAATGGTATGTATCGATTAATCTGGACAACTGGACGCTGAGACTAACGCCCTAGCAACAATATGTTGTACCCAAAGGAGGACAAGGACAACATGAGATTGTTGTACTCGTGCCGTAACTGCGACTACACCGAATTGGCGGAGAATCCAAAGGTCTACCGCCACGAGTTGATCACAAACATTGGTGAGACCGCTGGGGTTGTGCAAGACATCGGGAGTGATCCAACCTTGCCTCGATCCGACAAAGAGTGTCCGAAGTGCTACGCCCACGACTGTGTGTTCTTCCAGTCGCAGCAGAAGCGAAAGGACACCAGTATGATCTTGTTCTACGTGTGTCTTGACTGCAAGCACGTATTTAGATCGTAACCTCAGGGAGGCGTTGTGTATCATAGTCTGTACAGTATAAGCATATAAAAGGACATTAAGAGTTGGGTGTAGGCTGGCGTCATTCCAGCATTTAACAGAGAAGTGGGCGGAGATGTCGTATTGGCTATATAAATAACCGTGCCATAGAATCCTAGTCTGGGGCTGAGAAACCGTTATTGAAGGCTAAGTCGGCTACCAAATGTTTAGAGACCCATCGTTTGCCTTATCAGTGTTGGGACCGGAATAAACGTCCTTGAACTGCGCGCTGAACAAGTTCCCCAAGGAAAGCAGCGACATGGTGTACCCGTTGGTGCTTGTATCACCGCCAAACGTGTTCCCGTCTAGATTGGATGGATTTATACCTCCAGTGAGCTTGTTGATGTCGTTCAACGAGGGCAAGGGCATGGTCACAGACTTCGCTGACAGAGGTACAATCGATTGGATGTCGTTAAAGGGGGGCAAGGCAGGCAAGCTTACTGCGTTCCCCGAAGTTGAGCTCAATGAAAGGGCGGAATGGCCGGTGAAAGGGTCGGACACGTTGAGGTTCGATGCCACAGGCTCGGTGGCGCTTCCAAAGACTGAGCTTAGCGACGATAATGGTGCTGGAGAGAGGAGGTTTGAACTTGAAAAGGTGTTCACGTTCCGAGGACTAGCTAGTGGAACCGGGATTTGTTTATCATGCGATCGATGGGTGATTCTGGCGAGTTTTACGCGAGAATGGGGTAGTCCCGCACTTTTGGTATGCTGGGTCGATATTTCCGCGGGTTTGGTCCAGACAGGGGGGTTCCACCCCAGACTGGCAGTGGGTTTGGCAGGCCTGGTGGATGCAAATCGTTTCCTTTTCGTCTTTGAGGCGCCTTCGACGGTTGTGGCCACAGAGACCGTGAGGTTCTTCAACAATGTCACTTTTTCTGTATGGCTGAGGGCCAGGTCGGTGGGGAACAAGAGATCGTGGAGGGTTTCCGTGAACGACTTGTACATCTTTTCCAAGGCGGGGTTGGGCTCCAACGGGTGGTTCATATCTGGTAGGGTGTTCTCAAGCGACGGAAGAGTGAGATCTTTCTGTTTGGTGGCGGGGTGCTTGATCTGGGGCAAGACTGGGGCTTCCTCCACCGGCGGTGTAGCGCTATCTGGGGCTTGTAAGTGCTTGAATGGCCACAATTCGCGGGTAAGGCTGTTGAACAAATCTTCGTTGGTCCGTTCCTGCCGCTCTGAGGTGGTGAAAAGCTTCAGTAGCACCAGAGTGTCACTTTTCTTGTGCTTGGAGGCTAGTTTAGTGGTGCCACCAGAGGGGTTCGTCATGTACTTGATTCTTGGAAGTGTCTCAATGTTCAAGTAATCGTCCAAGTTGATTCGTCTCTGGCCGTCGAGATTCAACTTGGGCAACAAAATCTCCTGGAATGTGTCTCTATCCAAGAGGTTGGTCGGGGCATCGTCATCCTCTCCATGCTTCAGTAGCCTGGTATCCCAGTCGCCTTCCTTTCGAGCATGGGGCGTGTGCTGTTCCTCCCCGAGTTCGTGGTTATGCTGGTTATTGACAATAGAGATGCTCCACACCTTTCGCCTGTGGGAATAGTTGGCTCTGATGCGGAAAGGACAGTTGTCCCGGGGGTTCTTGCGGCTCCGTGCCCGCGCTGTTTGCGTCTCGTAGAGCACCTGCTGCTTACTGATGGAGCGCGTATCTTTGGTCTTTGCGACGGGGGTGACTCCTGTTTTCGTGGCGGGTCTACAGAATTTGCATTTGAAGATGATCTTTGCGGCGTCGGACCTTTCTACCGACAAAACGATGCCCTGGAGTTGCATGTACTGCGTCACAAACAGTCGGATATCCTCCTTGGTGGGGAATGTGCAGACACTCAAGTCTTGTTCGGATATTTCGGGCATTCTGAGGCAGTGGTATTATTGAGAAGGGAGTTTCGTGCGATCCATAGTAGAATAGGAGTGTATGTGTAGTCCTGGGATACTGTCCAAGGATAAAGATGGTTCGGGAATTGGGTTTTTCTATAACGCGGGTACGCAGGTCTGCGAGATGCATGCATACAGGTTTACCAAAAATAGCTACACTATCGTCATAAGTAAACTTGAGCCTATATAACGTATATATTCGAGAGCCAATCTATGTCGGCCAAAGGGGGCATGGATTGTAAGATGATGCACTCGTTCTGTGGAAGCTTGCACTCGACAGTGACGAGAGGTGTATACGCAGCCAGGCTGGAACTTGAGGCGCATACGCTGCCAGGTTGGAGCTCGAGGCGCATGCGCAGCCAGGTTGGGGCGGGTGTCGTCTCCTCAATGTCATTGCTCTTGTGATGCTGAATGCTTTGTGCAGTAAACAAGTCGGGCCGTTTAGTGGGGATGGTAGGCCATCATTGGTTGCTGGTCTTCGGCATACTTTTGCTCTTTCACCCTCCCGTACTTGCTGGTGGTACCACAGCAGATCCCTATAAACACAAAGAGAACGGTTAAAAGGACGCCCATGGCACTACTCCAGATCAAGGCGTAGAAAGGCATGTCCAAGTAGGCCTTGATCCCTAACGTGTCAAAATTGTTGTTGAAGGCCGCTCTTATAACCATAAAGAGGGCAGTGGAGCCAGCAGCGGAGACAATCAAGCCCAAGAAGGCGATTACACCGAAAATACTAGCGATACAGGACCAGATATGCGAACAGAAGGAGAAGAGGGTGAACAAGAGCAACAAAAAGGTGGACACGATGCCGATGATACAGGTAATAAAGATCGCCTTGGATAAAGTGTTGAACTTGTTCTGCGCATCGGTAATATCGGTAGGTAAGGTGATAGAGGCGGCTAAAGCGGTGTAGGCGGAGTTTAAATCGTTGCTGATGATTTCAGTGATGTTGACCCCGTACATCGCCTTTGGCTTGGAGCAGAATGTGTAGTCGACGTGCGAGGCATCAGTCGAGGAAATACTTCCGGAACAGTAGCCCCACATGCCGAGAGAGTAGACCTCCTTGATGCCGACGTCTGATAACGTCGCGGTGGCCGGAAGCTGGGAAGAGGTGCCAAAAAGGTCAGAGAGCGCGACGGAGGAAAAGTTCATGCGTATGAAATGCGTATCCTCGATGAAGGTGGTGGTGGAAGTGGAGCCTACACATGCAAGAATAGCGAGAAGGATGGATAGTAAGGAGAGGATAAACGGGATAATAACGATGCAAAAGCGGCCACACCCAATCATTGTGTAGAAGGTAAGCTGTAAGGTGTCAGAAAGGTCAGGAGTACAGTGGTTGTGGGAATGCGAGTTTATGGATAGTTAATACGGTATGCAGAGAGGTTCTTAAAACAGGCTATTCAGTATATTTATAAGAAAAGAATCAGAGATTAGAACGGTTTGGCTATGTCTCCACTCTAGATGTTTAGCGATAAGCCGCATTCTTGAAGCAGAAGCAGGTAGAGCTGCACGTAGAACCTATTGTGTGGATCGAGCGTCAAAAAAATGTTACTGCGCCTTGTCATTAAATTAATTCGGTGGCAGGGCTCACTTGGATCAGGCGCTGCCGCAGTGACACCGTCAGGAGGTGAGGTATGAATGCCTGGTCAGTTATGGGAGCAGCTGGATGTTTTAAGGTTATTAGATTATTCCACGATATTTCCCATCAAAAGGTACTTGTACCTGCTGGCTATATGGCTTAGATACTACCCTACAACTACGTCGATCTAGAGCATGGAGGACTTATCGTTGAAGCTCAAGAGTTTAGCCAAAACTTTGTATTCTCCTGTTGAATAGGCTCAGGGAGATGAATGAGTATCTGCATGGGTCCATGTTTTATAGAGGACAAGAGCAAGTTATGATAAGGCTTGGCGATGGCTATGTGGCCCCGAAATGTGAGTTTCATTTATTTGCGATCTAAAGGAGTGGGTTTATACACCCTGATACAGGAACTAGAGGAAATAGTAGCATAGTATGTGAAATGTAAACTAGTGTCTGCTTCGACTGACCTGATCATTGTACCATGTCTGTAGCTATCCCCTGAGACGTAAAGTTGCATACAGGGCTGTATTAAAGCGTCTAGGCTAAACCAGTTTGATTCAACCTGCTATTTTTAGAAATCCCAGTAAATTGTAATCAGTTAGGAGGTGTCCTCCTAAAAACGCCTATACCTATTCTTAGAGCTCAGAGCTGCTCGGTAGGGGTAAAACTACATAGCCGTTTTAACACATGCCCAGGCTGCGTGGCTGTGGGTGCATGCCGCTCAGGGGCTGTGGAGATGCTATGCTTCATAGGTGAGTATAAGCTGACAAATCCTTACTTAGAGAATCTTTACTCAGAGGTAATAAAGGATAAGTTAGGCTATTAACACTAGGGGCAAAGAGAGCTCGGCTAATCTAGAAATGGCCTGGTGGAACTGATCTAAAAGCATTCTGTTCGAAGCATTGCTTTACATACGGGAATTTTTAGAGCCGTTGAGATGATATTACAGGTTAATTATTCTCTGGGAGGCTGCAAATAATGGTGTTGTGCAAATACCCATGTCGATTAAGCTATCCTCATCTTCCCTGACAACATATCGGTGTTCCAAGTTGCTAAATACTAAATAAAACTAGACATACTCGTAGACTCGAACGTATCAGGAAAATAGCATGCACTTCGTGTTTATGTCTTATCGTTTTAAGTTGTACGATAATTTCACCTTGCCTTTGGTATATACCCCGAGATAATTCCATTCAGTAAAGCAGCTTGTAGCGCGGTTATCAATTTATATTCTACAGCTATCTCCGATGACGTTGGTAAGCTTGTAGAGAGCAAAGGGTGGGTTATTAAATCTGCAAAAGGATTACCCCGCAGATTCAAACGAGAATGACGTCAGTACATCAACGGTTTTCCTCTGATCGATCGGCCTTTCCTGATCATGTTGTACCGATACATTTCCTGATAATGTTGTACCGATACATTTCCGGCGATTAGCTACCGTCACACACATTATCGCTGAGGTTTAATGGCGAAAAAGAAAATTCTAGAGTGCCATAAAGCCCGGTTCTGTATGCAAAAGATGCCGGGCCACACGCAGACAGGAAAAGGGTTCATGCGGGTCGCCAAAATCACGGTCAAAACGTACCGGTAGAGTTTAACGGCCACCTTATCAAGTATAATAGTAGGGACTTGAGTGATTATTACCTACAGAGATATTTATTGGGATAAACATCATTCGCAATGTTTCCGTATTTCCCTTAGTAAGGCATTTAAATGTATGAAGAGGGGGTCTCGCTCTCAAACCTATTGAATATTTTAGTGTATCAAGCACATATTCCAGGTTAATACCTAATCAAAACTTTACAGGGATGCCAGCCTCTACTATCCGCGATAAAACCGCCATGGTTACCTCTGAGAACCAGCAAGGACAGACTCAAAAGACCGATGTTTTGATCCGCGCTACCTCGGCGCCTTTTAACAAGAGATTTTACCAAAAGATTAGACATTGTTTTATTTACTACTTCTTTGAATTCTAGGTTCCAAATACTCACCAGAGATACAGATCCGATATAAAGGATATTGGATAAGTATCCACCGTGGACCAGCCATTCCGTTTGCTTTAGGCTGCCCAACCACTGGCTTCGCTCCTTCCTCTTTTTAACCCATTCAACGGGCGTCATGAATTATGCTCGGCCAACACAGCTTGATTTAATAAACATTACCTGAAATAGCCCGTAGGTTTCGTTGTTCGGTAGTATGAGCCTGTGTCAAGCTCGGCCAAACTTTCCAAATCCGTCTTGACCCACAGAGTTATACAATTGGACACTGAACTTAAGGGCCTAAAAAAGTTTTTCTTACACCTGATTTTATTAATCAGATATACCCTCTTGGTTAACCCTGAGCCCTTTTACATCTATCACTTTAAACATATCCACAATAATTGGTAGAGCGTTCAACTGACCCCTGGTCTACACTTCCTTACACATGCTTGCACTTACACCTCTCAGTGCTCTGCCACTTATAGCATAGAATCTTTATGAAAGGCGTTATCGGTTGATGGAGAAGGAGATCAAACCTCTAGCCAAACGTCCAGGACAAATGTGGGGTGATCCATAATCCTAACCCGTTCCTTCTGAACGGAAAACGCACGTTGTATGTCTTTACGTAAGCATAGCACCATACATATGCGCCATTCTGCGTTTCGCCCTCTGCCCACCCACGTCCCGGCGGTTTCCGCTCCGCCATACATGATTCAGTTTTTCGCACCTACCAACTGCCCCCAAAAAGCTCTGAAGGATCTTTTTGCTCTTTTGACACGGCTCTGTTTTCTGCCAGGGCGCTACATTGCACCACCCTCTATCTCCCGGGCTTTGCACTCTCCCGCTAAAGCGGATAAATATCATGTATGTGCCCCGTAGTCTCACTTCTGTGGAGTAGCGGTTAGACTCTCTCCTATAGGGATTTCACCCACCGTAGTATTTGTTGGCGACTGCTGGCAGTGGACTGATGGCACCCTCTGTCCTGCGCATAAGAAAATTTTTCACTACACCAGGTGGTGGCACGAAGCAGCCGTTTAAGACGAAGTTTGCTATTCTTGGAACATTCCAGAAGCGTTACGTAAAGCTCTCTAACCAGGAGCCAGACTCCGAAGCCGTGGGCCTGTGTAGTGGAGTGATGTTAGAGCAATACCGCTGGTCCACAATGTGCAGGATAAACTATAGAAGACACCCGTCCTCTCCGTAATCCCGCAGCCTTCAGATTAGCTCGCTGATTAATTGACGGGACACGTGATGGGCTCTCGTGTTCTCAGACCCCCTACGGCCCAGCTCTGTTCTTAGCGCCGCAGTTAGGACCACCCAGGACAATTGGTACAATTATTCCGACCCATTGCCTCAATCCAGCGCCTCTCCCAAAACTGAGAGTGGTGTGTTCCAGATGTCACCACCTGTTGGTGTCCTGCATACATCCCACGGTGTGCATCCACCCCTCAGTCTCCTACGCTCGCGCCCCTCCTTACCAGGTGGGCACCCCTCTCTCGGAGCTTCCGCCTATACCGCACTGGTGATAGCCGATTTTCCATCCGGGCTGTCCCCACCCCTCGGACTATAAATTCAGACTCAATTGCCCCTTGCTTTCGGCTCCGATTCTCCCTTTTTCTTTTCCCCCTTCCTCACAGAATTTCATTTCTTCCCGTACACATACATCACTTATAAAATGGCTATCACTATTGGTATTAACGGTTTCGGCCGTATTGGTCGTCTCGTCTTGAGAGTTGCGCTTTCCAGACCTGACATCAAGATCGTTGCCGTCAACGATCCTTTCATCGGCCCAGAGTACGCTGCTTACATGTTCAAGTACGACTCTACCCACGGTAAGTACGCCGGCGAAGTCTCCCACGAAGATAACGCTTTGATCATCGATGGTCACAAGATCAAGGTCTTCCAGGAACGTGACCCAGCCACCATTCCATGGGGCGCGGAGGGTGTTGACTACGTCATCGACTCCACTGGTGTCTTCACCACCTTGGAAGGTGCCCAGAAGCACATCACCGCTGGTGCCAAGAAGGTCATTATCACCGCTCCTTCTGCCGACGCTCCAATGTTCGTTGTCGGTGTCAACCACGACAAGTACACCTCCGACTTGAACATTGTGTCTAACGCTTCTTGTACCACCAACTGTTTGGCTCCATTGGCCAAGGTTATCAACGATGTCTACGGGATTGAGGAAGGTTTGATGACTACTGTCCACTCTATCACCGCCACCCAGAAGACCGTCGATGGTCCATCTCACAAGGACTGGAGAGGTGGCCGTACCGCTTCCGGTAACATTATTCCATCCTCCACCGGTGCCGCCAAGGCTGTCGGTAAGGTTATCCCAGAATTGAACGGGTTGCTTACCGGTATGTCCTTGAGAGTCCCAACCGTCGATGTCTCCGTCGTCGATTTGACCGTCAAGTTGAAGACCGCCACCACTTACGCCGACTTGTGTGCCACCATCAAGAAGGCTTCTGAAACCGAACTTAAGGGGATCTTGGGTTACACCGAGGACCAGGTTGTCTCCACCGACTTCTTGGGTGACAACAGATCCTCGATCTTCGACGCCAAGGCCGGTATCTTGTTGTCTCCAAAGTTTGTCAAGTTGATCTCTTGGTACGACAACGAATTCGGCTACTCCACCAGAGTCGTCGACTTGTTGCAGCACGTTGCCAAGGTCTCTGAGTCCGCTTAAACAACTTGCAAATAATATGTACTGTAAATTTTTTCTGAATATAACAGCTTGATGCTTTGTTAGCGCTCGGCCCAGTGGCCATTGTATAACCGGTGGAGCTCTCGATTTGGGATTGCTTGGTAAACTAGGCCTAGGTGAATTCTTTTTATTTATTGGAGCCAGCATTGAACTACGTGATGGCTCGCGGCTGGAACTTTGAGCTTGCGGAGCATTATGGGGCTGCCGGGGTTTCTCCTCTGTTAAGGCACTTTGTTCTGCTCGTGCTCTTTAAACTACCAGTGATGGTTGAACTTCAGCCATTGACTCAAGTTCCATCTCTTTCATTTTTTTCTTTACAAGTAATCCCTCAAAAGCCCCCCCTTCCCGGAGAGCTCCGCTATCCCTCAGCCGTAGCCTAGACCTCCTTATTTCTTATATGCCGGTTTGGTAATTTGGGCGTGGAGGTGCAGGATATCCGTTTCCCTGTTTCTTCCGCTTCACGGGATCGCCGTGGGCCGTCAGTGTGATATCGACGCAAGGGGGAGGATGTGGGGTATTCGAGTCTGTTCATATGTATTCTGGACTCCAAGTGTCGACGATTTAAGGCTCTATTGAGGTGAAGGATAATTTTACGGGGAGTAAGCGTTGACGGGAACCTCAAGAAGCATGTCGGGTTCGCGATTATGATCTTGCGCCAGACAGCACTTTTTCTTAAACTTTGTTCACTGTCAGGTTCTCGTATATGCTCAGCACATTCTGCCATTACACCACAGGCTCACCCATGGACAACGACCAATGGTGCTATATGATGTAATTAATATCGACTTGCAGGATAGGCATGCATAAAATTCCCAGGTGTACATTAGCAGAACTAGTCACATGTACTAAACGGTATCTAGCCTACACCACATAACAGTTCTGAATGATCACACCATTTTGTTCCATAAACCATAAGTTATCGAGTATTTTTTTTTGGTTCCGCTTAGTTTCAGATCTATGCCGTTTTTTTGCGGACAAAATCCTTTCAAATTTCATAGTCCGTTACGTAGATTGATTTTCATGCATATACTCCACTTGCTTATGCGCTAACCTCCAGAAACGTTTCTAAGTGCTTGGCTTCTCCTGCCGAAAAATTTCGTACCGAGTTTCCCAAAAGCGACCACTGAGAAGATTTACCTCCTCTACATCCGAATCACCATCCCTTAAGAGCCTCCACATTTACGACGGTCAGTGTATATAGCTGTGATAGCCCTCTCACAATGATATTTACAGATACACCAACCAACATGATAAAGCTCAACGACGCGCCTGACCCGGAGAAACGCCTTTCAAGGAGCATATGCCCCTCCGCTAAAGCACTCTACCGCCGTCTCCTCCACATTGCCAAAAAATACATTTCGTTCATGGGCCCGGGAATCATGGTGGCTGTGGCCTACATCGACCCCGGAAACTACAGTACGGCGACGTCTGCAGGATCCACCAACCGCTTTTCGCTCCTCTTCTTCGTGCTTCTTTCGAACATCATTGCAATCTTCCTCCAGTGTCTCTGCATCAAGCTCGGGTCGGTGACCGGCTTTGACCTCTCGCGGGCGTGCCGTGAACACCTTCCGCGGAAGCTTAACTATACGGTGTACTTCTTTGCGGAGGCTGCTATTATCGCTACCGACGTGGCGGAGGTCATTGGCTCGGCGATTGCGCTTAACATTCTCATCAAGGTGCCGCTCCCAGCGGGGGTGGTCATCTCCTGTATCGATGTGTTGCTTGTGCTCTTGGCATACCGTCCTGGCTCGTCCCTCAAGTTTGTCAAGATCTTTGAGATTTTCGTTGCAGCGCTTGTGCTCGCGGTTGTGATCTGTTTCTGCTTCGAACTCTCGCGTATCCCGTCGTCCATTACCGTGAGGGAGGTTCTCAGGGGTTATGCGCCATCCAAGCAGATGCTCGAGAACAATGGTATCTACCAGGCTACGGCTATTTTGGGTGCCACCGTCATGCCTCATTCTTTGTTCCTCGGTTCGGGGCTCGTGCAACCGCGGCTCCGCGACTTTGACATCAAGGAGGGCTACGTCCAGTTATCTGAAGACTCGTACGAAAACGAAGAGAGCTACTTGTCCTACAGACCGTCCTTGGCTGCGATTAAGTATGCCTATAACTATTCCGTGGCCGAGCTCACCATCACGTTGTTTACGTTTGCACTCTTTGTCAACTCTGCCATCTTGGTTGTGAGTGGTGCCACGTTGTACGGCACACCACAAGCCGCTGATGCGGATTTATACGGAATCCACCACTTGCTCTCAACCCAGTTGGCACCAATTGCCGGGACCATCTTCATGCTTGCGTTGCTTTTCAGCGGTCAGAGCGCGGGGATCGTGTGCACCATTGCGGGACAGATTGTGGGAGAAGGTCATATCAAGTGGACGTTAAAGCCATGGAAGCGCAGACTCGCTACCCGTTCCATCACCATCATCCCCTGCTTGGCCATCAGTGTGTCTATTGGGAAGAACGGGTTGAACACTGCATTAAACGTGTCGCAGGTCGTGTTGAGTATCTTGTTGCCCTTCTTGGTCGCCCCATTGATCTGGTTCACCTCCCAGAAGAAATACATGCGCGTGATGCTTAGCCAGCCGCGCTACCACGACGATGTCAGCTTGCAGACCATGGAGCCAGAAACGGAGCTGTTGTGCCGTGAACGTCGCTCCTCTGACAGAGACCAAGTCGAAGGGCCCGCTGAGTCGGAGAAGCAGCAAGAGGGTTTGGAGGTCGAAAATACAGTGGAAGAGTACAAGTATTTTGATAACAGCTGGTTGGTGATTGTCATAGCGGTCATGATCTGGCTCTTCATCAGCGCCTTGAATATTCTCGCCATTGTCCAGATGGCCCAGAATGGTATCTAGGTTGAAGCATAGTCATGAAAATGCCTACCTAGTGTATGCTCTATTCATTTCGGATATTGATCTAATACTAAGTTTTATGTGTAATCCTGTTTCCTAAGAGGGTATTCATTCGAAATTAAAACATTCTATTTAATCCCGGGAAAGTTAAACCAGGTCAAAGTACTGGGGAGCAAGTAAAGGTCCAAAGGGGTCACCGCATAGCTACTAATTCATCCCAGATGGGCCGAGCCAACCTCAGAGATACCCTTCACTCCTTAACAAACACAGCCGCTGCGCCAATTCCGGTGGCAGCACACATTGACGTGACCCCGATTTCCCCCGTCTTTAACTCACGTATAATGGTGGCAATCTGTCGGGCCCCAGTGGCCCCCAAGGGGTGGCCCAAAGCAATTGCCCCGCCCCGGGGGTTCACCTTGGCCTTGTCTAAGCCCAAGTGTTCGATGCAATACAACGCCTGCGCTGCGAAGGCCTCGTTGATCTCAAACACCGCCACCTCTGATCCACTGATTCCCGTTTGGGCCAACACCTTAGGAATAGCGACTGCTGGCCCTACCCCCATGAGCTCTGGGGGGACACCGCAAACGGCCGTCACCACGTATTTCGCCAAGATCGGCATCTTCAACTTGTTGGCGATTGAGCGACGCATCATCAACACGATAGCGGCACCGTCGGATACCTGCGAGGCGTTTCCGGCGGTGGTGGTTCCGTGCTGGTCAAACGCAGGCCTGAGTTTGCCAAGCGACTCCGCGGTAACATTTTTGCGAGGGCCCTCGTCGGCATCAACGGTCACGGTCGTCATGACACCATCCTCCCCGTCGGTTTCACTTTCCACCTCGATTTCCACCTGAAGCGGAAGGATTTCGTCCTTGAAGAATCCTTGGGAAAAGGCTCTTTCGGCTTTATTAAAAGAGGCAGCAGCGTAGGCGTCCAGCGCGGCTCTGTCAATCCCGTAGGTTTCTGCCAAGAGCTCGTTCGATTCCCCCATCGTCATACTACATTTGGAAGCTTCCGCGTGGCAGAGGATTGCATCAGAGAACTTTGGCACAATGTCTGGCCCGTAAAAGGTGGACATGGATTCCACCCCGCCCGCTAAGCCAATCTCGATCTGGCCAGCGTAGATCTTGTTGGCGATATCGTTAACTGCAATCAAGCCCGACGAACACCATCGGTTGACAGCAACAAAGGGAGCAGTGTACGGAACCCCAGCTGCGAGAAGTGCGGCTCTATGAGCACCGGCACCGGCAGCGGGATTTAAAACGTTACCAATGGCCACGTCCTCGATCAATGCTGGGTCAAAGTGAGGGAGTTTCTCAAGCGTAGCCTTGACTAGCCCTACCAATAAGTCCTCAGTGGCGGCATCCTTGAATTTACCTCTACCTCCTTTAGTGATGGCAGTTCTGTACGCGGACACAATCACCACGTCCGACTCATGTTTTTGTTGAAGCTTGACAACACCGGTATGCGAGGGGTTCAAGTGAGAAGATACTTGGGAGAGTCTGTCCATTTTGAGTAATGGGTATAAATAGGAGACTGTGACAGGTTATTGAAGAGAAATTGGGGGTTCCCCTCTTTATACAGACTTTGTTTTATTGGCACACGCGGGGAGTTAAACTTCCCAGCTGACGAGTTGGCTTGTGGGGTATGCATGCACGTCACGCTCGTTCAGCGTGGGCCAATACTCCCTGTCAACCACCCTTGCATGTGACGAGAGCAGCCCGCAAATCACGTGGAAGGAGTATGCCAACTGAGGCCAAGGGCTGGTATTTATGGTTCCAGACGACTGCTTCTCCACGAAACCTGTCAAACGGTCTATAAACGTATATGTTCGAAAAGTATCCCCTAGTCCATCATCTTGCGGTTGATGATGGAGTTTTCTGGTGTCTCGCAGAAGATGGAATGGCAGCAGGACATTTCATGTACTGACCACATAGGAGCTGCTCTGGAAGTACCAGAACTACGCCGATGGTGCCGTTATCTTGACTCCAAGTCTCAATAATTCGCTCCAGGCCGATGATTATCTCAACGACACTGCAGACGGGAATGTTAGTGATTCTTCACCGAAATGGGCAAGCATGCGCACCCAATAATGGACCAACACCGCGTACAGCTACAGACAACAAATAGGGAAATATACAACAATATCTTCTCGATTTCCAACGACTTGAATCGAAAATTTTGATCGTATCTTCGAATGGAGAAGCTCCAACTTGTAATGAAGTCCGAAAAAGCGCACATGGGTTTATCTCTGCACTCAATAATACGAGCGGGCCCCGGTTCTTTTACGAATATCGCACTTCTATCAAACCACAATGCAGTTATAACCTTTCCTAAAAGGCGAAATTGAGATTGATACAATATCACATAGTTATGACGAAGGAGAAGAGCCACGAACCTACAGGCATCCACCGTGTGACGCCATACATTTTATATATCACGTGACTTTGTGACACACATTTGTCATATTGGTTAATGTTTGGTTACCATACAGGTTGTGGGACACAGTCCAACTAACGGCAATAGTCTAATAGATCTAAAACTTTAAGATATCGTAAAGATTTATCTGTAGCTGTGGTATTGTCCACAACTGAGCTACACCTTCGAACTCGTGCCTCTTTCCAAATTATATAAATAGGTCCGCATCCTTGTAATATCCACTGATGAAATAATATAATACAAACTTTATACACAAGCTTGATTTTTACCAACCGTCGCAAGTTTATCCACTATACCATGTCTTATAAGCCAACTGTCGCTGTCCTCGGATCTAACGGGGTTTTGGGGAAGCCAGTCATTGAAGCATTATCCTCGGAGCCCTTCTCCTCCAAGTTCCAGCTCCCAATCCGGGTCATCACCCGCTCCAAGGGTGATCGTCACGACTCAGAAGAGGTCAAGTATTACACTGCTTCACTTGACGATACTGCCTCGTTCAAGGATGCTCCCCACGGGGCCGATGTGCTCATCTCTTTGGTAGGGAATGGTGCTGACCCAGCTGATATCTTGGATGTTTTGGCGACTGCCCCATCTCTCAAGGTGTACCTTCCATCGCAATTTGGCACAGATTTGGAAAACACTCAATATCTTCCAGTCTTGGCCGGTAAGACCAACCATACCAAGCAAGCCCGCACCCAAAACCCGAACGTAATGGTTGTGGATGTTATCACGTCTCTCTTTGCCCAAGAGGATCTGTTTGTTTACGAGAGGCCTCAGATTTCTGGTGCCAATCTCGAAAACAAGACCGCCACTTTCAGAGGCGATCCAGCTTTCAAATTTAACGTTTCAAAGTTCCCGGATATTGGAAAATCTGTGGCTGTCATTGCTTCCACACCAGTGGAAAAGTTGAAGGATACCATTAGAATTTATTCAGACAGTGTATCACAAGAGGAGGTGGTTTCCCAATGGGAGAAAGCGCACGGCACCAAGCTAGAAAGAAGTAGTATTTCGGCCGAAGAAACTTTGAAAGAAGCCAAGGACAAGTTGACTGGCGGATTCAAGGGCTCCGATTTCGTGTTCTATTTACAAACTTTCATCTCACAAGGCGAAGGTAGGGGCTTGGCATACCACAATATCCATGACAGAGAGTTTGTGAATCCGGGCGAGTCATTGTGGAAGTGGGAAACATTTTAGTTGTTGGTTTCGGCAAAGATATTCCTCGTCTGGATGAGTATGATGGCGAGTAATCAGTCAATTTAAACCCAACTTAATTTTTTTTTATATGGTTCTATAATTATTCCAGACATTATTCACTTTGAAAGTATAATTATTGTCAGATAATTCTTATTTTAAGGAGATTGTAAGCTATACTGTTTGACCGAGTAGTCTAAGGCGTGGGGTTGGGTGAACATTAGTACTGATGGATAATATAAGTAAATTGGTGCTTATGCATATTCCCCACCCTTCAAGATTGAGGCTCTTTTATCGTCGATAACCGGCTTAACAAAAGAATCATCGCTTTTATGTCCAGACACACCACTCGTTGGTGCGTAGCCAGCCCCGCCAAATACCGAACGTGCCGGATGTCTGAACGCTGAAATTCACCGTAGGGCCAAAAGCAGAAGGCAGCTATCCTAGTTAATGCCCGATACGGAAACATCCCCCCCTGATGCTGACGTGATCACATTCTTACCCATTGCTACGACCTAGCAATTCGATATACCTAGAATTAGCAATTGCTCGGCAATTGAGAAAACCCTGGTTTTACTCTCCCTCTATTCAATTTCGTTGTCTGTCCTCCCAGAGCACGCGGCAGGATAAGCACTGCAGAGCAACCACATTCAGACCGTCATCCCTTACGGCCCCAGCCTCTGCAATCTCCGAAAATCTCTTTTGGGTCTTTAGGCTTTCATCCTGAGACTCCTTGTTGACTGGTTCATATATGCGTCCCAACTTGTTACTGAAGCTTGTGCACTCCGTCCATACAAAGCCATCCGACTCCGACTCCGTCACTTCCGCTCTGAGCACTACGCCTTCTGAAAAGATGGATTATCAACAGCAGCAGCAATTCCAAGCACACGGGATGCCCCAAATTCCCTCCCAGCCGGTACAGATGGCGAGTCATATCTCACAGGCAGACCAAGACGCTATACAGCAATCGTTATTGCCGCAGAGATCCACGGTCTCCAAAGGCAAGTACTCGCTCAGCGACTTCCACATTATGCGAACTTTGGGCACGGGCTCGTTCGGGCGTGTGCACCTAGTCAGGTCCGTGCACAACGGGCGCTACTACGCGGTCAAGGTATTGAAGAAGGCGCAGGTGATTAAGATGAAACAGGTGGAGCACACGAACGACGAGCGCCGTATGTTAAAGTTGGTGGAACATCCATTCTTGATCCGCATGTGGGGCACGTTCCAGGACTCGCGAAACTTGTTCATGGTGATGGATTACATAGAGGGGGGCGAGTTATTTTCATTGTTAAGAAAGTCGCAGCGCTTTCCGAACCCCGTGGCAAAGTTCTACGCCGCGGAAGTCACCTTGGCAATTGAGTATCTCCACTCGCACAACATCATCTATCGCGACTTGAAGCCGGAAAATATCTTGTTAGATCGAAACGGGCACATCAAGATCACCGACTTTGGCTTTGCCAAGGAGGTCACTACCGTCACCTGGACCTTGTGCGGGACCCCCGACTACATCGCGCCCGAGGTCATCACCACCAAGCCGTACAATAAGTCCGTCGACTGGTGGTCCTTGGGGATCTTGATCTACGAGATGTTGGCCGGCTACACCCCGTTCTACGACACCACGCCAATGAAGACATACGAGAAGATCTTGGCTGGCAAGGTCATCTTCCCGTCCTTCATGCACGCCGACGCCGTGGACTTGTTGACCAAGTTGATCACCGCCGACTTGACCAGACGCTTAGGGAACTTGTCGGGCGGGCCGGCCGAGATCCGTAACCACGCGTGGTTCTCCGAGGTGGTCTGGGAGAAGTTATTGGCCAAGGATATAGAGACTCCCTACGAGCCTCCCATCACCGCTGGTGTCGGTGATTCCTCCTTGTTCGACCACTATCCGGAGGAACAGTTGGACTACGGTGCCACTACCGAGGATCCGTTTGCCCAGTATTTTGTGGAGTTCTGAGCCTGATTTGGGTATTAGAGTAATTAAACTGAGTTTTGCTTGATGTAGGCTTATAGGAATGGTAGTGCTAAGGGAGGAGGTTAGCCGGGTTTTAGGTAGGGGTATGTCGTTGAAATCGGTTCTGTGGTCATCGCATGTGGCTGTTGCAGTGAGGCTAAGGCTAGTTCTCCATCGGTGTGGTATCTGCCTGTGAGATTCCGTTAAGCAATCATTGTGACATGCCTCCCTTTTTCAGTCACCCATGTTCAGACCTGCTTCTGGAATCTCGTTCACTTATATGCACCTCGCGGTCCTCATCCCCCTTAATATAAACGGAGATGTACTAGGCCCCACACTTCTTCCGAGCTAAAGAGACTTGACTGATATTAGTCAATCGGTCTGGGTGAAGCATTGCCAGCATTTAGGTTTAGTACACGACATAGAGAAGACGCAGGTACTAGGTACTAGTCACTAAGTTGCTGCATAGACATTGGCTAGCGCTCCGTTCCGAGGATTCCAGGAAACGCCTTGAGGGTATAGGAAGTGTGCCATACAACGGGGTAGTTTTTCTGTGCATTCATGTGGTTATATCGGCGGACAATCGTTGCCTTACTCAGCCCTGATTGCTATCTCTAACTGAGCTCTGCCGATAAAATTTATATACGGGGAGGCAACACTTGATCCCATAAATGACTAAATGACTGCCTCTATAGGCTGAAAGATACCCATGCAATACCTCATTCTTGCTGTTTCAGAGCTCGCCAACCACTCCATCGAAGAAAGGGGGGAGGAAGATGGATTATTTCAGTCTCTATTGCTTCACCGTTGTTCCATTTAGTAAAAGATTTCGTCCCAGCATGCTTCTCGTAGTCAAAATGCCCTTTATATCTGAAATTCATTCTCCCTCTAAGCTTACAAGTTCCAAGTCTAGTCGATTCCAAGCCCGTCTTTTTATCCTATTGGCTAGCGATGCATAGCGTGGACTTAAGCTTTGCTTATCGGCTGTCTACACCCAGAGGCCTACAATAATCTCCCAACCAAGGACCAATCATCACAGCCAGCAGTTTGAGCTTTCTGTCAGGAAGGCTCCAGAGCAACACACAACGTTCCTGAGGAACACCGCGTACTCTACTTCTGTTTGGATCGCTTGCACGTGTCGTTGAGTTTTGAAAAGGAGTCCAAGAACTTTGTTTAGCGAAACGTATGTGCGCCGCATACATGTCCGCAAGACGAGCTTTTGGCGGCAGTAAATACGCTGATCATGCATAGGACACATGTCCATGTTTTTGGAAGAAAATTACCCAAAGCAGGCAGAAAGTCGCTTGATTCGGAAAGGGAGTAATGCATTCCCCCGCGACGCACCATAACCGAAAATTCATACAGGGATATCCTAGCCACTTATATATGCCACGCAAAGAGGGATAGAGAGGTTCACTTATCCCAGGATTATTAGGCGGTGGAAATAGGTACGAGGGTCGGAAATTCTGCTTAAAAGCTACAAAGTCCCGGGGGATCTTTTTGGGAGACATGACTAGAGTCGAAATTCAGGAGGCAGACGGCTATGGTTTGCACTGAGTCTAAAGAATTTTAGATCCTAGTATGGGATATGCATCACTAGTTAACAGAGGTAGGAATGATAACTCTCTAACGCCTTGGACGTACCAATGCGAAACTGGGGAAGTATTTTTCTGCATAGGCGAGTTACTCGTGCTATGCATGCGTTAGGAAACACGTCGCAAACGGGTAACCTTAAGATCAGGTCTAGAGTCGCTTTTAGAGGGTAAATTACCTATTCCGGGGTATTTCAATGACCTAAAGGTTCATGCCTAAACCCTAGAGTATCATGGATGTGGAGCAGAGCTGAGGCTAAAAACCAATGTTTCCACCGTGACAGCTGCTTAACACTGAAAATCCCCGCCCGTTTTTTTTTTCTCCCACTAGTGACGTGCTAACCGAGAAAGGAGGGACTGAAGGATTTGCAACTGTTGCACAAGGGATAGTTTGTCGCCTAGAGCTGTCCCGTGGGTTATGTACACGTTGGCTCTTTACAGACGCACGTACTATAGCGACATGACCTTAACTATGCATGGACTTACGCTTAAAAAAGTCATAGGGGTAAAATGGGGTCCCAATCCCTGCACAACAAATTGAATGTCGTATTCTATAGTCTTAATAGGGCTAAAGACATGTGTGCTTCTAATTGAGACGGAAGGGAGATGGGAAGCCGAAACTAGACAATTCCAGAAGGTGGGCGCGAGCCGATCGAGAATTCGGCACATCGCCTACAAACAAAACCTTGGACGATCGCACATCCATGCAATTCCAATGTCTCAGACGGCGCCCCCTTAAATATCATATGACCCGGTTTCTAGGGCAAAATCTGACAATAAACAAAAGACATGATCTGCAGATATGCAGGCGCTTAGAACTAGTATCGCCCTTCTCATGCAGTGATGGCTGCGTCAGTGTATCAGATATGCATGTATGAATTGTTGTACGCGTTATCGGAGTATCCATAATGCACATCTCGGAACTTAGGTCTGCAGCCCGGCTTAAACGACGACGATCTTTATCGATCTGATTTCAAGCAACCATTCGAAATTTCTTCCGGCGCCGTGGTTATATATATACATGGGGTGTGCCTTTTTTTACCAAAAGTATTTAACCTCTTTCACTGTTCGCCTTGACCTTCTCGACCCATACGCTCGTTCATCCTGAATAGCCCTGTAACTGCTCAATTGCATTTTTTTTCTTCTTTTCAACCCACACTCGTTTAAACAACCACACTCTTTTAATACCTCCATCCCACTCTTTTAACCTCTTTAACCTGTTTTCTTACTACATACACCCTCCTTACCAAGGTTATTTGTATCAACACAATCCCCCCGCCGCAATGAGCAAATTCGCCAGCACGGTTTCACCAATCTCTCCACGCTCCTGTGAGGAGTCCGTGATCAACTATGAGTTAAGTGTCCTCCAACAGCCTTCCAGGGCCAGAGCCTGCGGAGTAACTACCAAATTCACCGGAAGACGGGTGATCGACCCTCCTCCGGTGGTTAAGTTGTACGGTCGCGACCTCTACTCACAAGACGCTATTCTCCAAAACTTGAACGTCCACTTTCTCACGGCGGAAATCATCCATATTGACAAAGATGGCAATGAATCGGTTTTACCATCCAAGAAGAACTCCAAGAAAGGTGTTAGTCAAGGTCACAAGCCAAGCCTTAACTCGAACCCGCTCTTTGGCTCTACGTGTTCTTCTCTCCACTTCTCCACCTCCAGCTCGCCTCTCTTGAACGCCTTCTTTGTGTTTAACGATTTGTCCGTAAGATTTGATGGCACATTTCGCATCAAATTCATCCACTTTGAGTTCAACCCTCAGACATTTGCCGCTGTCAAGCGCTCTTCTATAAAGAGTGATCTATTCCGCAGCTACAGCGCCAAGGACTTTCCAGGCCTCGAGAGCTCGCCCTTGTTAATCAGACAGATCAGTGAATTAGGCTGCAAGGTTAGAGTGCGTAACGTGGCTAACCGTGAGGCAGCCAATGCTACCCCCGAAACTGAGGAGCAAGAGACCCCATCTGTCCAGTCAAAAAAGAGAAAAATGGAAAGGCAACAGGAAGAAGTGCATACCCCGATCAAAAGAAAGAAGGATGCTCCCAGGTCGTTATCGTTGGCCTGCACTCCTAACACGCCACAGCCATCTGTCGCACGCGCTCACAGCCTTCTCAGAGACCAGTCCCAGTATACCCCAACCTCTCTGGCGTCCAGTAAAGACACCTCCAATGCCTCCCGTTTATCGCTTGATGGGTTTGGTAACAATGCCAGCTCCACCTATACGTTCGTTTCTGAAATCACTCATGCCTCTACCTATACTCGCTCCAACACTCCGATAAAGCGCACCAAGCTTGATGGGTTTGTACGTCTGCAGGCTGAATTCCAGGGGTACTTGATCCACTCAGCCGCTCGCGTAGATGATACCCACTCTTCTAGCAGCTCAGAAGCTACGCCACCACCAACCCAACTCGGCGCCTTTGCCGCTCCCGATCTTACTTCTTCACTTTCTATGAGTGACGAAGAGTTTTACAGCTGTACCTCCGCTACCGACTGGGACTCTCCTTGCATTAAAGATCCCAACGCCATGGTGAATATGTCTGTTGCGTACTACCACCACTCCCCTGCACACAACGGCAGTACTCAGGAGAGTAACGGTGTGAACTTGCCCAGATTTGTGAATCCGTTTAACAAATCGGATAATCCCTTCGGCATCCAGGAATCGTTCTACTCCATGTACCCACAGGGTGATGCGAATACTATGTCGGACTCGTCTCACGGTTTTGAGGACTCCTCCCTTTCCCATTTCCATCTCCAGCAACAGCAGCTGGCTCTTGCGTTTGCAAATGACTCCGCTATTAGTTCCCATATTCACTCCATGACTAACTTCCAACCTAGTATTGGTAGGGAAATGCACTTCCAACACCCTTCCATGAAAGAAGAAAGTGACAGCCTTTTTGTTGCCGACCAGCTTGACTTGAGCATGTACCTCATCCCAGGCCGTCTGGACATGCCAATGATTGGAGTCAACTATTTTAACGGGTGATCGAGCTTATGGTCTCGCTTAAGTCGTTTTTAAACCCATAATCGCTAAATCCTTCAGTTTCCAAGTTCTGGAAATTCTTGCATCGACCTTTCCCTTTACTCTCAATGCACTATGTCGCAATCTGAAAACTAATTCCACCTTCTATTCCCCCATTGTCGCTGATCTACTCCTGGATCAAGCCCAAATCCTTCACCTTTTCTTCCGTGCGTTTACTCTTTTTTTTAAAAAAACTCCTTTAATTTGTGATAAATCTTCGACCCAAGTTCCAAGTTAATACTGATAACTTATGGAAAGGAACGCGACTTGTATACTTTTAATACCTATTTTCTATTGATTTCATTAGATATCACAGTTATAGCACATAAACGAAACACGGTGCTAGTTCTACGTCCTTTCTCCCAGGCGTCGCCCCTTAAGCACAGCCAGATCAACCAAAACACCCTGGTTTTGTGTTGCTCGTTTAGTTTTCCCCTGATAGCCGCATTTGTAATTTCCATTTTCCAGGTACGCTCGAGACATACGTCTCCAGAAGATCTGCATATCCAGCACGGAGGTATGTGGGTTTGGGGGATGGCGGTTAGTGCTGAGTTCTCCAAATACTACTTCCATCTATGTTGAGACGATATTGAAGATATTAATATCGTTCTGTTAATTTATGAAACTACACGCCTGAGTTAATGTGCCGGGGATAAATAGAGTTTTCGCGTACTTTAATGTCCCGCCTTAACCCCTTTTCCACTATTTTGATCGGCATGCAATTCCAGATTTTAACTCTGCGTGTTACAGCCGCAGACATTTTATGGTGCGATGTTTCGAACCCATGAATGGAACTCATGACTTTATATGCGAGACAGCACAGTCAGAAATTTCATATTGTTATGGCGGAGGCCAAAAAAAGTGGCTGAAAGGGGGGCAGTGATGAATTAGGAGCTACAAATGAATTACAACGATACGACTGGGATGTTCCGGGCGATGAGGTATGAGCTACTTAAATTATATACCGAAAAGAGCCCTAGGTTACATATTTGCAGGTAAAAAATAATAATAAAAAAAGCTATCAGATCTTATTTGAAGATTCTTTCTGCCAAAAATATGCTTTTGAAGTATGTTATAGCAAGTGTAAATGGGTTTACATATTTAGATGCTGCCTTATGACTCTTTTAGAAATTCCAAACCCTCAATTAGTGGTCCCTTGGCCCAGTTGGTTAAGGCATCGTGCTAATAACGCGGGGATCAGCAGTTCGATCCTGCTAGGGACCATTTACTTTTTTAAAGGCAAGCTCTTTCCCAGAGTTCGTTGCTAGTGGGAATGGCACTTAGACTGACCTTCATCATACGTTTACGCCGTATCTAGATACAAAATCTATTAACTATTTACTAAATGAATGCATTGGCAAATCAGAGCTCATCCACCATCTTCTGGTTTTTCTCGTTTTGCTTCTTCTCAGCCTCCAATAAAGCCTTCTTGATGGATGGGGTGACCCCGCCGCCGATCTTGGAGGCCCAGTTTCTGGCTCTCTCAAACCCGTTAGAAGCTCTCTGATAATCGTCGAATGCCTTGTATATTTTTTCCTTGGTGGTCTCGACAAATGGCCCATGCTGCACGATTGGCTGGTCAAGGACCTTGCCAGCAATAACGACAAATCGAGTCTCCTCATCGCCACCTTCAGGGACAGAACCGACAATTCCTTCACCATCACGCTTGAAGAAGACAGAATGGTACTGGGGAATGTGCTGCCCACCCAAAGTAAGACCGGGGCCGGAGAGAATGTATAAAAAGGCGTTAAAGTCCTCGGGAATATTCTGTTCAAAAGACCCTCCTGGTGCAACACTGTAGTCGTAGTATTCCACCGGGGTGTAAGCCAAGTCCTGGACAGACTTGACCCCGTAAGACTCACCGGAGATGACCTTGATCGTGACCTTATCGTTGGGCTTGGCAATTGGAATTTCAGCTGCACGCAAGTCTCTGTACCGAGGCTCACACTCCTTCAACTCGGCGGGCAAATCGACCCACAACTGCATCCCAACGATGGGGGCGCCATCTTCCAGAGGGATTGGCATCTCGGCGTGCACGATACCTCTACCGGCGGTCATGAACTGCAAATCTCCCAGTCTCAAGATCCCGGAAGAGCCGGTGAAGTCGTTGTGCGCGAATTCACCTGACATCATATAGGTGATGGTTTCCTGACCCCTGTGTGGGTGATCAGGAAAGCCGGCCTTAGGGTCAACATTGAAGTGGTCCAACATCAAGAACGGCGTAAAGTTTCTCATGCCCATGGTCCCGATGGTACGGCGAACACGGGCGCCGACACCTTCAGCCTGCTCGAGAGCAAGGAAGAACTTTAAAATACTGCGGGGCGCAACCATATCGGACATATGTAATTGTTTGTGGGTTTAGTGAACTAGAATGTTGGTTTGTTTTCTTAAAATGAACCTTGAAAAACAATTGAGAATTGGAAAGGGGGATTTGAGATGTATTTATATTCCTACCCCAGGCTTGGAATATTCACAATTTTTTGTACATCGAGTCATATTTAGTAAGAGTGCGGCTCAGGTACTCCATCTGATAAGCATTACGTAAAACAAGTAGAGTCCGGCACGCAGCCGCGAGAATGTGTAAGCAGATTTATGTATAACATTACTGAGCGAGAACGGCCAAATTCCCCGGACAAGCATGTAAGCCGTTAGTCTGGATGGGGGTACGGAGACAGACTTGGATGGGGTGTGGAGACAGACTTGGATGAGGTATAGAGAAAATGGAGTTAGGTAACGTCAAAGGGCAAGAGTTCTGTTGATTAATAAGACAACAAGGCCGATTACTAATTATTTTGTCAGTCTATCAGGATATGACATAAGCCCCGTACTTCGAGCGTGTCTTGTATATCAATTAAAAGTAAAGGTCAAAAATAGCTAGTGGGTACTCAGGCGAACATGCCGTGATATAACCAAATCTGGTTTTATCCGCATGTGCTTGAATAGTTGTGCTACGAACAAAGAAGATCTATCGTAAAATACAACTATATAATAACTTAATACAACTATACAATAGCTTAATACACCGCTCAGCATAAATCAGAGCTCCTACCGTGCTGTCTACGCCTATGATATATCCCGAGTATAACATTCTGCCCCTCTCTTTCTCAGCTACCGCTCGGGCATACCCGCACACGTACTTTCATTTGCCGAGGTCGTGTGCAGCCCCCGCTTACATAAGCTTACTCCACCACGTGAACCTTTTTTCATTCTCCAATCCCGTGTGCACAGTTCTGTTAGCGAGTACAAAAAAATCTCCACCAACGACCCTTAATCTCCGTTTCCCTCTGCACTCACAAATCACACACAACATGTTCAGATTAGCTGCTGCCTCTACCTTCCGTGCCGTTCGTCCAGTCGTCCGTGCCCAGCCAACCGTGGTTTCCGCCTTCCGTTTCTACGCCGCCGAAGCTTTGACCAAGGAAGCTGTCTCCACCAGAGTCTTGCAAGTTGTTAAGAACTTTGACGGTGTCAAGGCTGCTGAAATCACTGCTGCCTCTTCTTTCACGAAGGACTTGGGCTTGGACTCCTTGGACACGGTTGACTTGTTGGTGTCGATTGAAGAAGAGTTCGACATTGAAATCCCTGACAAGATTGCCGACGAATTAAAGACTGTTGGTCAAACCATTGACTACGTCGCTGAACAGCCAAACGGTAAGTAAACCGCTGCATTTGAACCGCCTGGACTGCGTACTAACAACCTTCTAGCTGCCTAAGTCACCGCTTACGCTCATTGATTCCCTCCCCATTACCGTCTTCGATTTTTGTATATATTTATATAAATTGTTTTCCATTTTAGAATACAAAACCGTTTATCTCTGCTTGAAACTAGATGAGTGAAGGAAATACAGGCCCTTGTCAGCAGCGGAGTATATTGTCCGCGCACCGTTCTCGATAAGATGAGTAATGGTTTAGGTAATTTCCAGGTCAGGAGCAGTTGCTGAGCTAACCCATCTCCAGAGCTCGCCAATTTAGTATTCTTCCTGTATCACGTAACCCCCCATACGAAGCAAACTTGTCGCCAAGGTCGTGTTCTCTCTGCCATTGTGCGGCGCATATTTATAAGCAGGATTTAGGGTCAGCTAAAATTAAGCCATATATCAACGGCACCTGTGGCCGACTCCATCTATTTCCTTTGTATACGCCCTCCCATTTTTCGCTCTCCTGCTTTACCCCCTAAATGTCTAAACTCCAACCTGAAACCTCTCCATCGCGTGATGAGACGGTGCTTGCTCTTGCGACAGAAAACCTAAACATAGAAGAGCTCTCCCACTCGGAGGACGAAGGTGCCGTGGACGAAGATGACCTTAACCCAGAAGACGAGCCTTTGCCGATTGAATACCCAGGAACCGTAATCCCGGACAATAATCCCGAATCGATTGAGGCCGACACGGACCTCACGGCTGATATGGACCCGGGCACTGACTACATCAGTCTCATCCAGTTGAAGATCCTGTCCATCGAGGACCTCCACCTACAGAGATTCCCTAAACTCGAGGCGTTGTGTCTCCGCCAGAACTTGATCACCTCGATTAATGCATTGAAACACGTCAGCCGCGAAACGTTAATGGAATTGGACTTGTATGATAACAGGATTGACCACGTTTCCAAGCACACCAACGAGCTTGTGAACCTCACCACCCTCGACTTTTCCTTCAACAAGATCAAGAATATAAAGAACGTCGACCGGTTGGTGAAATTGGTGCACTTGTACTTTGTGCAGAACAAGATCTCCGAAATTAAAAACCTTTCCACGTTGACCAACTTGCGGAACTTGGAGTTGGGAGGTAACAGGATCTCCAAGATCGAGAATTTAGACACCCTAGTGAACTTGGAACAGTTATGGCTCGCAAAGAACCGCATCACCACAATGGAAAACATGTCCAGCTTGCAAAACTTGAGGATATTATCGATCCAGTCGAACCGGATCACCCAGATTTCCGGCTTGGAGGGTTTAACCAACTTGGAGGAGCTTTACATTTCGCACAACAAACTCGAGCGGATTGAGGGTTTGGAGCACAACCTCAAGTTGACCACGTTGGATGTGACCGGTAACAAGATTGCCAAGTTGGAAAATTTGTCGCACTTGACCGAGTTAACCGACTTGTGGGCTTCGTATAACGAAATCGACTCGTTTGAGAATATCGGTAGGGAGTTGGGGAAGTTGCCAAACTTGGAAACGGTATACTTTGAAGGGAACCCGGTGCAGAAGGAAAACCCTGTAGCCTATACGCGCAAGGTGAAGTTGTACTTGGGACCAAGTTTAACCAAGATCGATGCCAACTATATTAAGTAGACTTTGTGCTGAAAAAAAAAAATGATGCGTTTTAAATATTGTGACGGAGTAAAAGGGTATGTGTTTACGTAAAACCGCTGTCTAGCATGATTGCCGTCCTACAATCGTCTAAAGTGGCATCCCGTTGTTTCTTGGGACTCTGAGCTGTAGTAATGTGTGGGTCTGGGTAAATATGTTTGCATAAATAGGTTTGAAGCTCCACTCAAGAATTCTTACTAGTGATGCTAGAGACTATGGAACGCCGCCCCTGCCGCCTTGTATGTAAGAAGCTTCCAATTTAGACTCCGCGCATGCGTACTGCATACGATCATCTGAGGTAAATACAATGGTGTGAAGAATAAGATCCTGTTCATTAATCTGTGTATTGAAGGTGTTACTAAATGCTTAAGGGAGTTGAATCTTGAAGAGACGGTGGTTTACAGAAGCAAACCTCGCATCAAGACCGATTTCACTTCCTGGGGTCAGCTATAATCCTGAAAAGTCACTCCCCCGGAGGAAAAACATATTACCTGGTGGAGTTAGCCCTTGAGAGAATGTAATCTTGAGCTCTTAACTTCAACTAACTCAACTACTCACCAAATCTGGCCCTCCCGTATGCAATTCTACTCAGAATATGGGGCATGGCTTAGATCGAACGGCCTGCGCTTGAAACTTTGAAATTCATGCCTCTACCCGCAAGCTAGTTTCACAACTTAGTCTAACTTTTATTATTGACCATAATCTCTTTCATCGTTAACTATAATCTCTTATTTATCGTAATCTCTAAAATTCAAGTAGCTTACTCTGAACGTCAAATCTCAATCCTCTACGTAACCCACCAACGGACTCTGCACCCCCAATCCGGTTACGTGCCCTGTTCTAACATACCGCCCTGGCTCATGCAGCCGCCTCGTCTGGTTTCTTGCCAGATCGCCGGATCTGACGCTTGCAATTTAGCTCGTTATGCCATCACGGAGTCGGTTAGCGCTATTGCCTGTTTCTCCTCTACATATAACGCTCCCCTTCCTTCCTCCTCACCTTTCACTGTCATAAACCAAATCGAAATATGAGCTCCTGGAAACCGTTGACCAGTTTCCTCCACGGGAAAATGGTGAAGGCCTTTTTGCCATGCGACAAGCACGCCAACCTCCCACCCGTCTACACCAACATCTATCCAGGTGACGACATCTACGTCTTTGAAACCCAAGGCGACAAGTGGGGCCGTGCCTACGTTGCCACGTTCCCGTTCCCGCACGAGTTCTCCGTCACCACCATCGATTTGGACCGCTTGCCGGAACCAAAGATCATTGTCGCCATCATCCCGTTGTCCCACATGAGACTCATTGAGGAGATCCCGGTTACTGACAACGACAAGATCTTCTTGTCAACCAACTCGCACGCCTTGACGCCAACTATCTTGGACATCGAGCTCGGCAATGACGCCGCCGTGAACGGCCAGGAGAACGTCCACAACAAGAAAAAGGGACGTCCTCCGTTGCCGATTCTCCGCGTGGATCACTCAGACCTTCCAACCGAAATCTCCGCCGCCATTGTGTCGTTGAACAACCACATCTATGCGTTGTACGCCATGGGTGAGTTCAACTTGTTCCATAAATTGACCCACTTGTACAACGAGCTTGATGAGTTGCGCATCAAGATCACCTACACCTTGTGCACTAGTTCCGAAATGGAGGCCGCCTTTAAATTCGCCGCCGTGATCTTGGGTAAGATCTCGAAGTTGCTCGGGCTCCGTGACTTGAAGAGCTCCCAGAACAACTTCACCGCCAACTCCGACACCCAGGGGTATGAGGCGATCCTTGCCAGAGACGCCAACACTGGTGAAATGTTCGACAAGTCCAACCACCCGACACCCGCTATCATCGCGGCCAACCAGTTGTTGTTCGCGTTGACACCAAACTACCCGATCACCGACTCCATCGTCTCGTCGCTTGCGCCGTACAAGAACAAGAAGTTGATCAAGGTGCCTCCATCCCACATCCTCGTGGACTTCAAGGAGGTCGAGGGTGAGCACCACTTGACCCCCTCGGGTTTCTCTGGGATGACCGCGTATCTCTATCTTCGTTCGCAGAAGAAGCGTCTTACTGAGGCCTTTGCGATCCATATCGACCCCTCCCAGCAATTCTCCCTTGAAAACTTGTCTGCAGCGCTTTTCAAGAACATTCCCGCCACCGAAATCGATACCGGCCGTATCTACTTGGTTGCCGTGTTAACCGAGGACATTATTGTGAACAAGACCATTCGCACCATCAAGCAGGGGATCGCCGCCGGTGTGACCGACATCTCGCGTATCTTCTCGCGTCACAAGGGGGCTTTGGCCTCTGGGGAGGCCCACAAGTTCAATATCCGTTTGTACGGGTCGCACTTTGCCAACAGCGGCGAGCAGACAGCCGCTTTGGTGGACCAGAACAACGGATGGGGTGAACTTGTGGACCGCATCATTTCCGGTTCCAACAAGGGTATCGCCATCAACCCGCGTGCCAGAAAGCTCACTGTTTCCGTCAAGGAGTTCAAGAACGAGTTGATTGGAGACGATTACGAGGTTACTCAGACCAAGTTGAACTCGGTGGGGGAGGAGATTTCCTCCAACCCAATCGCCCCGATCCGCTCCTTCTACTACGATCCGTTGGGGAAGAACTACGAGCGCGTGTACATGCGTGTGGGTAAAGTCCAGTTGTTAGGAGCCGGTGCCCCTCGTGACGCCTTTGTCACCATTGAGATTTCCACCTCCAATCGCCACGTGTCCTTCGCCAAGGGTACCAACCAGAAGCCAGAACAGACCTGGAGGTTCGTCTCCACGCGCTGTTCCGAAGCGGTGGGTGAAATCATCAAGATCAACGGGATTGAGCACTTGTCCAGCTCCGATGAGCGGGTGAAAATCACCTGTTACGTCAACGGTGACGTGTACGGAACCAATACGCTCAAGATCAAGGAGAGTGGGTACATTGTAGTCAACGAGAACGGGCTCACCTTCGAGATGCACTCTTCCGCCGGCCAGCCAACCGCCTCCGTGGAGTTGTACACCGAGTACATCGGCAAGACCTACAACATCGATGCCGCCGTCAAGTCCATCCTCACGTGGGAGTCCAATCCAGCTACTTTCCACACAATGTTGGACATTCTCTCTACCAAGTTCAGGCGCATCGAACTCTCATCGTACATCAAATACTTCCCCGAACTCGTCTGCAACCTCCTTAAGCTTTTGAAGAAGGGTTCCGACGACAACACCCCGGCGTTGCAGAAGGAGGCCTTCCAGGCGTTGGTGCACTTGCTCGATGTGGTGGTTGCCAGACAGGACCAGTACGTCTACTTGTTTGATAGCTTCGTCGAGCAGGAAACCCAGCATTCCACCTTGCCTTTGATTGGCCACAAGGTGTGCCTGCTCATGGGTGAGGTGTTCAAGAAGGCCGACACCGAGTGGAACCACGTGGGGAGAGCGCTTTGCCGTGTGGCCTCTCTTCTCTGCCAGATCTCCGTCATGGCTACCGCCGAGGAGAACGCCACCGAGTTTGTTGAGGACACCAAGATTATGTTGTGGTCGTGCAACCGCTTCTTGAAGATGCCGGGCGAGGGGTTGATTGCGGACCAGATCTTGATTTTGGACGTGATTGACTACTGCTACCACACCTTTGCCAAGTACTTCCCTCGCCAGCGCATTGCCTATATCGTTAAGCAAACCGCGGATGCGTTGGGCACCCGTGGCCTTGGAACCAAGGACGCCACCTCGGCCGTGACCAAGAAACGGTCCAAGGAGCACGGCTTGGTCATCGCCAAGATGTTACTTATCCGCCGCTTGCTTGACTCGTGGTTGTTGGACACCGCTGAATGCCGCAACATTTTGATTGTGGACGCCTTGGACTGGGCGTTGCAGGTATTGACCCACCTGTCGGTGGATGTGGACGCTGCCCGCTTAGCCAACGGTGTGTTGGCGAGAATCTTCACGATTGTGTGGGACGAGATTGTCACGCCCGAAGACAAGTCCGGAGACTACATCTGCTACGGTATTGCCAGACTTCTCCCGGCGCTCTCCAAGATTTTCAACGTCTACCTCGACTATTGCCGCAACAACGGTCTCTTTAAGGCAAAGAGAACGTTCTCCCAGTTGTTCCCGTGCGAGTATCCGTTCAAGGACATTACGATGGATTCCATGGTCAACGCCGAGGTTTTCGTCGAGGTGTTGATGGAAATGGCCACCTTGTTTGCGTTTTCCGCCAAGATCGGTGCATATATTGCCGGAGAGGCCGGATTTGTGGGTATCTTTGCCAAGATCTCGCCCCTGGACGAGATCTTTGTGTCTGACTACTACATCAAGGTGTTTGCCGACAACGACATCTACGGGCTTATCAGGACGGTCAAGCACCTCAACCAGGCCAAGTTCTTCCCACGGCAAAAGTGGTTGTCGCTCCACGCGGTGTTGTCCGACGCTGGTGTAACCGCGTTCGAGTTGTTGAAGCGCAAGATGCTCAAGTACTACATTCCGTCGGTGGAAAACTCGGAGCAGTTCAACCGCTCACTCTGGGGAAACTACCTCAAGACGTTGTTCAGAATTGGGCACTCCATGCCGGTTTCGATCTGCCACTTATCTGAGATTCCGCGTAAGGGCTGTTGGAAGATCACCGGTGATATCAGAGACAGAGTGGCCGTCATGGTTGAAGACTGTTGGGCCGAGCTCGGGTGGGATTCCTTGCCGGAGGATTATGCCCGTTTCCACTTGGCCAAGGTTGGTGGATACCAGTCGGAGTTTATCGTTGCCGACTACGGTATCCTCCAGGACTTGATATTCTACTCCTTGCAGAGACACACCCATTCGCAATCGCTTGGGGTGGACGTGCTCTGGTCGTTGATTGTGTCCGAGTTGCTCGTGTCCGAAAACTTATTGGGCTTCGAAAAGGAGTGTATTATTGGGTTGTATGACATTTACCACAGTGAGAACTACAAGCCAGGCAGGTACGAGCAAAAAAACTTGATCAAGTTCTTAAAGTCTAAGCGGGTCGACCCCGAGGATGAGTCGTACCCTGTGATCCACAGCTTCATCAACTCGCTTGCGGAGTTTTTGGAAATCTTGGATCACTTGAACAATGTGCCGCTCGGTGACGAGTTTGACGATGACAGAACCTCGCACAAGCTCAACATCAAGGGGCTTTTGATGAACGTGGAGAAACCAGAGTTGTTGCAGTCTTTCATCAACGAGATGTACGAGAACAACATTGCCAAGTCAAACTACATCCAGGCCGCCTTGTCGATGAAGTTGCTTGCCGACACCATTGACTGGTCGGTAAGCGTTATGCTCCCGGCCAGCTATAAGCCGGATTTCCCAGCACAGTCCTCGTTCAAGCGTAAAGAAGCCTTGTTTAACACCATTGCCGTCAACTACGTGAAGGGTAACCGGTACGAAAAGGCGTTGGAAATATATCTTGAGTTGTGTGAGGCTCACAACACCCACACCTTGGACTTGAAGTCGCTTTCGGACATCCACCACAAGTTATCGAAGATTTACGCGGACTTGGAGTCCTTGGACCGGCTTACGCCATCCTACTTCCGTATCGCCTTCATCGGTTCCGGTTTCCCAAAGAGTATCAGAGGCAAGCAGTACATCTATGAGGGGTTGCCGTTCGAGCACATCACGTCGATCCATCAGCGTTTGTTGAAGATCCACCCGGGTGCTAGAATCATCACCACCGACGAAGAGGCCAAGTCCTTCCTTGCCAATGAGCAAAACGGGAGATACTTGCATATCACCACGGTAGAGCCTTCGAGAGATATCAACACCAACTTCTATTCGCTTGGCCACAAGCGTTTCGCCGAAAACAAGGACTTGAAGTTCTTTACCGTGAAGAAGCGTTTACCGGGCTCCACCTCCGTGCTTGATTTCTGGTCCGAAGAGACCACGTATGAGTCTGAGAAGACGTTCCCAACTTTGATGAACCGCTCGGTTATTGCCAACATTGCCACCGTGAAACTATCGCCGATTGAAAACGCCTTGAGAAGTTTCTCCGACAAGATCGGGGACCTTAGAAGCGTGTTTGAGTTGGTTAAAAACACCATTGACGAGGGTGGCGACACCTCTGTTGTGTTTGGTGAGTTGTCCAGACAATGTTCCGGTACGATCGACTCGCCGGTCAATGGTGGTGTGCACCAGTACAAGTTGTTCTTCAAGAACACCGCCAGCGAGGATCCAAACTACGCGTATCAACTTGAGTTGTTGAGAAGCGGGTTCACCGATTTGGCGATTATCTTGAACCGTTTGTTGACGCTTCACGGTAAGCTTGTGCCGGTCCAGTTGAAGGCCTCGCACAACTCGATGGTGGAATTGTTCCACAAGAACTTTAAGGATGAGTTGGACGAGTTGAAGAACGACCCAGACTATGACGGGAGCTCGTTCATGGACCGATTCGTTGGTGACAGGTCTTCCGTGCTTCCAAGCACCAACAGCAACATGTCGTTATTGGGCAGAAGCATGGCCGGGAGCTCTGCCCAGTCGTTGATTTCTGGTTCCAGTGGGTCTAGTGTAAGCAGACGGAACGGCTACAGATCAACCATGATCAGAGACTAAGAAGTTTGTTTTTATTTAATGTTTGTTTTTATTTTGCGTAGCTGTGAGTAGAGGGTGTAAATGGAACCCGGGTTGTTAAGCTAATAGGATTGCTGGCGCCCATGTCTTGAAGGGTCGGCTACGCTATAATTGAACAGTCAATGTGTTGCTCTAGCTCTGGTACGCTTCTTCGGCATGATCATTGTACGTCGGCATTTAACTTCAATAATAGAGGTTCCAATTAGCTCGAATATTATTTCTGACCTTTCAAATGTCAGATTTACTTTCCAAGGCAGACATCGTGCGTTTCTTGAGCATAAAAAATTGCCATGAATGGTTTCAGTAAAAACAATGCGCCAGCCCGGAATCGAACCGGGGGCCCAACGATGGCAACGTTGGATTTTACCACTAAACCACTGGCGCTTGCTCATGAAATTGGGGAGGCAGGTACTGGTCTATAAAGGTATGGGGGTTTCGGGGACTATGATTTGTAATTTTAGGGCCCATTGGAAGATGACTGAAGGTTTGTCAACACAACAAATGAGAATTTCCTTTCCATACTGATAGTTCTGTTGATATATTCCATATATACGATATGGGTGTACGTTATTTTTATCATATATGCGCATATTACCTTTTCCATATACATATATATGTATTGGCTGGGATTTATACAACCATAATAATTCCCAAATAAATAAAATAGCTATATTCATGCTGTTGATCGATATCTCAATCTATAATCCCACCACGTGACCAAAGATATTTCTCTATCTAGAACCAGCCCTAAAAAGCACATCAGTCTGGATCTCTTTAAAACAATATTAGCTTGGTTGAGGTTTAAAAAGTACAGGGTTTTAAAAAGAAGTACAAGATTTTAAAACCCATCGACAAGCGAGGTTGCGTTACCTTCACCGGCGTAGGGTTAATGGTGTCAACCCTCCTGGCTCAATCATTAATTACCATTTTATTACTTATTCCCGCAGCCTGGAAAAATTCACGGAAACCTCGGCCTTGCCATTGTGTAACCCGTTTTGGCGCCGTTTGTTCACAAACGACAAGCCTCGGATGTTCCCTTCGAGCCTGGTGTTGGGGCTGTTCGTATCGTAGTCATCCTTTTCGAGCAACTCGTCGTTGTTTCCCAAATACAAAATCTTGATTATGTTGCCGAACCCCACGACAACCGATTTGTGACCAAACCGTTCGATCTGGTTGATGCGCTTGACCAAGAGCGAGGGGTTCAGCGACAACCCGGGCACACAGGGAATTTCGTGGTATGTCACTTTCCCCGTCGCTGTCATCGTGAATCCTTCCCAGGTGTCGGAGATCTGCACAGGCTGGGAGTCTTTGGGCTTGGCACGTCGGGATCTCAACTCAGACGACCGAAGGGCTGAAGAATGGGTCTCTGATTTTACAGCCATAGCGGCTTGTTTGCGCTTCACAATTCCCACGATCATGTTCATGTCGGTCAAATTCCAGCACTCGCTACCCTCCAACCAATGCTGCTGCTCGGTTACGGAGTCAAAACCAAGACATCTGGTCTCTCTGGGGTCCCTCTCCACTCTCCAACAGATGTTGTTCTTGGCTCTGTTTTCGATGGAAAAGGTGTGCATAATGACCGTGTTGGTATCCAATTCGGTGTACACCAAGGAGAACGACCGCACAGAGGCACAACCACAGAAACGGCAATGCTGGGGCTCGGAGTGGAATACTCTAAAGGAGTTCTTGACAAACTGGCCAATGTTGAACTTGCGGACCAATGTTCCCGTTTGCACGTCGATCAACTCAGCCACCAAGTCACGCGTACGTACAATCATCCCCACAAACGACACGATGGCGATCGTGGAGGTGGTCAAGTTATGCAGCGGAGGCTCCACCGGGGTAAGCGTGCTCAAGGAGGTTTGCGAACCGGTAACGTGGAACGGACGGTACTTGGAGCCGACCGAGGAGTGGCGTGACATGGCCGCGGGGGTCAAAAGACTCTGTCCTTTGTTGTACTTCTCTTCTTGTACCAACAACTTTCGGAACTTCCACTTGTTGTTCACCGATGTCGCCACCATGATTATCCCGTTGGACACCTGGCAGATCAACCGGTCGGAGACCCTGGCAGACGTCAAGCGTCTCGCTGACACCAAGGCCTTGGAGCTGGTGATGTTCTCCTCGGAGACCTTTCCGTCATCGCAGGAGATGGTGTACATTGCCCCGTTCTTGGCCATAACGGTGAGCTCCATGAGCTCGAGGTCTTTGCCTTCCTCCAGCCTCTCAGCCCGAATCGACGCCCCCAGGAAAGACTGGTCGCTGGTGGTGCGATGCAACTGGGACCTTTCGCGCTCTTCCAGCTCCAATTGCAGTTTTTTCTGCTTTTCAAGCAACATCTTGCGCTGCAAAAACGCCGGGATGGTTTTGCGACGAAAGAAACTCTCGAGAGGAACTGATCCTTTCAAGCCCTCCAAAACCACCTGCCAAATAAACCGCTGGGCCAGGCGCGAGTAGCAGGACACCAACCCACTCTTGCTGAATAGGGCAATAGTGTTCCCTTGGTTGCCAAGAACGACATGTACCACCGGCCAGACCTGGCTCTGGATCGGGAGCGGGAAAGGTGAGGGGATGGGGTCAGCTATCGGCGACCACACCATCACCTTGTGATCCAATCCAATGGTGACAACGAACGGTGAGCCAGAAGACGTGCTGATTTTGAGAATGTCCAAGTAGTGACCGCCCACTAAGCGCTTTTCCGAGAAGGGTTCGTCTCCAGGGGAGTCTGTCATCTCAAGGGTGTTGTCTTTGGTGAGGGAGCCCCCCATATAGCCCGATGATTCTTTATTGACCTTGACTTTGAGGACCAACGCGTTGATAGCCACCACAAACACCAACAGGAGGAGAAACTCCAAGCGGTGCCAGGCATCGAAGCGCGAGGAGCTCTCCAAGGTGTAGGAAAAGTCCAAGCCGTCTGTGAGTGCCACCACTGGCGAGTCGAGCCGGATGGTTATCGGTCTGGTAAGTTTTGTTTTGAGGAGGTTCACCAAGTAGAAGCAGAGCGCGCGTCTCTTGGTGGCGTCCGCAAACGGTCCGACAAGCAGGCCGGTATCCGCCCCATCACTGCCACTATCCCGGATCCACTTGGAAATTACCGCGAACGCGCACCCGAACATGAGCATCGACTGGGGGACATGGCCCGCAAGCGGTGCACGAACTTTTAGCAAATACTGGCCCAAGATGTGGCGCGGCGAGGAGCGCGAGGGTTTGTTAGTAGAGTAGGACCCCATGAGTAACGCTGCAAACCCCCCGTTTTTCGGCCTGCGACTCAAGCTCGTGGAGCTGTTGCCATCGTTCTTGAGGAGGTAGTCGAGATCGATGCGGCGGATGTCCACGCTCAACACGGCGGTGAAGAATGTTAAGTGGAGGAAGTGGTCGACGAGGAGCCCCACCACAAGAAACACACAGTACTGCTTGACGTTCGCAAAGGGGCCACTGAAGGAGAGACAGCCGTAAACCGTGAAAAACATTGTCACAAGCGCCGCAACGGTGAAGGAGGAATTCACACAGCTGCGGCCCATGGCCTTGGCGAGAATTGTGTGCACAGGAAGCTCCTCGGGCAACAGGCACGAGTAGCCCACGAGGCGGAACATGTTCTCGGCACCAACCCAGAGCACGAGGATGACTAGCATCAGTACAGGCACCGTCTGGTCGTAGTTACTGGAGAAAAGGAGCAGAGCGGTGCCAGTGTCGAGGTGGCGAAGCACCCATTTGGTGATGGTGATGGTGCAGAGCACGGCGAGGAGGATCTCCGTGCCGAATGCATTGAGGAGCCCGAGTCGCGACTTGATGGTATGGAGGTTGGAGAGCGAAGTGAGAAACCACACGAGGAAGCTCGCGTAGAACGCCCAGAGGAGGAGTTTCTCTGGCACGCTGAGCATCTGGCTGAGATGTAAGGAAAAGACCGAACTCTCCAGTTCAGGCTTGAGGAATACAAAGTGGGTATCCAGAGCTCGGACGTTCTGCAAGTTGCGCTCCCAGATGCGGCCCGCCTCGCCGCGGTACACGAGGCAGATATGTAACGCCTGCGCTTGTTTCATGATGCTGTTGACTTTGGTGACGCCGGCTAGGTAGACATCACTCCTGTAGGATTTCTGGAAGTTGATCGATTTGAGGGGTATGTTGTCGTTCGCGAGGGCTGTTGCCGAGTTGTTCCAGATCAGAAACGGTGTGAGGAGGTATGCTGTGTCGTTAATGTCGTTAGGTGTGAAGGTGATGCCGGCCGTCAACTGGTTCTGGAGGCAGAGCGCCGCCACGAGGAAGTCCTTGTCTAGTACGTTGGTTTTGGACTGGATCCATAGCTGTTTCGACGCCATGTCGGTAGGATGATTTAGATACGGCTGTAGCAGCGACGTGTGTACAGTCACGAAGGACGTGATCTGGTTGGATACCGCGAGGTCGATGGGGCTCATGTAGAGGTCGTAAAGCGTAGGATACGCGAGTATGAATGCGAGCGACGACGGTATGAGAATAAACATCTTGGGGTTGAGCGCAATGCGTTGTGAAAGGCGGCGGTAATACGCTACCATACAGGCGCGCACTAGCATATAGTAGCGCACCCAGAGGACTCTGATGGTTCGCCAAAGACTTAGAAGCATGTTTGCATATTAGAGGCTGAGCCGAGATCGAGTAGCTAGGGTCGATGGATTGCCAAAGCTTGAAATCGCCGAATAAGGTGGATAAATTCTCTAGCAAGGAAAAAAAAAACCAGATAAACGTTTGGTTCACCTAGAAAGACAAGATGTCGAAATTATCGGTACCGGAACTAGTCACAGAGGCAACCTTGGTGTGTAGTACGATAGAGGAATGGGTGGGTAAGGAGACAGGCGTCTAACGGTTGTGCTGCTGCGAATCAGTCGGGTAGAGGAGAATGGTGGGTGAAAATGCGGCTGTGGAGGCTGTAGAGATTGGCTTTGATATATATGCCAGTTCTGGCTTAGGGCGCTTGGTAAGAATTGGGAGCCAATGGATGGTACGGTTTGGGTCAGCTCTTCACCTTTGAGCCCTCGTTGCCTTTCGACCTTTTTTCCGACCACTACCCTGGGAGTTGGCCGGGATACGCACGACCATGCATCAGCACAGATCCAGAGTCGTCGGCGTGGACGTTTCGTCACATGTGCTACAAAAAAGAGCGCATATCCGCAGGAAGCAGAACTTCCGGTTCTCCGTCAAGACTATATTTAGGTGGATTTGCGTTTTGGGTTTTTAGGGTTTGTTATTATTGAGCAATTTATAAAAGCTCGACGACCCTTACAGCTTTTAGAGCAGTTAAAGGAAATTAAAGACGCACTCAAGTTATCGCTAAGATTTCCTGAACAATGCTCTACCAGGCTAGGACCTATTGCCCCAGATTTGTCACAAGTCGGGGCTCGTGGGTTTTTCCCAAAGATGAGAGCATGTGTCAGACTGCAGCATTTTGTGCGTACATTGCAGCGCCCTGCTCCGGCAGGTACATCTGTATACGAAATCTCGGGCTGCAGATTGGAAAGTATTGTCCCTTCTGTTTCTCTGTACGCCTAAGGGTGGAGACAGAAGGGGTAGAAAGTATGGCACTCCATTTAAATGGACTGTCCCGATGAATAGCGAGATTTTAAAGCGCCTCTATAACCATAGAGATAAGACTGGGATCGGTATTTCTTGGCGTCCAACACAGGCGTCCCTTGAATCTACTCCAGGGACGTCTACTATCGTTTTTTTAAAAAAAGTCTTGGCACCCCTAATACCCTTTGTAGCCATTTATATATTTATGCGGACCCACAATTTCAAGAGGATCAAATACTATATTTATCAACAGATCTAGGATGGTTAAAATCTGACTTAGTGGAAGCTTGGAATATAAGCATATAGCCATGGCCGTCCCATCGGGACTTGTAAAACGCCTATCTGAATAAAGAGCAAACTTTAACATCAGTGTTTACATAAATCAAGAAGGCAGAATAGATAAAACAAAAAAAAGGAACACGTTAATCCATAGTTTGAACAAAAACCTCGAGACATGGATCCTTGCTTTTCGGCTTACTTCAAAGCCCGGTCGGCGGGAGACGTTGTCTTTTCGCTCAGAAAATCCCTATCCTCACCATGGGTTATTTAGCACCCAAGGCACAGATGTTCAAACTGTTCATCTGCGCAAGCAAACCGTCGATCTTGGAATCCAAAACCCCGTTGACGTATTCGTCACGCGATTCCTGGTCCAAGTACTGCTGAATCTGCGCAAGACGAGTGTACCCCTCGGTACAGAACCTCAATTGAATCTTCACCAATGCCTCGAAGGACGCGTCGTAGAACGGAACCCTGACCGAAATCAATTGCGGTAACTCTGCCTTCAATTGCTCATTCAAGTCGTCGTAAATCTCTTTCGCTATTTGTAACTCCTTCTCGGCCCTAGGTAACTTTGCTGCGTCCTTCGCTGGCTTATCCACCAACCGTCTCACCTTGGACTTGCACTGGTCATAATCGGTCTTCTTGTTAGTGCGCTTCTTGATAGCCTCGTTCACCTCGGAAAAATACCCCGCAAAGGTGGAAACCGGGTCCAAAACTGTTTCTCTGAACGGCCCATCAAGCTGTTTGACGGTTTCTTCGTCGAATTCTCTCACACACTGGAGATACTGCTTCCCCGTATTGTTATAGACGGAGCCAGCAACGGTCGTTTCCTCGTACAAGTTGGCAATAATTTCGCCGATAGTCACCTGAGACGCGGTCACGGCTCTAAGGGAGTCCAAATAGGCCTTTGTTTCGGTCTGCAACATATTTCCGGCCTTTTCGAGCGTTCTGAAGCGCCTTTCCTCTGTGTCGTAGTCCTTGTCCATTGTTTTGTCGGTTGCCTTCACCATGATGGAGCCGCCAGTGCGGTTGAGTGCTTTCTTAAACCCTTCCCAGGACATGTTGTGTGTTGCGTGTTTGAAATGGGTGGGTAAGAGGAGAGCAGCGAGTGGGTCTGATTATTAATTGCCGGGGGTTAAGTAGGAATCAATAGCCTCGTTTGGTGGGTCGTGCACGTCCCTTTGGCATGAGAAGTGCCTGCGGCGAGAGATATGTACCGATATATTGTCCTGAATGGACTGTTCACTAAGTTTACACAGAATATAACAATGGTAATGAGAGTGAATGTATACTTCAGAGGAATTGATTTTACAAGTATTAAGGAAACGATGGGTGTGAGATTGCTAGCTGAAGAGTAGAGCTAGTATGTTTCATCTCGAAAGGTTGCTCCGCCACACAGTGTCTGTTCCCAGCAGGATGTCTATGCGAAAACCTGGCGTTTACTTTGTCGGGCGGGGGGTGTTCATTGTAAGGCTAGCCGAATGAGATCACTTTCAATCCATCATCTCAGTCCTTACATGACTTTGCCTAAACATTAAACTTATACTACATACGAGTAGATGGCAAACGTGAACACCCAAACACAGTACTCTTAGAAACCTTACAGCAAAAACAGCGACAAAAAAAATAATACACAGCACAGATCGACGTGGACACATGCAATTGTAATTGAAAAACAAACGGGGCTACTCATCAGCGGCTTCACACACCTTGATTTCTCTCCCCCACTCACTGTTCAAAATCTGCTTTCCGGTGATTCTTCTGCCAGGAATCGGATCCAAAATGGAGTAGATGACGTTTCTGCATCTCGCTCTCTTTAACGACTCAATCGGGTCATACCCCTTGGCGTCTCTCCGTTTCTCCAAGTAGGTCAGATAGAATTCGTCTTCAGCATTGGCTAACCGCCATAACTGCCTACCCGTTCGCATGGCCATGTAGATAACCCCACAGGCCCAGATATCCACCGCACGCGGATCAAACTCCTCCACCAAGTACTCTTCAGGGGCGATATAAGGTGACAGACCGCACACGCCCAGGGAGAAGTGGATTTCAGTCTCCCAAGCCATCCGGAAACACTCTCCGTTACCAAAGTCAGTAATTTTCAAAGTCCCGTTTGAGGTGAGCAACACATTTTCTGGTTTCAAGTCACGGTGTGCAACACCCATTTCATGCATGTAGTTCACGCCTCTGATGAGCTGCTTGAAGAAGCAGTCAGCCTCGGCAAACTCAAGCTTCCCTGCAGCGATAATTAAGGTGTACAAGTCACCGCCCGCACAATACTCCATGACCTCACAGTAATCACCCTTAGCATCCTGGAGCAAGTCCAATGTTTGGATAATGTTAGGGTGCTTGAGAGACGATGATATACAGAACTCCGAAGTCAAGCGTCTGGAGTACGTCTTGTCGGTTTCCTGCACCCTCCGCTTGAACTCTTTGACAGCAAACAACGTCTCACCCGAGGCTTTCTCCGACTTTTTGTGAGCTACACGCACCACCCCAAAAGCGCCCTTCCCGACCACCTCCTGGCATCGCCCGTACTTTTCGAAAAAGGAGCGGCTGTCCAGAGAGTTTGTAGGCGCGAGGGAGTGAGTAATCATCGGCTGCAGGGTCAGGTGTTGGTTCGGCGTAAACGGAGTCTCTTCGCCCTGTTTGACCTGGTTCACCAAGCCAGCGAATAGCGTTGGAGGAGCGGCGCAAGGTGGGGTGGCAACCCCCAGAGACGGCGTTCCCGAGAGGTTTGGAATGTGCGAAAGCAAGCCAGGAACAGCAGACACTGCCTCGTTTCGGAGCTTCTTCGCCCCCATCAAGTCCTTCAACATGCTTCCAAGCTTCTCTTGTCGCTTGGCACTCCGAAGATGGTGTTCGTGGGTACCGTCAGCATTGACAACAAACCTCGCCTTAGAGATAGAGGGGCCAGACTGGATACTGACGGCAGAGGACGCCTCATGGAGCTGGATGGGGCTCTTCACAGACGGAGCGCGGACTATGCCTTGCGCGGGAGATTTGTCGGAGGAGCCTCTCTGAGCCGTTTGCAGGGTGGATTGGGGGAGTTTTACCGAAGAGGCACGCAGAACCAGTGCGGACTGGGGCGGACTGATCTTGTGACCGCTCTTTTTCTCAGGTTCGCCCGAACTCTTGCGTTGAGCCGCAAAACTGAGCGCCGTTCCGTTCGCAGAACCGGCCGAGGCCACTTTAATGTCCAACTTCTTTGGTAACAGATCGAGCGACGTGGAGCTGTTGCTGAGCGATGTAGGGGTCAAGCTGGCTGGTGATGACACTATAACCGGGGTTCTCAGGGATACAGGCGAGTAAATCGAGCTCGGAGGCGCTTGAGGGGACGTTTCGGCAAGGTTGGTGCTGGAAACACCAAACATCTTACCAAGCTTAGACAATGTACCGGATCGGTGTCTGGTTTCGCCCATGATATGCAGAATGAAAGAAGTGAAAAATAGGGTTTATGAAGTGAGACGGGAATGGAACCGACAAAGAATTAAAGGGGGTAATAAATAGGGTGCGTGGAAGGGGAATGTAGAGAAGAAATGGAAAGGGTCGACGTTGGATAATACGCTTGAGATGTAGCTAGTGGCGGATGGAGGAGTACGGGGCGCTGACCTAGGGTAGCGTGCAACTTCGGCTAAGTATGGATGCTAGGATGGCACTAAGCGTACAAGCTGGAACAACGAACCGGACGTGATTCCAAAGAGAGAACGAACAAATACGCCTCTGATTAAAGGGGATGATAATAAGCTGGAGAGCTGTGCTAGAGATAATAAGGAATGTTTGAGGAAAAAAGAGGGGGGGCAACCGCTGGGTTTACAAATACATTTAAAATTGGGCGTTTACCCTCGTCTGTGAAATGCTTACCTACCAGAGCACTGAGAGCACTGCATATAAATACGTATGGGCCTGCGGCCTGAAGAGCAGTTTGTCTTGCATTCGTGCGAATTTTTTTCTCGCTCAGGAGGGAACGGGAGAATGTAATTGTGCAGCAGGCGGCACGCCGTACTAGAGAGGGGAGGCTCTGCGATCTTCAACTTTAATTACTGGATTCGTCGCGTTTTAGCATGAGTAAGAGGTTGCGGTGTATGTTTACAGTAGTTTGGTATGTATACACTCCAAACGTGTTCATTACATTTCCCTTTGATCATACGCAATTGTACCTATCCAGTTGAGCAAGATTGCGGAAAGAAAGTAAACAATCGTACCTTTTTATGGAGACCGACGATCTGTCACTCTACTGGTTTGGTTGGTATGCAGCTTGGTGCATTGAAAAAGTAGGTTTGGTAGAATTTTAATACCGCAACACGGAGTATCGCGGGAGCACCACCATGCGATACGCCATGAGCTTATACTAATCGCATACTGATCTGACAATAACCATCTCAATTTGGACCCGTCAGAGTTGGGCTTAGATTGCACATCTTCGTCGGGCTCCCTGATCTTTATTCGGGGTTTAAGTGAATCTGACCCTATTATTGGGTGAGCGAGAGGCCTGTCGCTCACGAAGGCGAAGCCTAAAAACCCCCCCGGAACACGTAGGGAGTAAATTTAAAATCTGGCGTTCCGCTTAAATTGGCCTGTTAGGCTTCCGTGCCTCCCCCCCCCCAGTACGTCTGGGCTCGAGTTTCCCAAACGGGAGGAGTGTCACGTGTGTTTGATTCCGTAAGCTAACTCGCCACACTTGCGTTATTACACCGAGGATCCAATGGCGCAGCCAGCATCGCATGTGCGGTGGATGCGGCGCGGGTATATGACGAGCAAGTCCTCCACGGCACAGTGCCATTCTGTACACACGCAGATAGCTACCAATGACAACAAGGTAAATAAGACCAAAGCAAACAGACACAGTGGTGCTACCAATATGCCGTGGTTCTATGGGGCAGACCGACCGGTAGCTGTGTACTTCTGACACGTTGGCCATAACCGTGTTTATCGGTGCTTTTCTTGGCAGTTTCACATAGCCTTGGTATCCATTTACGACCATACCCATGCATCAAATGCATGTGGGGCCCGGTGGCAAGGGGACCAGAGTAGGCCATAACGGTGCCAAGTATGTAAATCATGCAGGCTGTTAAGGATATGACGTCCCCAGGGTTTAGTCTTCTAGATCGATAGCTTCCTGGGTGGTTGGCCTATTTGCGAGTCGTACAACCGGTCATAATATAGACGACTCTCTTTCCAGTTAGCATGAGTGTCTTAAAACGAAGGATCATCTATGTGGGGGTTATATATCTGTACACTTTCGTCCATAAACGTAGGTCCATGATACTGTGGGTTCATCCACTTATTGTAGCTGACTTTGCAATGGCCCAACCTCGAACCCTATTCTCTGTTTCTGCTCGGGACCCATCGTCTGTACCCTACTTCAGTAACTTTATACAACCCATATAATACTCCCAACTTCACCTCATCGTGTTCTTTTCCATCCACAACCTTGGCATACGCATCCTGCTCGGGCACATCCACAAATGCAATAATCATATTTTTCTTCACACCCCCAACCACTCTGGCAGTTCCCGATATATCTACCCAGCGCGTGTTCCTGCAGCCCTTTTGGTTCTGCATAATAATGATCCCGTGCTCAGCGTGGGTGAAGGGCGGACCTCCTTTGTACAACAAGAAATCAGTGCCGAACTTGATTCCCGAGCGGACACACCACCCGAGTGAACGGTAGTGGTGGTACACGATGCATCTGATCAACTCTTCACAGTTGGCGCTTCCACTGACAACCATTTGGAGGACTGACCATGAAGTCGGTAGGGCCGGAACTTTTAGACAGCCAATTAGAGTAAGAAAGACAGCTTCACAGGGCATGAGTTGGAGGTACTCGAGCTGCGTAAGCTCACCCGTGACTGGGTGCACTAACTGAAGATCCTCCTCTCTGATTTCCTCGTCAATGGGTGTAGTCGCTAGCTTTACCGGCTTTTTCTGAAGGTCAGCGCGTAACTCCGCTAGCTTTGTCTTTTCCGCCTCCAAAACGGCCGTTCTCTCTTTGATGATTTTCTCAGGGGTGGTTTCCTGGGACATGAGCCTGCGCAATTCCAATTCCATTTGTTGAACACGATCTCTGGCATTCTTGAACCCCATCCGTTCCTGCCTTCTCAAGTTGGTGATCTCCTCGCTTGTCAAAACCGTACCAACGCCCATCACCCTCCGTGCCGTTCTCGTGGACCAGGACGGGTCAGAACGGGAAAGGGAGCCTTTACCGAAGAAACCCGACCGCCAGAGGGTGATCATGCCTGAGGGAGAAGTCACCTTGAAAATAATGGCAGAGGAAATGTACTCGTATTCGCAGTTAACAGGCGTGAGCGAAGGTTGGTTAGCACGGCTTTCGTCCGAGAACAGGGCGAGTTTGGGGAAAGCGGTCCAGTAGGCATAGCCAGCTACGAGCCACGACAAAGGGTTGTTGGTGATTGAAGGAAGGTATATGGGTGTTATTGGTAGGGGGAACGGATAGAGTTCCATGAGATTTCGGCGTTTATTGTTTTTTGGTATGGCGGTGGCCGATCCCGGCGTTGTCTCAGGTCGACTTCCCCCAGTAGAACCTTCTGGCATGGCGGAGCGGTCTAGGATGGTTTGACCGATGTCCAAATACGCGTTGATCCAGAAATCACAAAGCTGGTAAAGCTGTACAGCAGGGCTTTAGAAGCGTATTACTATAGCGTTCAAGATCAAACTTGAGACATGGGCAATGTAAAATTAAGTTATATGCAGGTCCTATTTAAATAGCGATGAGCTTGCAGTAGGCAGTCCTGGTTGTATAACACGATACTGTTTAAAAGCTGGAGCCGGCGAGACCCATAGGTATGGCATAAGTTTGACAAAGTTTTAGTCCAAGGGCAATGAGTAATGGCGCTTAAATAGGTGGGGTGCTAACCAGGAAGCGAGACTTTAGTGCAGAGCCTTGATTTACCCCGCCGGAGAAGCACCGACGTTTACAAACTCTGTTCAGAACAATATATTAGATATACAAGATGAATTTAAGATATCAACTTTATACTAGTTAGTAATTGCAACCGGATGGGTTCATTCGCGGTTTCGCTTAGCCAATATTCTTGGTTGTGGTCAGATACCGTTGTAGTCTAATACAATTGAGAAATCATGTGCTCACATCGGCAATGAAGCCTTCAAGCTACGAAAAAGGTTGTCATCAGGAAAATCAAGAATATGGTTGAGGCGCAAACTGGATGGGTTGTACATACCATGACATCAAACTAGTTGTCTAGTGTATATCGTTCGTGGTGAGGTACGGTTTAAAGGCTTGGAGCGCACCGGGTTTCTTTTATACTTGGTGGACGACGTGAAAAACTCCTTTCGAACGGGTAACCTCCATGGCGGTAGCCCTATGTAAAAATTCCCGCCGCACACTCGGGTCACATGACCTCTATTGGGGAAAGTACTTTGATAATAGCCTATTTATTCTCCCGCTTTCTCTCCCTCATAATTAGGTTAAAGCCATGAAAATCTCTCCTAAACCCTTGATCGTTTCTATTTAAACGTACAGCAAAGGAGTGAGAGTGCACTGTCGTATACAGGCCTAGGTGGACGGGGTGACTACGTCAGCGCCAACGTTCAAATACATTGTATACTTGCTTATAATAGCAGTAAAACATAAAAGATGTATGGTTAAGCCGCTTTGAAAGAGAGAAAAATTTCCCCAGAATCATGTCTTGAGAATACTCAAGCTGACCACCACTCCTGGGAAGAAATGCATGCACCAGCAAATAAACCATGACCATATATAATAGATATCCTCCTTTCGCCGAGCTACCCGAAAATATACTAGATTGCTTATTAGTGACAAGGTGACACCAAAAACTTAGGCCTATCTTGTCACGTGCGACGTGCATTTTCCAGAACCTTCTAGTAAAAATACCAACCACGCATGAGATTGCTAGGGGCTCGGAGAAGCGTCGGGAAAATCGCGGCATGAACTGGTTTCTGCAAGCGGTCCATACCGAATTGTATATATACCGGCAGTGACTCATTTCAACCTGTTGCGACTCTTCCTCATACGCACGTCACTGTTACACTAACATTTATTCACATTTACACTATGGTTAAGGAAACAAAGTTGTACGAGTTATTGGGGGTTACCCCAGGTGCTTCCGACGCGGACATCAAAAAGGGTTACCGTAAGGCCGCCTTGAAGTACCATCCAGATAAGCCTACCGGTGACACCGAAAAATTCAAGGAAGTCTCCGAGGCGTTTGAAATCCTTTCGAACGAGGAAAAGAAAGAGGTCTACGACCAGTACGGGTTGGAGGCTGCTAGAGGCAACGCCCCAGCGGGTGGTGCCGGTGGTAATCCGTTCGGCGGTGCCGGCGGCGCCGGCGGTTTTAGTGGTTTTAGTGGCCACGGCCAGGGTGGCTTCTCCTCCCAGGATGCCTTCAACATTTTCAGCCAGTTCGGCGGCATGGGCGGCGGCATGGGTGGTGGCGACGACCCATTTGGCGGTATGGGCGGTGGCTTTGGCGGTGGATATGGTGGCCAGCCGCGTCGCCGCGAGCCTGAAATCCACACCATCAACCTTCCGGTTTCCTTGGAAGACTTGTTTGCCGGTACCACAAAGAAGTTGAAGATCAACAGGAAGGGTCCGTCTGGTGCGCCGGAGGCCAAGGTAATCAGCGTCACCGTCAGGCCGGGCTGGAAGGCCGGCACCAAGTTGTCATATGCTGGCGAGGGTGACTACCAGTCTGACGGCCAGCGTCAAACAATTCAGTTTGTGATCCAGGAGAAGGACCACCCAGTGTTTAAAAGAGACGGTAATGACTTGAAGGTCAGTGTACCTGTTTCCTTCAAGGAATCCTTGCTCGGATTCTCCAAGGAGATCACCACTATCGATGGCCGCCGTATCCCGGTGCTGAGAACCCAGCCGTTACAACCAAACACTGCAGAAACCTACCCAGGCTTGGGGATGCCAATTTCCAAAACCCCTACCCAGAGAGGCAACTTGATCATCAGCTACAAGATCGACTTCCCGGTCTCCTTGACCCAGGACCAGAAGGCTGCCATCAGTCAATGCTTCTAAACTAGCACAACCCAACCAATCACCGTTGGCCCATTCTTCTACGGAAGCTGTATATATAGATAGCTGGCTCATCTGGGCCAGCGATACATGATGTATTTTAACGAATTTGTAGAGCAAGCATTGCCAGGCCCGCTGAAAAAGTTAAGCTTGTATATGCTAACTCAAGGCCAGAGCAAGGACGGGAATAGTCCTACTTGATAGACTAAGTTTGCAGTCTTGAAAATTGCAAGGTTTATGGCAAATAAGAAAAATTCAGGATTAACTGGAAACACCTCCTAGGGTAGATTCAGGCGCATACTCGATTAGCACGTGTCAGACCTGCACACTGTGCAGATCACACCCGCGATTCAATATGGCATTGCTCCCGGTGGCTAGTGCCCCCTATTATGGGTGCGGTTTTGTGGGACTAATTTTGGCACAGTTTGCAATAAGCTTCGATCACGTCACGCCAGGTCATAGGTCTCCCTCAATCTCTGGGTATGGGACACGATTTTTTGCTGACATCTTCCCGACTTTGCCTTTAGATAAGTGTAGCTACGCCGGGTACCAAATACGACGGAAAATATCTCAACTGAGGGTTACAACTCACAAACATCTAATGTCTGCTAAAGCTTTAATTTTGGTATGTATTAAGCCGATCTCTTATCAAGGCTATTTTGGCGCTCATCCATGGCAAAGCCTCATAGAACACCTCCCTCGTTCCAGAACCCAAAGCCATTGGTTGTGTCTGCTGATCCATGCTACCTTTCAACCCCCTAAACGGTTGAGCTAAACACTACTGACAACTAACACCAACCCAGATCGGAGGGGAAAAGACGGGAACTCGGTTCCGTCCGCTTTCCTTGTCCACTCCCAAGGTGTTCTTCCCAATTGCCGGGAAACCCCTTCTCACACACCTTCTCGAAAGCATCCAGGCAACTTCCACCCCTAAAATCAGCGAGGTGGTGCTAATCGGGTTCTTCGACACCTCCATCATCAATGCCTACATTGCCACCGTGGAGAATAGCTTCACCTTCTCCATCAAGTACTACCAGGAACCTCCATTGATGCCTATGGGCACTGCGGGCGGCTTGTATTACTTCCGTGACGAGATCTTAAAGCCGGCTAGCGGGGAAACCCAGCCACCGGAGCACTTTTTCTTGATCTACGCCGATATTGTCTGCAGTTTCCCATTGCACGAGATGTATACGTTTGCCAACGAGCAGAGACCAGGTCCTGCAGTGGATTTTGTGATTATGGGTGTCCCCCACGATGACGACTTATCCTCGCTCAAAAACGACCCACAAGACAATTTCGGTTCCATTGCCTCTATCAGGGGGGAGGTGGTTCACTACGTGGAAAAGCCTGAGACAAAAATCTCCTCGGTTATTAACGGGGGCGTTTACTACTTCAAGGCGAGTATTTTGCAAGACGCGCTACCAGAGGCCAAAAAGCTTCGCGAGGAGCGCAACCAAGCAAACGCATTCTTACAGTTCCATAAACCCAACGACGATGAGTCCTACAGCACTGGAAACTCTATCTCCTGGGAACGCGACTTGGTGAAAATGTTGGCTGATAAAAGTATTCCGGGGTACCGGGTGTTTTGCTACCAGTACACCTCATACTGGAGACAGCTCAAGACCGCGTCGCTGGTGTTGCCGGCGAACAAACTCTACCTTGAAAAGAGGCCACAGGAGTCAGCAACCTCTCTGGAAAACGTGGTACAGCCATGCTACATCCATCCGTCATCGTTTCCGATCCCTCCTACTGCCAAGATTGGGCCGTACGTATCTATCGGTGCTAACGCCGCGATAGGACCGGGTGTGAGAATTGTCAAAGCGGTCATTGGGAGCGACGTCACAATTGGACAGCACACATTCATCAAGAACGCGGTGGTGGACAATCAAGTAGCGATAGGCGAATGGTGCCGTGTAGAAGGCTCCTCGAACGGGGAGGTACAGCAGGCAAAGGAGGGCGAAGAATCCGATGCTTTGCCTACAGCCACGGTTTTAGCCACTGACACAAAGGTACTCAACGAAGTGCGTGTTTATGGTGGGGTGGTGTTGCCACACAAGGAGTTGAAGCTGGATGTTTTGAATGAGATTATTATGTAACCTATTCATGAATTGCTGGTATGCCAGTTTTGGCTGCACCTCCTGTCGCTCTTTACATTCTTTTCGTTTTCCTTACTGGGCTTATCTTTAAACCGGCTATGAGTATCCTTAGTATTATTTTTTTTTTTTAATTAAATACCTAACAGTATATCCTTGCTGCAATCTATATCGGACTTGACGGTGTTGGATATTCTATTTCTCAGCTTTGATATGGGGTTCAGGCAAGCTAGGCTCGGTAGGATGGAATGATACACCATTTTGATTACGATTGCTGCTTAACTTTTTCATGGGCTATAAACTGTTAGGAGGGAATACAACGATTTACTGCCGGGGAGGAAAGTCCATCACTACTTTTAGATATCCCAGTGTCCCCGCTTTCAGAACGTACCTGGCTAGCTCAATTAATAGAGCGTGTGGCTCTTTGCAGTACGTGATCACAAGGTTGCGGGATCCTTTTGTATATTTCCCACCCCCATATGCGTCAATTGAACTCAAGAGCAACCTGGCCCATCCATACTTCAAGTCCGAGTAATAGTATGGCGATAGTGCTAGACTCTCAGTCACTGTCCAGCTCATCCCTCGTCTTTGATGGAAATTTCTGGAATCTACCATCCTATTCGTTCCGGTTACTAACCTGTTTTAAAATATCTAGACCATTGGTGAAACTTACAAATCTGCCTTCTGATTCTTTCAGACTCATCTAGACCCTTTCCTATGCCGTCCTCGCTAACGTGGGTCTAATGCACGTAGATTTTCCTCTGCATAAGTCGGGTTACATAAGCTTCTAGTCCCTCTGACTCAAGGCATAGAATACTGCTGACACATCTCTATAGCTATGTACCGGACACGCGTAACAAATATTTACGTAATTACTAGGGTCGCGTTATAGAAGCATTGCATACTATGGGATTGCTCTTAGCCCCTGGAACATGGCATGGACCCCGTCGGAGTATAAATATATCTTATACTCCCTCTTTTTTCCCATTTCTTTATTTTCTTTTCATTCAATTCATTCCATACTAGAAGTTTCAGTAACCTCCAGTGTTTACAAAAGCTCCAAACTTCCACACTACAAAAACCTTTTATATATTCATGTCCGACATGGTTGCTCCTCGTTCCATCTTAAAATCTGTTCTTGCCATCGAGCAGGCTGAAGGTGTCGGCGCCCGTGTTCGCCGTACCATCGGGACCATGGCCATGAGAAACTTCACGCCGTTCTTAATGTTGGACCACTTCAACATCGACCCTAAGGCCGGCTTTCCTGATCACCCACACAGGGGCCAGGAAACCATCACCTATATGATGTCAGGTGAATTCGCGCACAACGACTTCACCGGTGCTTCCGGGATCTTGAGACTGGGAGATTTGCAGTTCATGACCGCCGGTAGAGGTATTGTGCACGCCGAGATGCCAATTCCTCTGGAAGACGGTACGCCCATTCTCGGAATGCAGTTGTGGGTCGATTTGCCCGCCGAGTTGAAGGAGTGTGAGCCTCGGTACAGAGACTTGCGTGCAGCTGAAATTCCAATTGCCAAGCCCAACGATAAGGTCACGATCAAGGTCATCTCCGGTGAGTCTTACGGGGTCAAGTCTGTCCAGGACTTGGCTTACACCCCGGTGGAGTACTACGACTACGAAGTTGCACCAGGCGGGTCTTTTGAACAAAAGATCCCCGAGGATTTTAATGCCTTTTTATACATTCTTTCCGGTCCCGGTCTCACCTTAGACGGCACTCATATAAAGCACTTCAATACCGTTTTCTTCAAGCGTGACGGTGAGGGAATTGTCGGTTCTGTCCCTGAAGGTGGTGACGAAAAAACTAGGTTCGTCATTATTGCCGGCAAGGTTCTTGACCAACCAATTGTGCAGCACGGGCCTTTCGTTGAGACCTCCAAGGACAAGATATACAAGGCTTTCGACGATTATCTGAGATCTTCTAACGGGTTTGAGAGAGCCAAGAACTGGTCCTCCAAGATCGGCGGCGGGGTCACCGCATCGGTCAAGAAGGATTTATTGGAGGCTGAGAAGCAGGAAAACGAGAAGGCCAAGGCGCATTAATCGTCGTGCGTTTAAGCTAGATATTAATTTATGCGTTTAACTAATTATTGTATGAAGGTGAAGCTTTGTCTAATTTATTTATATCAATGTTTAATACTTCGATATGGATGTTCCAAGTTTCAGCAAAACTTGCTTTCCCATATGCTCAGACGGATACTGCGTCATCCCGTTTACATGTCTTGCTCCTTCCTTTATGGCACACCAATTCCCCTTCGATTGGAATGGTCATCTCTATTATCTCTACTGCCTCCAGGTTATTCACTCCTAGCCCACAGTTCTCATCAATGTAAAACTTTCGTTCCATTATAACCTTTAGCCCGGTTTGCTTCAACAATACTTGCATGATATCAAAGTAGTCTACTGTGCATCGTAGCCCGTAATCCAAGTTCAGAAAGTTGTAGAACGTCATGGTATCCTTACAATCTGATTTCACGCCCGTGACTTCAGAATCGGCCATCAAAGAGCCCTTCTGGTGTCGGTAGACCGAGTTGATAATATTCCGCTCGAGCTGCACCAAAAGGGGATCCGACTTTAAGTTTATCATCTCGTGAATATTGGGGTAAGGAGTCACCCCCACGCTCGATATCATGCTTTGCTTCGGAAACCGCTTATTTACACAGCACTCACTGGCCGCATAGCTTGTCTTGATGTACTGTATTTCCTTAATAACAAAGTCCAACTTCGACTTGGTGAGGCACTGGCGTTGCACTGGACCCGAGAGTGGCTCAAACCATCCCCCCGGGAACTCTGGTAACGGGTCTCGATGTTTTGTGTACCAGGAGTCAAGTTCTTTTAGAATGGAATATTCAGAGAGTGTTTTGTAGTTGATACTGGGAAGGATACCAAAGGTCCCCGATGTGTCTGGGTTGAGTAAAAATGGAGTAGAAAGACCTAAAGAGAAGATTAACCAAGCGAGCATTCGGATGACGAGCATGGGTACACAATATTCGGATTTATAGACTGTAGAATGCTTTTCCATTCAATTTTCTGGTTCTATCACACCTATCTTTCCTCTTTGCGTTTGTGACTAGGCGTGTGAGGTTACCGCGGCTCTAGGTTTAGAACAAGTCTGGGATTACTAAATGCTGCCCTAGCGTCTAAACTTAAACCAGGCAACTTATTTAGCTATAGGATTTCTCTGAAATACCAATCGAGACAGTCTGTTGTCACCGACATCGAAGGCATTCTTCGTAAAGGGGATATCTCAATAAATATTGTAATAATAACATGGAATGTACTTTGCCACACTCCTCTCTACTGGCGATAGTCCCCTGATCTTGTTTTCCTTTCAGATATCTGGTCATGTTGAGGACGGCTCTAGCGATACGCAACTCCCACTAGCAATATCATTATAACCGCTTACGCAAAGTAAATTAAAACAAATGTACTAAATATACAGTTAGTCCCTCACAACAGCGTCAAACACCGCCTGGTAAGGCGGGCGCACACCGGTAAACAACTCAAACTGGGCCACACCCTGGTTCACCAACATCTCACGTCCTGGGATGACGTTCCACCCGTACTTGCCCCCGGCAATCTCCATGATCGGGGTGACTTTTGGCTTGTAGGCGGCCTCCAACAAAGCCGGCTCAAACCCTGTCTGGTGCTGCTTGCCCCTGTACAACAATGCTTCGAGCTTGGTCAAGACGGCGGTGTCGATTGGCTTGTCCGCTGGGACGCAAGACATGACCAAGGACACCGGAGAGGCGGCCTCGGCCTGCTCCAAGGTCTCCAAGACCTCAATGTTAAACTTTGCCGGGAGGGCGGCTCTAATCTCGTACAACTTGGAGGCGGTCCGGTTGACCATGTAGATCTTCTCGCAGCCAAGGTGGTGGAGCGCGTAGGCCGCGGCCCTGGCGGTGCCGCCGCCGCCAACAACCAAACCACAGACAGAGCCCGAGATGGATTGAGGCACCCCGTGCGCGATGAACGAGTTGGTGATGCCGATCCAGTCGGTGTTGTCGCCCACAAGGCCCTCGTCGGTAGGAATGAGGGTATTGACAGCACCAATCACGGTGGCGGCATCGGACAACGAGGCACAGTACTTCATCACGTCGAGCTTTAACGGGATGGTGACGGCCGCACCGCCAAACGCCGACGAGTCAATGACCTCCGACTTGACAAGGGCTGCGTCGGCGGTTTCAAAACGGTCAAAGGTGTGCGGCAAGCCCAAAATCTCGTAGCCCGTGCCGTGGAGAGCCGGCGAGCGCGAGTGCTGGACCGGCTCGCCTACCACGAAAAAGTGCTTTGGCGAGATCCCGCCGAGCTGGGTGTAGATCTGGTTAATCTCCCTGATGGTAAGCTGGCCCGGGGCCGAGGCCGATGGAAGCTTGGCATGTGTGACAGGAGTAAGGACGGTGTTGAGCACACGCGACATCTTCCCAAGTTCACCCATGTTGATGGCGATCAACGGAAGCGCGGCGTGGGCCGTCCTGAAGATCTCGAGGTCGGTGTTGTCGCTAAATGCGGTGGCCATACCCACAAACTTGACAATGTCCGCGCCCAAGCCGGTAGCCTGGTTGTATCTGTTCTCCCATTCGACATTGTCCCACCGGTACTTGGCGCCAAAATCGTGGTGCGAGGAAATGATCTTCGTGAACCCGCTCGCGGCAACGATGGAGGCAGCCAATCCCTCTGGAAGCGACAACTCAAGGTCGAGGTACTCTACCCCGAGTTTGAACGCTAAGCGGTACAACGCCTCGAGGGCCTCGTAATCACTGTCCGGGAAAAACCCGCCTTGCGCCTTGGTGCGCACCGTGAAGAGGATCGGCACCGAGGTGTACTTGCGGAGCAAGGCGATCTGCCCGGCCACAAAGTGCGGCACAAACGACTTCAAATGGTCAACACGGAGCTCGACCGCATCGACCCCGGCCGTGATCTCGGCGAGCGTCTCGGTGGCGTCCGCGAGGTCAGCATACGTCAAGCACACAAAGGTAGAGCGGCCGGTCGGCACCTGCACCGGCTTGAGCCCGGAGATGGTGTCCCAGAAGTTGTTAAAGCTGGAATGGAGCTGCTTGAACTCGCTCTGGGAGTCGCAGTGCGGCGAGTAAAAGAAGTAGTTGGAGCAGTCGTGGTACCACTGCTCGCGTCTCTCCCAGACCTCACGGATCTCCTCGATGTAGGCCGGGCGGGTCTTGTCCTGTGAGAGGAACGTGACGGTGGCGTCGATGTCACGGTGAAGATGCAACACAATCCCGCCGGTCGCCATGTACTGCTTGAGCAATGCGCGGTTGGCCTCCCCTTCGACGATACCACCGCCGGTGGAGATCACGTAGCCCTCACCATACTTGACAAGGGATTTCTCGGCGCACGCGGCCTCAAGCACACGGAACTCTTCCCACGAGTTCTGTTTGATGAACAGACGGATCTCCGTACCGAGCTCCTGCTCAAGCTCACGGTCGAGGTCGACAAGTTTAAACCCAAGATTGGACGAGATCCAGTGCGACAAGGTGGACTTACCAGCGGCGCGCATGCCGATCACCACGATACTCTTGGAAGTGGTGGTAGTGGCAATAGCGGCAACGGCCGGCTCGTGGCCGTCCAACGGCACGCCAAAGGTGGTGTGAAGAGTGTCCCACCAGCCTGGCCACGTCTTGCCAGTGCACGAGCGCTCCTGGATAGTCACCGGAGCGGTACAGAGCCCCGCAAGAAGGGAAAACGACATTGCCACACGGTGGTCGTCGTAAGTGTGCACGCCTCTCCCGGATGGGGCCACCAAGGAGCGTGTGCCGGTGATCTGGATCCCGTCTGGCAATTCGTTGGCAGCAACTCCAAACTTTGCGAGCTCGGTAACCATCGCAAGAATACGGTTGCACTCCTTCACTCTCTGGTTGGCAATCCCAGTGATGGTGGTGGTGCCCTCGGCGACGGCGGCAACCACGGATGCAGTCAAGAACGCGTCGGTCATCGGCTCCATGTCTACGGTAATGGCCTTAAGGGTACCCTTAGGCCCCGTAACAGTGGTTGATACTTCGGTCTGCACGACGTGGCAGCCCATCGGTGCAAGCACGTCGGTCGCGAAGCGCGCGTCGCCCTGCAAGGAGCGCGAGCCAATATTTGGAATCGTTACGGTGGCGCCGGTAAGCGCCGCGAGCGCAAGCGGGTACGTGGCGGACGACGCGTCGGACTCGATCACGTACTCAGCCGGGTTGGTGTACACACCCTGTGGAATGTGGTAGGTGTATTCCTCGGTGGTGGACTTGATCACATGCACGCCAAAGTCGGCCATCATGGCGATGGTCATATCGACGTACAACTGCGAGATCGGCTTACCGCCGACAAGAGCCAAGGTGACCGGCTGCTTGGCGTACGGCGCGCACATGAGGATAGACGAGACGTACTGCGAGGAGATAGTTGCGGCAAGCTCGATGCGGCCACCGGCCAAGCCGCGGCCGCACGTCACGCGTACAGGTAAGGAGCCCTCGCGATTGAGGTACTCAATCTCGGATCCGTTGGCGCGCAACGCGTCCACCAAGGGGCCGTTAGGGCGCTCCTGCATTCTGGCGTTACCGGTCAACACGATAGACGACACCCCACCGTGGGGCTCGACAAGGCACGCCACGGTGGAGAGGAAGCGGGAAGCAGTACCGGCGTTGCCGAGGTAGAGATCGTCCGCGGTGGCGGCAAACTCCCCGCCGTTGCCGGTGACGACAACGGTCTCGCCGTGGTTCTCCCACGCGATGGACGCGCCGCGGAGAGCGGCAACAGCGTTGAGCATGTGTTCGGTGTCATCGGAGTGCAAGAGGTTCTGGAGCTTGCACGGACCGCGGCCAAGGGCGGCAAGAATGAGCGCACGGTTAGAGATGGACTTGGATCCGGGAGGCACCACCGTAAGCGGGGCAGTGGAAGCATCCGCTTGTGGGGCCTTACCCACAACGGTCTCGTCAGTCAACACCACGCGCAAGTCGCAGTCGTCCACGTAGCTCGCCCGCGGCTCGTAGCACTCGCCGATCGCCTTCAATAACACCACCTTCTTGCGACTGCCGTCGTTCTTCTTGTCAACCGCCATCTTCTGCAATACAATATCAACAGGACACTTGCGCCCACCAGTACGCTGCACTAAAACCTTATCGGCCAAGCTGACCGGTAAACCGTACGCGGAGAAGCACTTGCTCAAGCGCGACACCGCCACGGGTGACAAAATGCCAAGGTAGCGCGCGAGCTCGGCCTCCTTGATAGCGCCAACGGCCACACACTCGCCGTGTAACGCCTGCGGCGTCAAGATCGCCTCGTAGGCGTGGCCAATGGAGTGGCCAAAGTTCAATAAGTTGCGCAAGCCGCCCTCGCGCTCATCCAAGGTCACCACCTCAGCCTTGACACGAATGGACTCCGCCACGAGGGTGAGAATGTGCTCGCGGATCGCCGAGAGGTCGGTGGAGCCGTCGGCACGGCGCGTGCTGACCACCGCGCGGAACTGCGCTGCGTACGCCTCCAAGCGGGTAAACTCGGCCTCGTTCCAGATCGCGGCCGTCTTGACCACTTCCGCCATCCCGTTGATAAACTCACGCTCCGGTAACGTTTCAAGAAATGCAGTGTCTGCAAAGATGTACTCCGGCTGCCAGAACGCGCCGATGAAGTTCTTGCCCACGGGCGTATCGACGGCGGTCTTACCGCCAACTGACGAGTCAACCATCGCGAGCAACGTGGTGGGGATCTGCACAAAGCGCACACCTCTCATGAACGTGGCCGCGACGAAGCCGATCATGTCGCCGATGATCCCACCGCCGATAGCCACGATGAGCGTGTCACGCGTGCAGCCCTGGTCGAGAAGGTAGTCTTCAATGGCGGCCTTGGTCGCGCGGGTCTTGTTGGCTTCGCCTGGTGAGACCACATACTCGAGGAGACGGGATTCCGGGCGGCTGGCGGCGAGTGCGGTAAGGAGCTTTGTGCGGTAGGTTGCCAAGTGCCCGCACCGCTCAATGTTCGTGTCGGTGATGAGCACGTAGGTGGATGAGGCACAGGTCGACACAATCGTGTCAACAATCTCGTCCTGGATATGGTGGCCCACGAAAATGCTCTCCTTTCCGAGAATGGAGATCTTAGTGGTCATTGTGGTGGGGATGGGAGCAAAGGTGGAGAGAGTCTTTTTTTAAGAGCGAGTCTTTTTTTTGGCTCGTTTTGTCAGACATATATTTTCCGATGATTCATACATGCATGTCACGTGATTGAATTATCCTACACTGATTGTATCATCTGGCTGTTTCAAAAAGTAAACAAAGTGTGGAACTGAACTACGTTGCTGTTCGTCCCACCGATCCTCTCTTTCTCTGCTTTGCGTATCTACAATCGGTTCTATCTCCTTATTATTTCTACTGACCCTCTACCCGATTCTACCTTCATGCCTACCAAACCCGACAACCCAATCACCAAGCTCCGCGAGAAGTACTCGCCCCAAAAGCGCTCCCTGTCACCTTCCCGGGCCTCTTCGACGTCGGGCATCCACAAACCAGCTCAGCGTATCTCTCCGAATAAATCCAATTACAAGGTGTTTGCGGTATCGCCACAACGCGTCACCACGGCCAACCGCCCTAAGCTCGTGTTAGAACCGCTTCCCTATAGCTTATCGCCTGGCACGCACGGTCCTGAGGCCTGGCCGGTGTTAAAGCCATCCATGAGAGTGTCGCCGATGCGGGGTCACCGGACCGTGGATCTCAGCTCCAGTGGCTTTACCAGCGACGCGTCCGCGCCCAAGGTTAGGAAGTACAGTCCCAGTCGGTTGCCTGTGTTGACGAGAGGAAGCCCCGCAAATAAAAGCTCTCCTGGCACGGGAAAAAATGTGAAACGAGAGAGCTCTTCCCCGGCTAAAGCCCCAAAGCCAGAATGGACCTCCAATATTGATGCCGCCCTGTTATGCGCAAAGACAATTGTATCTCCTGGAAACGAGCCTTCAGACGAAACAAAGGAGCGGGAAATCAAGCTGGTGTTTGAGTCCAACGATGACAAGACTGGTACTGCGGGAGTGTTTGACCAGTTGAACCAGGTGAAGCTTGACCAGCGAAAGACCCTTATGGCCAAAACACCAGACGCTAAGCGTAAGCGCGACTCCCCTTTGTCCAGCCCTAATGGCCAGGCCCTTAGTGAGAAGAAGCAGCGGATTTTGAAGCAGGCAGAGGACATCCTTAAACGACAGCGGCCAAAGGTCGAGTTTGACAAAGAAGTGGCGTACGACACAACGCTCAGCACTACCCGCCTTCCGGATGTGTCCACCGGGGAGCTGGTTCCTGTGAGAGTGGTGACAGTGGGAGAATATGACCTGATTTTGAAACGGTTGAAAGCGTTGGAGCGGGAATGCAAACGCCTAGATCATGTCAGTGGGAAGTTAGTGCGTGAATTGCACCAAAAGGGCCAGAACGAGGCACCGGCGGTCCGGCCTTCCAACGCGGAATTGCGGAAGGAGAATATTAGATGAGCAGTCGGTGTTGCCTTGAAGTTTTCGCTGATTTTACGTGGACCTATCAGATTTTTATACGCTTTAGGGGTTGTATTGCGTGTGGAATATCCACGTATACTGCCATTTAGTGGCCAACGTGAGAGTCATTCCTTTTGTACATTCTTGAGGGGGGGCAAGGTCGCTACGCGTGCTGGCACGGTAGTACTTTACTAAACCACTTTTATAGCCCCTTGCCAAAATTGTAAAAGGCTTTGCGGATGGCAAACCAGTTAACGGATTGACCTCTGATATCGTTGCACTCAGAGACACGGAATAAAATACAAGTTATAAATAAAAATCGTAAGGCACAGCGTTCCGTAAGTACATCTCACTTGACGCGGCCCATGTTTTATTTTTTATTTTTCCCCGTGCGCAGGCAGGTCAGTCGCGTGGCTACGGCAATACGACGCTGAAAAACCGGCATCAAAAAAATACAGCGTGCTCAAACTCCTCACCACAACCCTGCACAATATGCTCTTCACAATCGTTCAATATAGCATAGTGCTTGCCCTTTGTGGCGTGGCTATAGTAAGTGTCCACCGTCTCACCTTTTTTCGGCGACTAACGTCTAGATCTACCTCTTTGTGATTGTCTTTTCGCACAGCCCGCGCGAGCCGTTCCCGAGCGAGCTCACGTACCTCACGGCAGACTCTGGTCCTAGAAATCTCCCACTGGTGCTCACTGCGCCCGCGACGCTCAAGTTATCTGTTGTCATTCCGTGTTATAACGAGACACAGCGCCTCGGGCCCATGCTCGAGGAGGCCATTGCCCACTTAGAGGCCCATTACCGCTCTGATTACGAGCTCATTCTTGTTGACGATGGCTCCAGCGATGGAACCATCGCTTACGCGCTCGAGTTTGCGAAAAACGTGGGCCTAGCCCCGAATATCTTGAAGTGTGTCAAGCTCGAGCGCAATAGAGGTAAGGGCGGGGCAGTCAAACATGGGTTAATGCATTGTAGCGGCAAATATGCGCTCTTTGCGGACGCGGATGGTGCGTCCAAGTTCAGTGATGTCGATCGCTTGGTGGAAGCTGCATACGTGACAGAGCCGGCAATTGCGATCGGTTCGCGCGCCCATATGGTCAACACCGACGCGGTGGTGAAGCGTTCCTTTGTGCGCAACTTCTTAATGTACAGCTTGCACACATTGGTGTACGTGTTTGGCATCCGTGAGATCAAGGACACACAGTGCGGCTTCAAGTTGTTCAACCGTGCGGCCGTCGCGAAGGTGTTGCCCAATCTTCACACGGAGCGCTGGATCTTTGACGTGGAGATCTTGATTCTCGCGCGCCGCTTGGCTGTTCCCATCCGCGAAGTGGGGATTTCCTGGCACGAGGTTGGGGGGTCCAAGGTGGACTTGGCGAGAGATTCGATCAACATGGCGATCGACTTGGTTGTGATCAGAATGGCGTACTTGTTGGGGGTATACAAGGACAACAAGGGCGTAGACTTGAAGAAGCTAGAGTAGGTAATATTGATAGACATGTTCACATAATGGGGTTGTACACATAGAAGGAGGGAATTGAAATACGCCAGGATATGATCTGGGGAAGAGATATCTGTTTACCTGGGATGTTGTATTTACCAGATCGGGTGCTTAGGCTCAAGGAAGCGCCGGTGGCGGTTACTCGGTCAATAAGAAACTTGTTTTGTCAAATCATAGGTTTAGCGTTAGAGGGCGAATAAAACACAAACGCTATGGGCACCCCGTTCATGCCTACCCCAAAAGTTGTAAACCTAGGGGCAGCGATAGGGGAGTAAAGATTCAGAAAGTCGCTCCTGTGAGTCATAGCGTTCATTCCCACCCATTTGGTCTCTATTGAACCCCTTCAGAGTTCGTAGCTGGGATATAAAGAACGGAAAGTTTTTAATTAGAAGTGAGATACCAGGCGGATCATGCTCCTGGCGTGGTCTAAATCACGGTTCTACAGCGATTCATGCGAAAAAAATATATTAACTGTCAGGACCACTGACTCACCATACTTAGACAAGTACATGCATCTTAAATTAACCCCAAATGAGATTCTAGCGCAAAAATCCAATGTAAATAGTAACAAACCTCAACTAGTAGTTTTCTACCACCCGCGCAACGCAGATGGAAATGTCATCCACCTTGCCGCCTACGGCCAAGCCGTCCAGACAGCGCTGGGTCAGCGACAAGTTGTTCACCTTCTCGGTGTACGGACAGACCGCAAAGTTATCAAAGGCCACGTCCTTGGAGCGGTACAATAAATAGTTGGCCAACTTCTGCATGTCCTCCTCGCCGTCACGCTCCATCTCCGCGAGCTTCTTGTTCACGCACTCCACCAACTCATCCTGCCACATGTTGTCGGACAAGCCGTCGGAACACACAATGACAATGTCGTCGGCCTGTAACTCAACCGAGTCCATCCATGTGACCAGCGACGGGAGCACATCCGTGTGGTTGGTGCCGATCTGCTGCGGGCACAAGCCGCTCTGCATCTGCTCCTCGTTGGTCTCGATGAGCGCACCCTTTCGGATCACGTACACCTTGGAGTCGCCGATGCTGATAATTTTCAACTTATTGCCAAGGATCAACGAGATGAGCACCGTGGAAGACCCTTCAATGGCGTCCGTGTCCATGGTCTCCAAGGTCTGCACGAACGAGTGGTCCAAGCACCGGAGCACCTCCTGCTCCTGGAAGTGGTAGCTGGGCACATGCGTTGTCTTTGTCTTGTCGGTGATGTTGAGCTTGAACTGCATCACGTTGCGGCTCATGTTCTCGAGGATGAGGCGCGACCAGACGCCCGCGTCGGAGTTTGCGCCCCACGACGAAACCCCGTCGGCGATTCCGAGCAAATATGGCGATGCGATGAGCGCGTCGTCGCCGCTGCGCACGGAAATGGTGTCAACGTTGCCTGCAACGCGGCGGCGTGGTACGCGCGGCACCGCGCTGAACTCAAAGTCCGTCAAGTCAGTAAGCGATGAAATCAGCGGCGTGTGCTTGGAGCCGTGGTGCACGTGGGAGGCGAAGGAGAAGTCGAAGCGAAACTTGTCGATGATGTGGGTGGAGGCCTTGGCGGCAGCGGCGATCGCCGCGGTTTTGCGCTTGTGCATAGCCGCAAGCTTTCGCGCGGCGGTCTCCGCGTCCTGTTTCGGCGTGCGCGGTTTGGGTCTGTACGACTCCATGGGTGCGTAGAGCGACGTCCAGAAGCGTTTGACCGCGCTGGTAGTGGGCGTCTGGGGCTGGGATAGCGTGGAGTACCTGTGGGAGTTGTTGTGGAGCGCTCTGCAGAGGCGGGAGGTGATGATATTTCGGGGGCACATGGTAGGGATGCAATATGAAAAGGATTCCGGGGAAGGGATCGAGAGTGATATAGAGCTTAGGATCAAGGACGACGATATGAGTTCAAACCAGAAATAGGATTCATTTGGCAATGTGGCGTCAGGGTTGTTATATATGACGTACGGGAAGAAAAAAAACCTTAAACACGGATTTTCTTCGGCTGCGTAAAAAGAAACGCTAGAAGGGAAGAGAAAAAGGAATAGACACGTCAAATGGCAATAGCCTGCACGGAGAGAAAATTCTGTCCACATATTGATCCGTTCCCCTCCTTAGTTGCGTTACGCTATGCAGCTCACACCAGGTGAGGGCTGACGAATGGGGCCTTCTAGGTTTTACCCTACACCACTAGACTGATTGGGTAGTTCTTTAGCAATCATTTTTCTTTTATTTCCTGTCGCTCAGGGAAGATCGGTTTACCTTCACGCACCTGCTGTGAAGCCGGTACAACTCATAGATACTCGGATAAAACATGCATGCGCTGGAAGGGGAGGGGCAGAAGGAAGACCTGGGACCCTCCAATACTAGCATGCAGCGCGGTTACCCTGATGCTGACTCTGTCTATGTTTCGCTTTCAGCATTCTTCCCGCTCGCAGCCATTCCCCAAGCTTGCGGCCTACGGATGTCACGGTAATAGTCATGTCGACGTCAGTTGGATAAGCTTTTCCGGGGGCCGTATTATGATTGCTGCCCGTTAAACGTTACGCTGTGTCTTTGAGGTGCCTTGCACAATAATATCCAACCCAGTGGAGAGCGGGCTACCAGCAATGAGGGATTTTACTCCGACATGTCGGCCCCTTTTTCTGCTTTGGGCCACGTCCTGTGCGGCGATTTTCCTCCGCATGCTGCATGCTATTTAATAACTGGGTGCAGGCTTTACGTATAACATGTGAAATTTTCCGTGGTTCAACTTCTCGCTGCCAACGGTTATTCCAGAGCTTTGTGCGCTTTAAAGAATGAATATACAAGCTTATCTGACTTGGAGCGTTCTATTGGCGTTTTTCGCGGCGGAAGGGTCAAAAACCGTCGGTGACCGGTCGGACTTTTTGATGCATAAGTGGTTGTGACACTTTGTTTGCTCACGCGGATGGCAGACCAGCAGAGGCAAATTTAAAGCAGTACTGAATGTTTAATTTTTCCGAGTAGGGATATCCAGATAGAAAAGGTCATTCCTTCTTAAATGTGTTAGTGCTGAAGATTGAGGCCACAAAGAGCTACATGATAATTTCGCGCGAACTAGCCCAATATGCTTGCATTGAGAACTAATGCAAATTATTCACGGTCGTGAGATTTTATATAACCTAAAATGGTGTGTCAATAATTATTTATATGCATATTTTTGAAAATACCGATAGACAGATGGTGGTACAACCAAAATATTTAAATTAAAAAAAAAAAAAAAAAAAA